AACTGTTCGCATAGACTATTACAATCCATGCATGCCAAGATTTGGACAAGAAAGGAAGAAAACAAATGGATTTCAAATGATTCCTTGCATGTAGTCATTTCAAATCCATTTCAAATGTACTACATCTAGTTATTTCAAATAAATTCATTCTAATGTGGTAGAGTTTTTGTAGCAAATTTAGCCTTGTTGTCAAATAAAAATCCTTTCTTTCAAATCCTTCCATCTAAATGGAGCCCAAAATAAGGGGAAACGCATGAAAAAAAAAAAAAAATATATATATATATATATATAGCAAAATTTAACATTTCTCAGCTTGTCAGTAGCAAACCAGACTTTATTGGTTGAAACTCAAAACCAAGAGAAAGAAATAAGAGTAAGATTCTAATCAACTTTCAAGACAACACTTACTTGTAGGCAGGTATCCAGACATCTGGATTGTTGGACGTGGTGAACAAAACAAACATTTGATACAAGGTGGTACCATATGAAGTAAACATTGTTTTCCCCTGTTGGGTATCTTCAAACATGACATAGGCTAACCAACTGGCAAACAGAAGAAATAAAAGCCACAGAGCCTGCAATTGAAAAAAATTTAACAGTGAAAGCCTAAAAAGGAAGTTTATTCATTGAATATTAAAATTCTGAAATTGAAACAGAACCGATGGAACTTTACCATCACAGAAGCCTTAGGAACTATATAACAGAAAGTAAGAATTTTTTGTTTTGATGGCAACCAGAATAATAGAATTTGGAAAGATGAACAGAATCTAGGGTCAACCTACAAAAACTACAATACATGAACAAAATCTCTCAAACATGAAAAATACAGAAGCAGCTTCCCAAGATACACTCAGGCTCAGTGCAACGCTCTTCCACAATCAAGAAGGATTGCACTAAGAGAAATGTCTCTAAAATGTTTGGACAAAGAGGCAAAAAGTCTAACTCTATCCAAATTGACTCCAAACCCTCTTCCTTATCTCTAAAGATTCTCTTGTTCAAATCCTAAACCTTAAACCCTTAACCCCTTCATTCATGAAACCCCCTACCAACACAGAGCAGTTTCTAGAGAAAACCCACACCAAGCCAAACACCTCCTGAAATCCTCCAAATCTGAGTAATGAACCTGCAGTGCAGAAAAATGTGGTCTGCGTTCTCCTCATCCAGTTTACACCACGCACCAAGGCAGAGATAACTATACAAAGAATCTTCTCTACAACATGTAACAGGTATTTAATTTTCCATGAGCCACCACCCAAGAGAAAATTTGCACCATAGCTGGCATACAGGCCATCCAAATGATCTTAAATGTCTGAGAGGACGAATCCACTTTTTCTGTACCAATGAAGGAACAATGATTTGCAGGAAAAAGCTACCAGAAGGATGAGTTGACCATGATCTTTGGTCAAATAGACTCGAGCTCAAGGAGACATTACATATAAGAGAGGACAAATCTGCAAATACTTGGAACTCCCTAGCATTGAAGTTTAGATAAAATTGTAAGTTCAATTAAATAACACCAAGTGAAGAGAGAACTGCCAAAGAAGAGATGGCAGCATTACAATTCAAAGAAGCTCGATACAAAGTGGGAAATAAATAATGAAAAGACGACTTCCCCAACACAATATATTCCCAAAATCTGACTCTCCTCCATTACCCACAACAAGCTTCAGGAGAGGGGACCAATAATATAAATAAAGGTAGCAGGTAAGACAATAAGAAACTAACAAAATGATGGCACAACAATAGATAGTTAACAAACCAAGATGTTTAAGTATGTGACAAGCATTCCTGCAAGGATGAGCATGCACGACCGCAACTCCCTATTAATATAAGTAAAAATAATAATCAACACCGCAGCATCAAACTAAATCAAGATAAAGTTGTTTAACAATAAAAAGAACCGTTAATATAAGTACGATATTGGTAATTCATGTCGTGTTAATACTAAATAATAAAAAAATTCAAAACCGCAGCATCAAACTAACTCTACATCTGATGTTGCCTTAGAGTTACTTAATTTCCTCCATAACGGGTATGTTACCTTAAATAACAATGAGAAAAACCGCCTAACGTGATGTCAAAGAGCTAAACCACACAAAAATATTACAGTTCAACCAAATGATCATGTTTGGTCTAATTACAGTCCCTTCAAATAATTTTGTTCAAATTTATATAAGCAAAATTCCTGTGCATGTCAAAAAAAATTACATGTCAAGGTTGCACGGTCATCCTTGCTTAAACTGATATAAGTAAATTTCTTGTGCAAAACTAAAGAAAGAACTAAGATGGTTGCATGCTGGAAAAATCCCCCTTCTAGCCCCAGGCTTTTTTTCCACCAAGTTTGAAAGAATCTCCCTGTATGACTATGTACTCCACACTGAATAAACACATGAATCAAGTTTTACACACAATACCTAAAGTTTAAGATGAAAAAGATAACTCTGATGTATGGCGCAATCCTGAGAGGAAGGGAATCAAAGGCCGTTGGAGACAAATAGAGAACATAAACCATCAGATCAGCAACCAAAAGTAGTAGGCCCACGACCTGAAAATCAAAATCAAAATCAACCAAATTTATTACTAAAAAGAACAAAATTATCATATGGGTGTTACGGCCCGTGGACAAATCAAAATTTTGAATTCAACCTTGATTTTATCATTTCTACACCAAAACTGCTCTCTTTTCTGAACTCTTTACAGGGAAAAGGTATCGAATATAACTATTACTGTAGCAAATCGACAATATCGACATACTTTATTTATGCAATATCAAGACTTTCTGGGCCTATTTTCAATCAATACAATCAGTTTATTTGAGAACCATGTTACGGTAAAAGTTCTATTCAAGATCTTTTCCCCAATTTATAAGGCTGAAGATATCAATAGTTAGGTCCAAATGCACAAAATAAATATTTTAATATACATGCCTAGAAAAGATGAACACTACCATTTTAGCAGTTCACTTTTTTCGTACAACTGTGGCCTCTAGAAATAACCATATGTTGTCACAAAGGACAAAAGGCCTAAATCAATTTCTCAAGGATTTTGGGCTGGATGGTTCTTTGCTTAGTTGTCTTTTATAAGAAGATAACTTTCTATCCGTACAAAACCCACAACCCAGACCATATTTTTCTGCCTTCTATTATGAAGAAAAGGCTAGTATACAGATTTCGAATATTGAATATGAAAGGCATATTGAAGATGTCTTGTGTGATAAAACATGAAAAACATACATACTTTGTAATATTCATGTAAATTCCTTCATGGTTTATATTGCATTCCTAATATAATAAAGAACTGCATAACAGTTAAATAAATCAAAACTTTGACCCCAAAAATAAAAACTTGTAAAAAGGGACATTTTGGCCCAAATGTCGAGTTGTACACCAACATTGTAATCCTTGGTTACAGGTAGCACCAACAGTAGCCAGGATCTAACCACAAAAAGCTCCCCTACCCAACACACCAAGTCATCTCAGATTATTTGGATTTGGCAAGCAGCAAATCAAGTAAGCGCGATTTGAATCACATAAACGGTTCTACAAGACCATAATTACAGCCAACTATAAAGCCAAAACCAAACACCCACCTTAAATCGATTAAGATGGTTTTCCCAATAGAGATGGAACCCTTCATATGAAATTGGAAAGAATGTGTGCACCATGAGTATAACGAGTGTTATGCCCTGCACAGGAAAAGGTAAAATATAAAAAAATTTAAATGATAATAGAAAACTAGCTATCTAATGCATTAAAAAACAGAAAATAGACACACATAAAAAAATAAATAAACAAAATGTCAGAAAAATGAATGTAAGAAGCTCAGGTGGACCACATGAATCTTCAAACAACATCTTTCCAGCACTGATCGGGCAGTCAGGCTACACCTAGGAAAAAAGTATTTTCCATATTCAATTTCTGCTAAGTAAACAACAAATATACATTACATAATAAATTTTTTATGCATTCTAACTTTAACTACAGTTTGTTAGAAGATGGAATTTTGTTTGTGCATACTAATGGTATCCAGCCCTACTTGTTAAGGAGTACTGTCATTAAAAGGTACCTCTAAATTCTAAAACTGGTTGAGATAAGTTTACAAACTTGAAAATAATAGTCAAACAGTGTTTATAATCAACATCCTTAAACATCTATACCGGTAATGTGAGACCAATGTTCAAAATTATTACCTCACCCACAACCCAATACTATTGGGAAGAAAAGGAAATATATTATTTATTTAGAAATCCAAAGTTCTGGTTCGAGATAATTCATTTTTTTTTCAATAAAACTATAATGCAAGGAGGTGGTATATATGACATTTTCTGTCTGTTGGAAATAGAAATAAAAATATAACCAATTAAGGTTCTAGTATATTAAACCCGTATAGAGTTATAATAATTATCTCCCTAATTTATTGATACTGTCTACTGGACTTCCAATATTACCACAAGTTCTTGGGGGATTACACAAAACCTAATTCATCTTCAGAGGAGAACAAAATATCTCAATCGGATAACAAATGTTAGTGTGATCTAATTGCTAAATAATAGAACTAAAGGCATTGTTATCCAGCGTTATAACAGCTTAAACTTTTGGGATAGTGGTAAACCAACCAACTGTATGTATCAGATCAAGAGACCCTAATTTCTAATGAAAGCAATTACAACCTTCCAATGTCAATTTGAATTCCACATGTTGGGTTTTAATTATCATGATTTAACTATTCCATATGCACCTTGTGAATGTGAGTGGTGCAAATATTTTTGCAGCACTCCTGGACACAAGGACAGAACATTTTGAAGAACTTCACCTTCCACATATATATATTTTTTTTTAATAAGAAACACATTCAATTAAAAAGATAACCAGCCAAATACAACAAAAACAGGTGAAACAGGTGAAACAGGTGGACAAGAAATCCACTAACACCACCAGAAACAAACAAACAAACAATGAGCTGACAGACAACCAGACAGCTACAAACCCAAACACACAAGATCAGTACATTACAGCCTTCCAACCCAAACCAAACACCCATTTTGAAGAACTTCACCTTCCACATATAGCGTAAGTAAACTAATGAATTCTAAAGTTTGTAAGGTATTAAAATGGTAAACTTAAAACAACTCATTGAAATCTTTAAAAGCAATGTCCAATGGGGAATCCAACATTTATGATGCACTTTATTCGAAAGTTGAATATGAAACTACAATAGCAAGAGAGTCCAAAAGCTAAAATTACCTCAAAAATAAGCGACTCAACAGCATTTAAGTATGGCAACTCCCCAAGATAGTAGTAGTCTCTGTCACTACATGTATATTCAGTATACCTCGCGCACCATAGAGGTTTCTGCACAGAATTAACCAACACCAAGCAACAATCAAAGGGGATACTAAAATTGGACAAATAAATAACCCCAAATAACTATAAATAAAAATAAAAGCAAAAACTCACCTCAAGGAAATTGAGTATTATGAGAGCAAAATATAGGAAGGCCCAAAGGAAGCTAAATCGAACATAAAGAAAGTAATACTTTGCCGCACTCTGGAAATTTTCTTGATCAAGTATCTGCTCAGGCAAGCCAACGCCATCTTCCGCCTGCAGATTATTGCAATTTCAGCCATGATTGCAATGCATTTGCAACTCAAAGAGCAAAGAGTAAAGAGCAAGATTGAAAGAAGGTTTTAGGAGAGAGAGTCAGACCAAATCGACGAGTGCGGCAGCTTTCTGATAAGGAGAGCCAAAGGTGATGGCATCGGAGCGGCGTCTGAAGACCGCCGATCGAACGCCGCTGCCCTCGCCTCCGAGCAGAGGCTTCTTCTCCATCTTCTTCGTCGCGCTTTTGAGTTTGATCCAAAATAGAAAATGGGTTGCTTCGTTCTGGATACACTACGTTATTTGCTTTGTCTGCTGCTTAATAATATCTTTTCTTTTTTCTTCTTTTTTCGGCTGGACTCTTTCCGCGGAAGTATATTACGTGTAGGATCGGGGATCGGGTTGTGGTATTATTACGGATGTGACCTTCCGAATCTGTAGATTTTGAAAGTCGGCATAGGCTATGGGGCCCGTGACCACCTGAATCGTCGGCATAGGATATGGCGCCATCTGTAGATTTTGAATGCTTTATGTCGGCAAAGGCCATGGGCCCCATAGTAATAGTATCCCTCACCTCACGATACATTACAAGGAAAAAGTATTTATCCAACAATAAAACGGGTTGGGTGGTGCTAGAGGCACCAACTTTGGGCACCAAGTTGGGCACCAACTCTCTAATAGAGGTGGAGCCCGCGAATACACCGGGTCCCACGCTCTATTAGAGAGTTGGTGCCCAACTTGGTGCTCAAAGTTGGTGCCTCTAGCATTTTCCAAAACGGGTTACCCATTTAAATCGAATCGAACTCATTTCTTTAAGCGAAGGGAGTGAAAAGGAAAGCAAGAGGTCTGAGCTTTTCTTGTACAAGAGGAAAGCAGAAAGTGGAGAGCGCGAGTTCTTTGAACATAGCGCCACGAGATCCAAGCACCCCAAGCGGCAGCTGCAAGCGCGATAAGAAGTCCGTCAAAGCGCCCGCCAGCCAAGGATGCCAAGAAGAATGATGAAAAGAAGGATGAGGATTTGGTAAGCAATTCTAAGGGTTAGGGATTCGTTCACTGCCTGTTTGGTTCCTGGGAAAATTTCTTAAGCTGAAGTTTCTTGCATTACACTATTTCTAACGGTGTAAACTTTAGTGCTTGTACATCTGCCATGGAAGATAGAGTTACAGGACACAAAAGGGAAAGGTTCGGCACTTGTCACCCTTATACACTGTAGCAGTTAGTGATAGAACTGTTCGAGTTGATGGCCTCACGTTACCACGTATACAAGAGCAAACATTCAGTCATGGCTCAGTTCAGAAATCATAAATTAATGCTCAGATATGTGCAGTTACTCTCAACCCAGACTTTGCCAAAAACAAAAACAAAAGACATTATAATTCTAAACTACAACTTCACCGCTCAGCAAATAAACTCACCAGTTCCATAGTTTTAGCAAACCTTTGACATGACTCGTTTCCACTATTGGCCTGCTAAGACAGACACCAGTAGTTTCTCTTCATGGTTGTGTCTTCAAAAGATGAATCAACCTTCACATAAAACGTGGAAAACGAATGTTATTTTCTTTCAGTTCATCAAAAGCAAATTATAATACAAAACTAAAATAGTTGAGGAAATTATCGAATAAATCTCTAATTGGTTGTTGTAGTACCCCAATTCATCCCTTAACTCTCTGATTTCTTCCTCCAACTCCTGAACACGAATCTCAGCCTCCTTGGAATGCTGATTAGCCTCGTCCCCAAAATCCATCAAAGCCTCCCGGTCATGATAGTAGAGAGAGCTCTCTCTCTCTCCCATTTGTTGCACTCTGACGCCAACCTCTGATTCTCCTCAACAAACTTCTTCAAAGCTTGTGCATTCAGACTCACTTCGGCCTAAACAACGAAACCATCAAAAACAAAAACACAAAGAAAACAAACAATCAAAACGATTATATGAATATGTAAATACATGAACCCTAGCGCACTCAAGGACTTGTAATACCCCGAAAAATTCAAGGTGAATTTTCATATTTTAGGAAAAAATAATATTATGGTGGAAAATGATTATGGATATTTTATCAAGTGATTTTTTATAGAGATTATTAATTAAGTGTGTTTAATTTCAAGTTGGACAAAATGACCAAAATACCTCTATGTGTGAAAGATTACCAAAATACCCTTGTAGGCAACCAAAAACAAAAACAAACAAAAAATCTGAAACGTGGAGGGCATCAAACCACCATCCTCCCATTCTTCCCCCCTTGCCTCTAGTTTTCAAATCCACCATTTATGAAAGGATGAGTCACCTATTCTAAATTGATGACTCACCTCGCCTAAGATTCTTCAATCATGAATTTATTCTCTTCCTCCTCATTCATTGTCTCATCACTCTAAGATTCTTCAATCATGAAATTATTATTATCCTCCTCATTCACCTTATTTTCATCGTCATTCTTTTGTTCCTCTTCAAAATCCAAAATTCGTCATTTCCTTGGAGCAACCGAGAACTCAAATATAGAAAGCTCAAATGAGAAAACTTCCTTCATAAAAGTTGTTCATTTACGTGATTCCTATAACATGCTCCATTTTCACCTCAATCTGATTAGTATAGACTCCGAAGAGTTAGTATGATCACAGTATGTTTACCATTTTCTGATTTCGCAGTAGTATGCTCGGTTTCAATATGTTTCTATGATTTCCTGTGCTCAAGTGACTTTGCTTCCTTCTTCAAAGTTGTTCGAAATTCTGTCTATTATATAACATATCAAAATTTAGGTTGATTAGAATTCTATAGCCACCTTGGGAACGTTTTGACAAAACCCGACCCAAATTCCATTTTGGAATCTGAGTCGAACCTCGTGCGTAGTCCGACACCTGGCAAGTGCGGGGCACATTTGACCAAATTGCCATTATAACCAAAAACCACAAATTAACTTCAAGTTTGACTTCTGTAAAAGATTCGGCAGAGTCTCCCTGTAAATACTCGTTTCCCAAAATTTACACCTGTAAGAAAAGCAATTTATAACCACAACCATTCGACATGCAACACGTTTGAATTCAAACAATCCAACAGTAGAACTTTATGCCCTCATGCCTTACAGAAATCCTAGGGCAATTTCAGAGCATTACTAATCTAGTAACTTTACAAAAATACAATAGTTGCAAGGAAACATCCTACATAGAGAGAGAAGGAATGAAGAGTGATGGCCGCCTTGTGGTGGTGCTCTGGTACACAACTACTGCCTGGAGGCGCAAAAAATTTAAAAGTGTGAGTGGACAAAAATAGAGTTTTGGAAAATAGAATATTAACATACTAACCCACTGTTAAAACCTTTAGAAAATTCGATTATATTAATGTTTTATATTCCTACCAAAATTAAGCATGCGTATTTACATACATATAACCGATCATGCATTCAATCAAATCATAAAAACCTTTTGAAAGCATTGAAAATAGATAATTTCCTCCCACCTAGATGTACCCATAATAAATCCATCAATTCCATGATCTTTCACTTAATTCCCACATTATACCGTCAATTCATTCTGTCACATAATGCGACACATCCTCGCAGGCCTTGGAAACACAAAGTCACCCGAGCCGCATTCCTCGCAAGACTCATGGGACATTTAGTTAAGACTCAAGGGACACTTGGTCAACCTGAGCGGCATCCTCGCTCCTCAAGGTCTAGATATCCCTAAGACTCGTGGGGCAACTGTCAAACGCGCACTGACTCAACCGAAAGCAACTAGAATGTCCGTGGACATTAATATAATCGAAGGCAACATATTATCTAAAGGCACCATATTATCCGAAGGCGACATTTTATCCAAAGGCAATAGGTGGTTTAAAAACCTTTCCTGAAAATTTATAATTCTATTTATCAATAAATTCTTTAATCATGTTATCACTTCCTTTCCTACTTTCCAAGTCATTTACACTTTAAACATAAATAGAATATAATAAAAGTATTTGAATTCAAATATTTATGCTTGGAAAGTAATAGCCATAAATAATTCATTCAAAATCAATCAATGAAACTTTAATTGCATAAAAGCCATTTATAAATAAAAAAAGTCCACTCACTGAATGTCCGAGCTAGCTTGACCCTTTGAGGGTCCCTCCTGCGGTTTAATGAAGCCTGAGTACCTATTTAAGCAATTAAAAATATTTAATGAATAACATTGCTCAACCATAGATATTTAATCAAAACCTTGACCCCCGGCCTCAAAAGTAAGTGTATGTGACCTACAAAAGTTCCTAGGCTCATTTTCAACATTTTTAACAGGTGGAATGGTTTGAAAAGATCCGAGATTAAATAAGCGATTAAATTCCCATATTGGTCAATCCGATACCCCATGGGGTCCACGACCTTCGATTTCCCATCTTAGAGTTCCTATAGGTTCAACACACTTTACTAAATATGCCCTACAAGTTTGGTTCGAATCGAACGGTCGGATTGCTCGCGATCGTACGATTGAACGATTATCATTTATCTAAACTTCAAATTATTGAATCAGAGTATCCGGGACTCCGATTCTCGATCTGTAAATTTCTACATGATCCTATGGGTGCCTAGATCAACATAGAAGTCAATCCAACGGTCCGAACATATTGAACCCGGATAACGCCTAATATGTGATATCCGATCGACGATCAAACGATAACCAAATTGAAATCCGAGCATACCGTCGTGCTCGGAACGACGTGGGAAACATTCTAGGACAAAAACCCAACCTTGACACCCTGCCGACGTGCCTCCATGCACCGCCACCGCTGGCAGGTGTATTGAGTAATTCTCCAGCGATCATAAAACTCGAAACTGCCGCCTAATAATCATACCTACAAATTAAGCACATCAAGGGGAGTAACTTTATACCTTGGCTCGATGATCAATTCCACTTTTAAAGCCCTTGAACGAACCTTTCTCTCTTAAAAAACCTAGAAATTTTAGTTTCAAAATCAATGACTTTGGAGTGAATTCACGTTGGGTTTTCAAGGGATAACGCAAAGGGAAGGTAGGAGAGTATTTTGGAAGTGATTGGGTGGTGGTCGGAGTTGGCCGGAAATGGCGTCAGGAGTCACGGCTGCAAAACAGCCGATTTCTGGAGCTTAGTTTCGTTCAATCTTCTGGTTTGCTCGCTTGGTTTTGGGTCTAGAAATTGGTATGGAAGTGAAGAGGAGAAAGATGAAGAGTTTGCAAGTTGTGACGCCATATTTGGTGGCCGGATGGAGAAGAAATCGAAGTTTGAAAATCTGATGCGAAAACTGGAGGGCTCCGGTTGAATCTGGAAAAGGTGGTTGGGTTTTTTTTAATAAAAAAAAAAAAAAAAAAAAAAAAAACGAAACGATCCGATTTAATATATTTATAATGCCACTGAGCTTCTGTAGATCATAACTTTTTCCTTATAACTCCGATTTTAGCCCACTACGTGTTTACGAACTCATCTCAACGTACTCTACTCAAAGGTACAACTGAAATTTCCAAATTTCTTCCTAAACCAAAAGTCACTTTTAACCCGATAAAATATTCCCGGGGTAAATTCGTCTTTTACTTGAATAAATTAATAGTTAAATATTTATTTAGGATTGGGTTATTACGCATTTAGGGTGGAACTTGTTTATAGTCTTCGACCCTAATTCCTTCCCTCAGTTTCAATCCAGAACACTCATTTTGAAAACTCAAAACACTGTGATTTCTTCATGATAGTTACTTCAAATTCTCCTCTTTATAACATATCCAAAGGTCAGCAAAACGCAACCATTATAACTCTCTGAAAATTGGTATGAGCAAAACACAACCGTTATAGATGTGTACTTTCTCTCAAATGGCTTGTTACTTGTCATTCAATTGATCAAATTAGCCACTATCAGCTCAAGTAAATGATTCTTTGAAGGTATGAAGCTCATCTTCTTATTGTCTCTTTGAGTACTAGTTGTTTAGATTGGTTAGATTGCTTCAATGACATATATCTCTTTCAAAGTGTGTTTCTGTAAAGTTCTAGATTATTTCAATGTGATTTTTTACCAAATTTCATTCTAGGATTTTGTTACATCAAATTGATATCTCAAGGGTTATTTCAAAGTTGGTTTTGTGCCATTTGAATTTAAATTGAGTTTTTTGTGAAATTTCAAAGTACAGACTATGTTGTTGGAATTGTTCTGATTCTACCACATGCCATGTTTTGAATATGTGTTTGAAAACTTCCTGAACTTGGATTTTCATGAAATTTTAGTATGTTTTACTTTCACGTATTTTCTTCAAATCTTGAAAGTTTTATCTAGTTTGGTTGTAAATTGAAATTTTGGTGAGTTTTCAAAATAAAGTGTACAAACCTTAAAAAAAAGAACATTATGCAGCCTAGTGTGTTTTGGTTTCTATTTTGACATGCTTCCTTAATCCTAATTTTCATCAAACTCAATATTTAGTGAATTTTGGAAGTTAACGTGTTCCAGCCTAAATGTTTAGCAAAACTGAAGTCTTTGCTTTAATTTGATGTTTTAAATTTTCTTTATGAGTCTAGAGCCGAACCACCTGATTTTAAACATGCCAAACAATAGAACAATTATAGGAGGGGAATAGATTGGTTTTTCCTTGACGCTTGGTTCTATGGTTGCTTGAACGTGATGTTAAGGGAGTAACGATCGGGTCGAACAACTTGTCAAGTGTATTTGGGGCTTTAGGTCTACGCACGCCAGTAGGACACTCAAACGTGTTTCTTTTTATCCAATGAATTTTAATCAGTAAAAAATCTGGACTAAACTTGTTTTGAGTTTTTTAATTTAGGTTTTGTGTCTAGTATCTTTTAAATTAATTAGTGACAATCACGTAATATATAGGAACTTTAACACTGATTTCTTACATAATAAATGAGTTTTTAGTATGTTTTTAAAGTGCATTCCATATTTTAAAAAAATTATTTATAATTTCAGTCAATATTTTGAGTATAATATAGAAGACCCCTTAAAGGTTTTCCTTTTCATGGGAACCACTACTCTGCAGCTGGTCCTGTCTACAGGATGTGGGCCATAATATTCCAACGGTAATGTTCCAGAAGGATTGTCGTCCATTTTTCCTCGACAAAAAATAAAAGAAAAAAACTATTTAAATTAAACGGATATGACTTTGTCTCCATGCGCGTCTTGTTTGACCCTCTTGTTAAACAGCTCCTATTAATTTAAGCCATTATTTAAATGCAGAAAAACACCTCATACCCTCGGAAGGCATCACATGTCAACATGTTTGGTAAAATCGTTGAACCGCAAATGATCGCAACACTTCCATCTGTTAAAATGACTCCGTGCCAAACGAAAACACCGGAGCACGGCGTTTGCCGATCAAGACCGAAAGTATAGGAGGTCAAAAAATATGAATAAAAGAGCTGCATTTCTGACAAAAGAATAAAAAATGTTTCTAACCATCTCTGGGCAGCTACCACACTAAAACTATACTCAGTATACACACAATGCAAAAAGTTGTACCCTTTGAGATGCAGGAGGTTAACCCCGCATGATACTAAGAGCTCCCCAATTAGAGATCAGTTATATCTGTGAGAAAACTTACTAATTACACAAGTAATGAATTGGGAAGATGAAGCCAGCATCAAAGAACAAATGGGTATTTTCCTCTCTCCTCCGTGAATGTAAAATTAATCCGACCACCATGAAACACACGCAAGAGGCCCCCGCAAATCAAAACCAAAATCAAACTCCTGCGATCTCTAGAGACTTTCTACACCTCTTGCCGACATCAAACCTGCAAAAAGTATGCAATCCTATTAGTAACATGGAAAACTTATGCATACAAACTCATCGACTGCATATAACAAAAGGTTTAAGCAAACGATAATTTCACCATTCATGCTCAAACAGGGGCAAACTGAATAAATAGAGCACAACTAATTTCTAAAACATTATAACAGCATCATGACTCCAGGAAGCAACTAGGTGAAGTTCCAAAACCAATGTGCAGACATCAATGTCAAAACAGGAAATAAAATAAATTTTGAGAGTTTAAAAGAAATTTGGTAAAACTTCAATTTCTTTGCATCAACCCACAATATCCATGAAGCGCATGGTAAACTTAAGAACCATTACCTTTTCCCCAACCAACAAGAATCTGACCACTTATGAAACTCGGAATAACGGCTCCAAATATAACAAGCTAGACAACTTTATCAGTATAATTTAATATTCTAGATACTTGAACCATATCTGATGTCACATTAGTTCAACAATAAGTACAGCAGTAGAAAAGCAAAAAAAATATATGCAAGTTCATCATAATAATTAGTTCTGGCAAGAATTCAAATGCAAACCAATGGAAAACCAGAAATAAACGTGTAGGAAAAATGAGACAGCAGCAGATGCAGAGAGTACGGGGAAATAATCTGAAGGTTTGAAGCAGACACAGAGACTAAAAGAAAATATACAAATTCCAAAGGTTTGAAGCAGTTGCTTGACAGTACATACTAGCTCAGAAAGCATCCAATCAAGATCAATGGTTCTAACATGACTGAGATATAAAGACATAATAAAAGATAAAATTTTAGATTCATCAGGTAAACAGAACAGACATTTCAAGTAATGACATACTTTATGCCCAGTGCCAAATAAACAAACCAACAGTAGTTTATCATTTAACTGCACAATGTATTGAGCATGACACGATCTGGAATATATTCCTAAATAATAGAAGGAGATGGTAAGATATTCCTAAATATCAATGATTAAAATTTACCTTGTCCCCCTTAGACTTTTTTCCTGTAACAAGCTGGAATATACGAAGGCCCCGGCTGAAAGCTTCATTAAACAATATCCTAGTCTGCATAGACTGAAACCCAGGAAACCATGATAATACTGCAACAGGAGTCATTACAATCACCCCGAACAATACATCATACAGTCGAGCCACAGAAACAACCGCGTTCCAAAGTATAGTGCGCTGTAGCCAGGGCCGGAATACTTGTGCTATCAATATCAATCCCCACCCAGTGGGAATGAATGCCAGAAGACTAGTGAAAATATCCACAAACTTGAACTCTGTGAATTCCAACAGGGCAATTATAACCAGTATTGCAAGTTTAATGACAAGAAATTGGACCAACCGATAGTAAATGTGATCTTTTGCTGCATATCTGTCCCGAGCATATGCTATTACCACAAAAATTCCAAAAGCCACAAACACAAATATCCAAGACAACAAGTAAACAGCAATACTGGTACTTCCAGCAGCAATACCAAGCTGGTATACAATCCCATATTGGAAACAGAAGAAGCGGAGGTCTAAGATTATCTCCAAAAACTTTCCCCAGAGGCCAGTTGTCCTTAGATGATCCTGTTCCTCATACCACCATCTTTCCCAGCTCTGTTCAGCTTTTGCAAACACACTGCCACGATACCAAATCCAGCTCATGAAGTCATCAAAGTCCTCTACAGTCTTCAACCAATCAAAGCCAGAAGGATTAAAAATAAAGGGTGCCATAAACCATGACAAAACCAGGAACCAACTTGTGATGGTCATGGCTATGTAAACAAATGTGGCCTTAGCTACAGGACTATGTGATGCATAAACGATAAGTATCAAACCAAGTTCAATTGCTTTCACAAAATGACTACGAGCATAGAGTCTATAATTCTCTGCAAAACTCTTGTGCTGCACAACAAAGCCACGACCAGTCGCTCGATACTTTGCACCACCATGAAGAATAGTTCGCCCAAAAAAGTGGGTACGAGTTCCCATGGAGAATGTGTAGAAAACTGATGAAAGCTGGAGCTGCATTGTCAAGAAATCCCACACAGCTTGAAGGAACCCATGCTCAAGAGAATTCTCCACTATCATTGGAAGGGCAGTGAACAGACCAAGTTGGATAATGAACTGCTGATTTAAGATTGTACCAAGTGCTCTGTTGCTAGTATCATTTTTCAATATAGAACCTTCAATACCACTAAGAGCCAGATAAAGCCGGCCCCAAAGAAATGCGTACACAGTAAGAACAACCATCATTGTATTAAAAAAGAATCCCACAGTGGTATAAAAGAATGATAGCATCCGCAAGAAATCCAGCCTATGACCCAACCTATAGACATCTCTGCTGAGAACTTGCTCGCCGTTACCACTAGCAACCTTGGCCTCAAACATGGAAATTTGGTTGAACCCAACATCCCTTCCCTTGCCCACTTGAATGTATTCATGGTGTGTGACATTTCCACCACGCAATGTGCAATTAAAGCCAGCAAAAATGTCTTCACTGATGTTAATCACCCTGGAAGCTTTACTGATGCCACCTCGAGTCAAGAACCAAAACCGGTCAAACACATCTGGATGACCATAATGCATTCGAATTTTCAAAGGGTTTGCCAGCACCCGCTGTCCCAATGTGACAAAACTTGTTTCTTGAGCTGACATAAACCAAGCAAGTGATGAGACAGAACCAGTAAAAATATGCTCCCTGACTCCCAAGATCGTAGGCTTCCGTATACCATAATAGCGCCTATATTCTTCCAATAGATTCCGCATTTTAAGTGCCTCCTCAAAATAATTGTCTTGGTTCATATCAATCGTCTGAACTGCATCACCACGAGTGAAGATAATGGCATGATTTTGATTCTCTGGTTTTCCCTCTCCAAGCTTCAAGGGACCAGGCAACTTTATGCGGTAGATTTCAACTTCCTTCTCCAATTTCTGGTCAAACTTCACAAGAACAGAGTAATACTCCTTCTCATCCCTACCAGTTGAAACCTCATCAAGATAGGCAACTCGAAGCGCTTCATTGGTTTTCATCAAATACAAAATTTCGTCAGCATGGGGATCTTTTTCGCCTTTTGCGTTCCGTATATCTGGCAAGCAACCACATATGTATATTTCATCAAAGCAGTTCCATACTCATGACCTTTGTATAACAAGTTCACACGACTGCTTGTTCTACTTAAACTCCGGGAAGAAGGTGACCTCTCCGAGGTCAAACCATCCAAGCTAATGTCTCGCATCATGGAACCAAGCTCTTGTGATCCTTCCCGAATGTCCATCTCTGATGCCGAATCCAGAAAAGCCAACATCTTAAGAGCCCGATAATAATACATCATTCCCCTTACAGTCCGAGTAAGGGTCTGGCCTCTGTAAGATGCCCAAAGCCTGAGATCTCTCAACTTAGTTGTCCATATTTCATCGTCACTCACCATTCCTTCTCGGCGCATCCTCTCCTTAAAATTTTTCCACTCATCAACATAAATTGTCTGCAAATAATACAGGATAGAAATCCCATCTTCATTCTCAGTGCGCAGTTGTTCCTTGTTGTACAATACTTCTTCACTGTAGTAAGGGGTCAGAACACTGAAAGCCATCATTTTCTCAACTTGGGGGGCATGGGGCATGTTCATAAATAAGGAGTTACTGAAGAAGGCAATTCTGCGTCTTGCCTCAAGGTTAACTGGGATATTTTGCATCGAGTCCCGAGAGGTAAGTATTGTGTGCAATCGCCGAACCTGCCGATAGAAGAATACATTGTTAGGATCAGGCAACTCAACGGCATCTTCAAAAAGCAGCCCTCCAGAAGAAGCTGGATTACGAGAAGCCAAACCATCCTCCATCAGCTGTTCAGTAGTTCTTTTCTCCTTGAAAAAATCTCGAATGGCAATCTCATAAATGGCCTGCAGAGCATTTACCACCTGATTAGCATCTTTCTTAGGTTTGCTCAGAAGCTCAACAAGCTTGATCAACTTGGCATGGAGCTGTGGAAGCGCAGTCGTTTTAAATGTTTTCGTGAACTTCTCAATCTGAACAGAGTGATCAATTTCCTGAAACAAGACTGTCATAATGGAATGCTCTTCTGTGTTACGTTTGATAATGTCAAGTAGCAAGTGCTTGATGCAATCATAAGCTTCTAAAACAGCACAGCGCCTGTACTCATTCTTGCATATCTTATACCAGAGCCACTTATCAGGAGCATCTACCAACTCTTTGGCCTGACTAAGTGCCAGCAGCAGTTCATTGCACAGAAGAAAACAAGGCCAGCGTATAACCCTGACATTCCAAGAATTCTGTGGCAGCTCTAACAACTCAAGCTCGCAGTCAGAAATTATATCTTCTTCCCTGAAGATCAAAATTATCTCATTCCATATCAAGGCAAACTTGGTTGCCTCAACCTGGTTAGATTCGAGCTTCTTATATGGCCGTCCAAGCCCGTACCTGAGCTTCAACCGGTGGATAGCATCATTAAACTTACTCCTCAAAGTACCCCTTGCGTTCAAAAGTTGCTCTTCTGGCATGAGATTAAACTGAATTGCACTTGCAAAGAACTGGAATCTCAGCCTCAATTGCCCAATATTCCGTATCTCACCCAAATGTGCAAACAAGCCCACTCCTGCCCCCACAAGCGAGGAGTAAATCGCATAAAAAATCTGCAAATCCATGAGGTATATCAAAACTATTGGAAGCCACAATAATCCCACCGCGAACTTGTTGCTGTTACCAAAGAACTGATGCCATTCATAGTTCACATCCTTCATTTTTACGAGTGCTTTTGAAGGGCCAATCATGGGTTTAATCTGCATGAAGTAACTGAAAAAAAATTTTGTCGCAAGCACGAAAATCCAGAACAAAGTGTACTTTATATTGTCCACAAGGCCTTCCCTCAAGCCACGGCCAACAAAAGTTCTGCTCTGAAACCACCATGATAACATGTAAAATATCTTCCAGTTTGTGTTCTCAAGAAAATTCCGAACCCAAGGAAGAATAAACAGGACCAAGGCCAAAAGCTCTGGAAGGATGAAAACCGCTGCCACCAAAAGAAAATTCACCACACGCTTATTTGCCTCGGAGGACCACTGCCTATCCTGATTTCTCTGGGTCCATATCCTCCCGTAGAACACCCCAAAAACAATAATCCACCCCGCAGCAACTATGCTCTTCAACACCATTCTCACTCCGAGCCCCAAAGTCTCCCTTGAAACCAGACTATACTGCATCCCCACATCAAGCAAGGACTGCAAAAACCTGAAACCAGCCCAAGTGAAAAACACAGTCAAAACCTTGACCTGCACTTCCCTCTCCTCCAAAGCCTGCCACGGATACTCCCTCTCCTCCCAAGCAACAATAATAGCTGCCTGAAGGAACAAAATCAACATGATCCAAAGCTTGTCAAAGCTCCTAAACAAGTTCCAAAACGACCTCTGCTCCACAAACCCAGTCTTACCCACATGCCTACTCTTACTAGAAGTAACAAAGAAGTTACTCCCAATATCAACAGGCCATTTGAGCTTCTCAAAACACCTCTTACTCCAAAAATACTCATTGATATCATCATAGTTTCTCCAAACACTATGTGGGGCAGTCCCATTCTTGCTACTCTCAACCTCAGCTTTAATGGTCTCATAAATGGGTTTCACAATAGAATTCAAAAAAGCATTTTCCCCAGAAACCGAAGGCATCACGGGCTGACCCGTGTTCTCATCAATATAATCCTCCAAGATCTTGTTCAATTCCATGGCCATATTGTGAAAAATAAAGCACAAACACTCAGGCACAAACCTCAGATTCGCCGCCTCGCCCCAGATCAAGAGATACAGCGACACATACAGGAGCTCACGCCGCTGGTCAGAGGCAGTGTCACGATGCCGGTCGGAAATCCAAATGTTGGACTTTTTCCCCAAATACGAGCACCACTCGGTGTAATTCTTGAGCAGCTTACGGCGGAACTTCCTCAAAACGGCGCCGTCGAGGGTGTCGATATTGTCCGGGGGAGGGTTGAGGCGCATCTGAGCGTTGGCGAGATGGAGGACGATGTGCTCGCGCTGGTTGCGAACGTTGTCGTATTGGAAGCCAAAGAACAAGGCGAGCCAGTCGAGGAGGTCCATGTGGGGCTGCCATTGGGCGTATGGGGGACGCCGGAGGTTTCCGACGGCGCGTAGAGCAGCAGCGGCGGCGCGTACCTCGGGGAAGCGGAGAGAAGGGTGGTCAGCGAGGAGGTTGTGGACGGGGATGATGTTGTAGGGCTCCGAGTCCGGGTCGAAGGAGGAGGATTGAGTACCCTGGCGGATACTCATGGCCTGGAGGTTCGGCAGAGGAGGTAGCACGGAGAAAGTGTGCGTTGGGCGGTGGTTTTAGTTTTTCTGTTTTCTGCTTGCTGTTTTGGATTCTGATGAGGGAGAGAGAAGGTGGAAGAAGAAGAAGAAGAAGAAGAAGGGGGCAGCTGGGGATGGTTTTTTAACGTGCAAAATGAATTTTTGAGAGAGAGGAAGAGGGTGGGGGAGGGGCGCGTTAAGGTTGAAACGCTGTCGTTTCATTGCTTTTTCCTTTTTCTGGTCCTCCGCTTTCTCTTTCTCTCTCTTCTGTTTTACCAGTTACCGTCTAATTTCAAATATTTTGGCTCTTTCCGTTAGCGTTCTTTTTCTTGTTTCTCTCTTTTTTGTGCGTGTGTTTATGGTATGGACATACCTCGAAATTTTCAACTTTGGTATTTACCATTTTTCTGGCATTCACATGTGGGAAGTCGTTCTGGTACCTAATTACATGCCAAATCGTGTTATTTTGAGTTAAGTTTTCTTAGACTCTAAGTTTACTCATATATTTGAGATTAATATATGTTAGCATCAAGTTGAATAATGACAATTTTGGATTCAAATAATGATAGTATGAATTACTCTAAATTCATCTCGTCTTTGGTGAGGAGGCTTCGAACTTTGGTGAAAGAGGGAGTTCACTACTTTAGCCAATTATTCTAACCTACATATGATACATGATGTTTTTTGGGTATACATGTTAATAAGAAAAGTGGAATAGATTAGTTGACTGACTTGACAATTGAACCGACAAATGAGGGAAAGAAGGGAATTAATTGCAAAAATGAGTTATTATTAGAGAAGATGGGTCGTAGTGACTTTCAGAAGACAATATGCGACATAGACTATTTTTCAAGGGACATTGGCATAGTTAAACCTAAAACAATTTGTATAATATGTGACGAAAAATAAAAAAATTTGTACTGAATATAGCTACGTGACGAAAAATTAAAAAAAGAAATTGTAGACCGACACATGAGCTGAAGCACTAATGCCATGATTTATTTGCAAAATTAGGCAAGATTTATTTGCTTGTATATTTGAAGTTCTAGAAAAGGTGACTGGTAAAAGGCAAAAAAATAAATAAAGAAAAGAGAATCTAATACTTTATAAATTAAGAAAATGTTAATTTGCTTCTTTTTAGGCGCTTTTTCCACCTCGCAATTCGACAATCATTTGTATTCTTCTACTGTGTCTGCATGCGCTCCGCGTCTGGCTGGCAAATATCCCCTCCCTAATCCAACGGCCAATGCTAAGTTAACGTCTAGATCTATACATTAATTTGGTATTTATGTTAAGGTCAAACGCGGCTTCTTTCTTAAAAGATAAGAAGAGAAATTTCAAATTGAAAGGGTCGTTTTGGTGCTTCTGGAATCTGTCAAGGCCGGATCCTGTCTTGGAAGTTGGAGCTGAATTTGAGGTTTTTTTTTTTTAAATAAAGAGGACAGATTTTATTTATAATTAGACAAATTAGTGTACAGTTAGCAAAAATTTATATTATTAGCATTTCATCAAGTTATATTTTCACTTTCATATTAGGTCAACGTCATATTAAACTTTATTGATTTTAAATAATAGGTCATATGCCCATCTTCTAGATACGAAGGTTTCTACAACCTTTCACTTGTCATGCGTTATCACAATATGCTTTCATGTGCCATATCCTATGCCACCTCAACATATCACCGTCGTCGCCCATCGCTGACTATCGTTGTCGATCTTTCCGTGGACGTGCTCACCGCCACTTGCCACTACCCACTGTAATGGGACAGTATGTTAGATCACATTCAATTAAATTGATGGGTTTTAAACCTATGACCTCCAACTTTGAATCCAACGAAACTAAATCTCAACTTATGCTCGGTTTTGAGTTTTTATATTATTTATACTGAATCTTAAACATCAATTAAAAGTTTTTTTTTCCTAGAAAAATTATCATTTTCTTTTTATGAAACTAGATAATAGTTGTTCACTCAATAAAATTTTTCTTATTAAGGTAAAAAAATTAAACCACTTGGAACACATATTTTGCTGACCAATTAAAAGATGACACATGTTGTTTGTACCATATTTGACCGACCTCTCATGCCATGACACATGGAAAGGATCTAACACCAAGCAGGGCCTTGTGACCCACGCTGGCAAGTCCAATCCTGCAATCGGTAGGCACCCTCGACACCAGCTGTTGATTGCTCACTAGCTAGCCCACAATCGGCAAGTTCCTTAGGTATCCCCTGCCGATTCAGCCTCTCAGAATGTATCTTGCATAAATTTCTCAAGTTCCTCACTGGTATGTTCCATAGGACATGTGGCAAATTTTATCATAGCAGAAGGAAGTCTTGACTTCTTTCTTAACGAAGACATATCCCTTGCTCGCGATGTTGCAGGTTCATCTTTAGAGGACCTCGCGTTAGTCTTCCTCATATCGGGGAGTTCAGTTGATGACTCTTCCCGTTCCGCAGGCTAATCATCCGAGTCTGAGCCATACTGCTTCCATATCTCAATATCCTTGGCGGGGGCAGGCCACCAGCCTTCTTCCAATACTCGATCAACAGCCAGCGTTATTCGCAAAATAGCGCAGAGATGTTCAAGGCCTAGCGGACCTTAGCCATGTCCAGCTCAAGATCTAGTTTCTTGTTGATGTCATTCTTTGCAAGCAAAAGACAAAAGTCAGTTAGTCACACATCAAATAATTCAAATAAAATTGAAGCATATCAATTGAGCATGGCATATCATCGCAGTAGGTGAGGGGAAGAAGGGGACCGTCGCCAACCTCGCATTCCCACCTTCCGCTGACCTCCAACACATCGACATGCCACTCGTGATCTCCTTGGTTGAGATTGTCAAATAGCTTGGCATTGCATACACGAACTTGGGCTTACTTCTCGTAGTGCCTCACCTCGAAGAAGTAAAATAACTTTAGCACCGTCAGATTCAGCTTGAAGAAGCGGTTCATATTATCAAAACAAATTATCACCCGGTTTCAATTTCAATTATGATGTTCCTTGTACCTCTATTATCATGTAGGAACTTGCAGATCGAGAATCGAAATTCCGGATACTCCGAGTCAATGATTCTAGAGTTAGGCGAACTGATTGTCATCCGATCGTGCGATTGGCTTAATCTAACCATTTAATCAAGAGCAAACCTTCTGGACTTGTTTAGTAGAGTTTGTTGAGTAGATTTTGTTGGACCTACATGAATTTTTGGATCGGAAATCGGAGGTCGTGGACCCCACGGGCCCAATTGACCAATATGGAAAGTTTGATTGCTCAATTGACCATGAGTCTTCTGAAACCGCCTCATCCTTCGAGAAGTATTATAATGACCTTATAAACCTTCTTAAAGGTTGTGCACACTTTAAGACCCGAAAACTATAGTTTTGAGTTAAAGTTTGTTGTTGGGTAGTTTTATTAACTAAGTTTGTTTATCCTCTCAAATAGGTATTCATTCTTCGCGTACTCCACGAGAAGATCCCTCTCATGGTTGAGCAGCATTGGACTTGTTGTGAGTAGACATTGTTTTTAAATGATCATTGTTTTTCAAATATGGAATTGCTTGCATAAATGTGATTTGATTGGAAATTGGTTTATTTGGGTTAATGAGGTTAAGTGATTTTATTATCGGGCTAGTCTCGGCTTTTACAGTGTGATATGGGATTTCCTAGAATTATTCTTATTATTATTCTTATTATTATTATTATTATTAAAGTATATCGATTTGGGGTTTTGGACTATGGTGATTTTGGATTTGGTGATATTGGGTTTGTTTATGAAATTTTAACATGGGATTTTGGTTTATATTGTTTATACCAAAATGAACAGCCAATGAACATCGGACACGTGGACCAAACCCGAGTTATGGGAGCCTTCGGCACCTTTCTTCGGCATCATTAGGGCAACCTCACCCCCAGGGACACGTGGCAGTCCCACAATCGATGTCCACAGTCCCACATCGAAACTCTAAACAAATTGCACACCTCCCAAGGCCTATATAAGAGGACAGCTACCACAGTTGGAGGTAATCAATCAGAACTCACATCATACTACCTATTGATTTGCAGTTCAAACTTACTAAATCTGTACTCATTTAAGCATCGGAGAGCCTTCGGCCAGTACCACACCGGTGCCCTAGGACTTACCGAGCGTTTACTATCTTACAGGTATAACGCCCTACCGAGGCCATAGCATACCAAAGGAAAAACAAATCACTAAGTTGCGCGGGAAAGTGCCGAACCATTTTTCTGCGTCAACAGTTTGGCGCCGTTTGTGGGAATAAAAAACAATCAACCTACAATTCCTAAAAAAAACATATGGGGACCACTTCAGGACCACAGTTCCTATCGGAGGATGGATTACCGTACGGTATGCCAAGTGGAGCAAGCCCATCGCTACACCCTAGCACCCCCTTCGGTAATCCTCCAGTGCTTCAGACCACTGTCGAAGCGGAGCTTCTGGCTCAGATGACCTCCATTCGGAGGGAAATGGCTAAACTCCAAGAACATAACAAACTCCTCTAGTCCAAAGTAGACGAAACCCAGCGGTTGCTTAACGAGCAGGAAACACAGAGCATTCAGGCTACCGAGTCTTCCTAGAGTCAGCAGACCCCCGGTCGGCAGAAGAAGGGAAAGATGGGGGCAAAGGCAACGCCTGCGCCTTCCAAACAGTTGGTGGTCCCAGCTCCACAGGACCAGCCTCACGTGCCGAAGAAGGTGTACACCGATTGTCGTCATCGGATCAACGACAAGAAGGATGCCGAATGGCATAGGTCCCCAATCAGGGTTAATGCCTGCTTGCGGGACTCGTGGATGAAGGTCCTGGGAGATAAATCGCCCCTTAGGAAGGTCTAGGGTTTGGATTCGGGGTTGGAATCTGACGATGAGTACGTCCCCACCAAGGGCACCAAATCAAACTACCGTTCGGAAACTCCCCCGGGGTATTCGAAGGCAAGACCACCAAGTTTGAGGAGAACTTCCGAAGACTTCAGTTCCGAGGGGGTCCCAAGCCGAGACCCCGCTATCCGCCTGCTTTTCCAGAGAATCCAGAAGATGGAGGATGACCGAACCTGGTCCGAGGTCCCTGACTGGGGAAAACTTCGGCCAGGACCATTTACCGAGCACATCAAGAAGTCCAGACAGGACAGGGAGGTGCAGCCGTTGCGCATACCATTTTATACCGGCGTGGAGGACCCTTTGACGCACCTTCACTCCTTCCAATCGGCAGTTGGATGCAAGGGCCTCAGCGACGAGGGGCAATGCCTACTGTTCCCATCATCCCTTACCGAAGCTGCTCTGAACTGGTTCTACCTTCTTGAGCCAGGGACGGTAGACTCCTTTGACGAACTGAAGCAGATTTTCCTCAACTACTTCATGATCCAGACAAACCGCTTGTACTCTGTCGATGATCTGTACACGATTCGGCAGAGAGAAGACGAACCCCTACGGGAGTACGCAGCGCGCTTCAATCACGAATACTCGAGGTGTCCTGAAACGGACGATAGGGCAGCCTTCGGCGCCTTCAAGAGTGGCCTTCGGTCATCCCACTTCCGGTATCTCGTGCACAGTAGTAACTGGCGCACATATGACGAGCTGATGAAGCAGGTGGCAGTTCATGCGAAAGCCGAATATTTCAACTCCAAACCTGGACCTTCGGCTCGTAAGGAGGAGTCAGCGACCAAGAGTTATCCGGGGCGAACTGACGATTCTTCGGCAGGGCACAAACGGAAGGACGACCGTGATAGTCGTCAAGGAAACTCGAAGAAAGGGCGCGGGAAATACGGTCGTAACGACCACCGTGCGCCGCTACCGAATCACGATCGTGCCCAGGAAGTCTTCACCCTGCTGAACACTACATACGAGACCGTTCTGATGAACGAGCATGACCAGATCCCGAAGCCAACCAACCGAAAGCCCAATCGGCAGGACAATTGGGAGACTGGCAAATTCTGCCGATACCACCAGCATTAGTCTGAGGAAGATCGTTGAGCGCCTGATTCTGGAGGGAAAGTTGGATCAGTACATCGCCAGGCCACCACAGGCACCAGCACCGAACGCGAATCGGCAGATCAACATGATCAGCACGATCAACGGGGGCCCCACTCTGGCAGGACCCTCTAACTATTCAATGAAACAATATGTGCGTGCCGCTCACTACCCCCAGGTCTTCGGCATAAAAGACGATCGGTGCCACAAGGTCCCGAAGGTGGGGTGGGATCCCATCACCTTCTGTGAGGAAGAAGAGGAATGGATCATTTACCCCCACGATGACCCAATGATCATTCGGGCCGAGATCGCCGACTACGATGTAGGTCGGGTGCTGATTGACACCGGGAGTTTGGTGAATGTAATTTTCGCTGATGCATTCAAAGGACTGGGAATTGCCGACAGCATGGTCAATCGGCAAATAACACCCCTCCTCAGTTTTTCTGGGGATCTAGTCCAGCCAGTCGGCAGTATCAGTCTGCCCATCGCCTTCGACGTCGCCCCTAGGAAAACAATGACCTACGACCAATTCCTCATTGTCGATTGCCCAACGGCATACAACGTCATCGTAGGGCGAACGGCACTCACCAGGGTCAAAGCCCACTTATCCCCTCACATTTTGCTGATGAAGTTCCCAACACGCAACGGTACTGGCGTCATCCGGGGTGACCAGCTCAATGCACGGTCATGCTATGCCACAACCCTTAAGTCGGTAGCTTGCAAACCGCCAATGGAAGCCATGACCGTGCAGGGACTACCGAACGGTAGCGGGCTCATTGATGACCCCAGGGAGGAAACGCCAAAGCCAGTGGCGCAGCCTGCCGAAGAGCTCGAAACCGTGGTCCTAAACGAGGATTTTCCCGATCGGTGGGTAAAAATCAGCACTAACCTAGATGCCGACCTCCGAAGACAGTTCATCGACTTCTTACGGCAGCAGGCGGAGTTTTTCGCCTGGTCTTATGACGATATGCCAGGCATATCACCTGACGTCATCAACCACAAGCTCAGCATAAGCGGTCAGGCAGAAGCGCCGTTCATATGATGCCGAACGGTAAGAGGCAATGCGTGCCAAAGTTGACAAGCTCAAAGCCATCGGCTTTATCTGGGCAGCTACGTACCCTATCTGGCTTGCCAACTCAGTCATGGTTCGGAAGACCACAAGAAGATGGCGGATGTGTCAGGACTATACCGACTTGAACAAGGCTTGTCCGAAGGACAGTTTCCCCTTGCCGAGAATCGACCAGCTCGTCGACGCCACCGCTGGACACGAGCTGCTCAGCTTCATGGATGCCTATTCAGGATACAACCAAATCTTTATGGACCCTGCCGATAGAGAGCATACGGCATTCATCACCGACCGCGGATTGTACTGTTACAACGTCATGCCCTTATCAACGTCTCGTCAACCGGATTTTTGCTAAGCACATCGGCGGCATTATGGAAGTATATGTCGACGACATGTTGGTGAAAAGCTGAACGGCAGGGGGGCATCTGGAAAACCTAGCCCTCATGTTCGGTATACTAAAGGACTACCGAATGAGGCTGAACCCAACGAAGTGCGCCTTCGGTGTATCTTCTGGTAAATTTCTCGGATTTATGATCAGCCAAAGGGGAATCGAAGCTAATCCCGAGAAAATCAAAGCCATAATCGACATGGAAACCCCGAAGACACAGAAGGACATTCAAAGCCTTACCGGACGTGTCGCTGCCCTGTCACGCTTCATCTCCAAGGCTACCGACAAGTGCGTGCCGTTCTTCAAAGCTTTGAAAGGGGGCAAACATCATATCGCATGGACTCCCGAATGCGACCAGGCATTTCAAAACTTGAAGAACTACATGAGCCAGGCACCGCTATTATCAAAACCACTCCCAGGAGAAGTCCTCATCCTATACCTCTCGGTATCCAACACTGCCGTAAATTCAGTATTGATATGGAAGCCAGAGAATGCAGAGCTACCGATTTTCTAAGTCAGCAAGGCACTACAGAGCGCGGAGCTTCGGTACCCACCCTTAGAACAGCTAGCACTGGCCCTGGTTGTCTCGGTGCGAAGGCTTCGCCCATACTTCCAGGAGCACGACATCACTGTTCTGACAAACCAGCCCCTTCGGCAGGTACTCCAAAAGCCAGAAACGTTGGGCCGATTGGTCAAATGGGCAATCGAGTTGGGAGAATTTGACATACAGTTCAAACCAAGGCATGCAGAAAAAGGTCAGACTGTCGCCGACTTCATCTCCGAGCTCACACCTCATGCACTATCGGAAAAATCCTTTCCGAACGCTATCCTCACTGCACCAGAGAGAATGGATGCTGAGCGCTTTGACACTTCCGTTCCTCTCTGGATTCTGCACGTGGATGGCTCGGCAAACCAGCAAGGTTGTGGTGCCGGCTTAGTGTTAACCACTCCGGACGGTGGCAAAGTCGAATATGCCCTTCGATTTAACTTCCGGACCTCCAATAACGAGACAGAGTATGAGGCTCTCTTGGCCGGCCTTCGGCTAGCCAAGAGCATGAGCGCGAAGCAAATCAGCATTCACAGTGACTCCCAGCTCATTATGAATCAGATAACGGCAGACTTTGCAGCTAAGGATGCCTCTATGTCAGCTTACCTATCGGCAGCTCACCAATTACTGGAAAAATTTCAGGCCTACGAGATACGACAGATCCCGAGGTCAGAAAACAGCCATGCCGATGCGCTCTCGCGTTTGGCTTCGGCAATAAATGACAAGATCAGAAGAAAGGTACCGGTGGAGATATTATCCCAGCCAAGCATGACAGCTGCTGAGGTGTGTACCGTACGGTACGAGGACACATGGATGTCTCCGATCTATGCTTTCCTGACAACCGGAGTCCTTCCGACCGATAAATCCCAGGCTCGGAAACTCCGGTACCAATCGGCAAGATACACGGTCATCGACGATGTTCTGTACAAGCGGGCCTACACCACGCCGTACCTAAAATGCCTTACCAAATAGCAGGGGGACTACATCCTTCGAGAGGTCCACAGCGGAGTCTGCGGTGACCATTCAGGATCCCGCTCGCTCGCACACATAGTCTTCCGACAGGGATATTTCTGGCCGACTCTACACCAAGATGCGAACATGTTAGTCAAGAAGTGTGACAAATGCCAACGGTTCGGTAGCGTCCCTCACGTTCCTGCCGAGCCACTCTCACCGATTGTGAGCCCGTGGCCATTTGCCCAATGGGGGTTAGATTTAATTGGTCTGATGCCAGAAGGCAAGGGTCAGGTCAAATATGTTGTGGTTGCTGTGGACTACTTCACCAAATGGGTAGAAGCCAAAGCCTTAGCAACAATAACGGCAGCCAGAATTGAAGATTTCGTCTGGACGAACATTTGTTGCCGATTCGGCATCCCCTACGCCATCGTCACGGATAACGGCAGGCAGTTTGATTCGGAAGTCTTCATAGAGTTCTGCATCCGACTCAAGATCAACCTGTTCTTTGCCTCGCCAGCTCACCCCCAATCGAACGGCCAGGTCGAAGCAATGAATAAAATTGTCAAGAAGCTATTGAAACGACAGCTTGACAAAGCCAAAGGAGCCTGGCCGGAGAAGCTTCCAGAGGCGTTATGGGCCATCCGGACATCCTACCGAAAAGCAACCGGGGAAACACCGTTCTCCATGGCTTTCGGCTCGGAAGCGGTAGTCCCAGTAGAAATTGGAGAGCCTTCCTACCGAATGGAAGCTTTCAAACCGAAAGCGAATAAGGAGGCGCTCGCCTTGAGCCTCGACCTGCTCGAAGAAAGCCGAGCACAAGCCAACCTTCGGAACGAAGCTTACAAGCAACGCGTCTCTCGGTACTATGACTCCAGAGTCAGATCCCGCTCTTTCCGAATCGGAGACTGGGTCATGTGAAAAGTCTCGCTGGCAACCGAGAATCCTACAGAAGGAACCCTCGGACCTTCTTGGGAAGGACCCTACGAAATCATCGGTATCCAGCGATCGGGGACTTATCGACTCAGAGACTCCAACGGAAAGGCCCTCGGTCATCCTTGGAATGTAGAGCATGTGAAATATTATTTTAAATGAAGTCACCTAGCCCACGGTAGGGTTACGATAGAGTCCCGAAAGCCCTCGACATTTTTATATTCACAGCCTTCAGCAGTATAGCGTCCCCTAGCCTACGGCAGGTTTTTAATTGTAAAACGCACTCCAGATGTATCTTTGCCTTCGGCAATTTATCAATGAAAGGGCCCTCGGCTCATATGTTCAAAACCTTTAGTGTACCCTTTAAGCTCTTCTCATAAAAAAAAAAAAAAAAAAAAAAAAAAAAAAGATAGGTAGACCATCGTTCGCAGTAAACTACGCATTTTGGCACTGCTATTAGCCTACCGACTGAAGGACAACTTGAAAGGATCACCTTAATTACCCACTGATCCAAGGGTTTGAGCTTTTATTAGCCTTCGGCACTTAAAGCCGTTACTTAGCCTTCGGCAAGTACGTCTGTTGTTTTCAAATCCCTACTAGTTGAAATTCTGCTTGGAAGATAACTTTATTGGCCAACGGCTAGTGAACTTTTTACCTAGCCCTCGACATTTAAAGAGAAATTTTCCTAAACGCCTTACCGATTGAAAATTAAGATGCAATCAAGTTTGAAATTAAAAACAGCTTCGATTAAAAGATGCCCACGGCATCAAGATACAGTTAAAATATGCCCACGGCATCAAAGGTTCAATCAAAAGATGCTCACGGCATCAAGGTTACATCAAAATTACATTAAAGGATGCCCTCGGCATCAAGGTCACATAAGATAAAAGCGGGAAATGAGAAGAAGCTTTTTGGAGGAGATTGACGCCCTGCCGTTCGAAATAGGACTATACCTTTGACTATCATTGCAAAGCGTACAAAACTTTCTGTCGAGGATGGAGAGCTGTCAAGTAGCCTCCTCGGCATCTGCCTTTTCGGTACCAGTGGCAGTATGCTCTCCTGGAGCGTCCTCCCCTTCATACTCATCTATCATTTCGGGAAGGGGAGGGGGATCGGCAATAAAGTTCAAATTCAGCTTCGTCCTAAGGTTGTACCGCTTAAAACGGTAGATGAGATCCACCATCTCCGAACCCACCTCCTTGTCGAGCAAGGTGGAGAAATCGGAAGAATGACGGTACTTCCGGATAGCCTCTTGGACAGCAGCCTCGATCTCCGAAGCCTTGGCCCGCTCCGACTCCTCCAAAGCCATCTCGACGGCCTCCTTCACCTCCAGAGCCTCCCTTGCCGATAGCCGCGCCGACTCCAGGGCTGCCGACAGATCGGCGAACTTAGACTCATAAACCCTGACCTGCCGTTCAGCAGCCTGCAAATCCTTCGCCAAGTTGGCATGGTCCTGGATAGCCTTGCCAGCCTCGGCAACCCTGGCCCTACCGTCCTTGTAGGCCTTCTTCGCTTTCTCGGCAGCATTGATGGCTCGCTTAACGCACAACCACATATCCATCGAGGCCTGGGGAACAATTGAAATGTCAGACGATATAAAAAAAAAAAAAAAAAAAAAAATCGGTAAGTTGACTCGGGAATACTTGGAACTTACCGAAGCTTGAAGGCGGAAAGTGCGACCCGCCTTCTCCCGAAGGAGCTTCTTCGGCAGCTCTTTGATCTCGGAAAGCTCCATTTGCGAACCAAGGATCATGTGGTTCGCAAACTGGACCGTCTTCGACGGACAGGCCAAGGTGACGGGGTTGGCAGGCTCCTCGTCATTGTCAGCGGCAAAGATAGCCCGAGGAGGCTCAGTCTACCGCCCGCGCTTCGGGGCAGGTTCGGCATCCAAGTCGACGGTGAACGGCCACTTGCCGGCCGCTCGGGAAAAGGTCCCCTCGGTAGGAACACTTCGACCTGGAGACGGACCGACAGTAGCCGCCCCAGCCTGCGCCGAGTCAACGTTGAGTTGGCGGAGACGGTCATCCAGGGTTTGGTCCTCGCGGTCGGCTTCTACCGAGGACGCCGCTTGGAGGACTCATTCATCCTCTTAGCCTCGGCAGCTCTCCTCTCTTCCGTCACTGCACAAACAGGGATCGGTAAGGCTTTGCTACGGCCAAAAACAACTTATAAATGGCAAAGTACACTTACTCTCGGCAGGATCGACCAGCTGAGCTTGGATCAGGTTGGCGGTGAAGAGAAACTGCAGATACACCCTCTTCTCGGTAGGGACCTTGCTCCTCACTCTCTCCACTTGCTGAATCTCTGCTTGCGTGGCGATTGGCTGCTTTAATTTACCTGCAAGGGGAATAACATGAAAAGATCAGTAACAGTAAACAAGGACCCCGAAGAAGGTACCGAACGGCATGTTATCCTACCGGCTATTTGGAATGTTCTTGGAATTGAAAATCGGACAGGCTGCCCCGAAGGCGACTCCCAGTCGCCCGAAAGGAGCACCCGCCGATTCCTCCATGACTTCTGAGAAGTCGGTACCCAGCTAACAAAGTGGCCACGCTCGGTAGCCTTGAGACAGTTCGCATGCACCCATCCACCATGATCGGCACACTTGGACTTTGTGATACTGTACAGGTGCGAGAACTACTCGTAGGATGGCCACCCTTCACCGGCCATGCCGAAGGCCGTTATCACTCCCATGAGGGCCACCCAGAAGTTCGGGTTAAATTGCCCTAGAGCATAGCCGATCTGGGCCAAAATCCTCTGTACCGCCGGCTGCAACGGCAACCGAACGCCTTGAACAAGGACGTCGGTAAAGAAAACCACATCGCCGTCCTTCGGCTTGCTGAGGGATTCTGTATGGCCCGGGATCCTCATTCGAACCGAATCCGGGATGCGATATTTCGCTCGATATTTGGCAATCTCCCGCTCGGTAATCTTGTTTGGCCCAAGATAGTCGACACCAAACAAATTTTCCTTCGGCACCCCCATAGGTACCCTAGGGTTGCTTGGGTACACTATCGATACCCTCGGACGAGAGGATGGTTCGGCGGCTGACTCTCCACGGCCGGAAATGGAGGTCTCTGACTGGCGACTAGCGCTCGCCTCCCCAGGCATGCCTAGACCCACATGGCGGCCGTCACTATAGACAATGGACAACGGCACAGGAGCGGTCATTAGCCCCTTCCCGATGCCGTGTATTGGAATGGAGCTGGGCCCTTCACCGAGTATCTCAACATCGGTATCACTCCCATCCTCGGCATCAGGCCCTGCCGCTTCACCGTCGGAGTCAAAGAGACCTTCCAATGACTCCTCATCGAACACATTGGGCTCACGCTCAGAGAATGACTCGCTATCAGACATCTACAAAAACAGGGAAAAAAGGAAACTAAGGCTCATGCTGGATATTGTCCTACCGATCCCTACATCACTACCTATGGCGACTAGACTACCGAATGGAACCCTATGGTCAGTCTAGTTCAAACCAAGGAAGGACGTAACTCTTAAGGTATGCAAGAGAGTAAAGTGGAGGTGCCGAACGGTACCTTAGTTTACACTCTGAAAAGTAAACGCGAACTGTGCTTCAGATCGCCTTGACAAAAATCGCCCTTCCTACCGTTTGCAATGCCGGAAATCGCTTGGTTGCCGTTAGCACTTGTCGGAAATCGCCTTGAATACCGGAAGCTCTCGTCGGAAATCGCCTCAACAGAGCTCTCGCTTCTCACAAAGTGCAAAGTGATTCCGCCTCCGGGGTCATTTCTATTTATAAGGAGGGGGTTCGCAACGGTACACCTCGAAAAACCATTAATGCGCCGCGCACCATCATTACTCTTGCCACGTGTCGCTCATCCTATGGGGGACTGACGGCACGCGAGGCGCGAAAGTCGAAGCGCTCAGATGTCCCTTCACCCGTCCGCTCGACGCGACCTTCTGACTTCACCAACGTCAGCCTCTGAACGAATAAGAACGGAAGGGGCCGAAGTTGAGCCCCTCCACCAACTGGATTACCAAACGGTAGGACAACATTTCCTTCCGAAGACGACTTCAAATCCCCTTCCAAGAACCCTCGCAAGAGGACTTGGGGGACTCCTGTTTATACCAAAATGAACAGCCAATGAACATCGGACACGTGGACCAAACCCGAGTTATGGGAGCCTTCGGCACCTGTCTTCGGCATCGTTCCTACCGGTCGCATCATTAGGGCAACCTCACCCCCAGGGACACGTGGCAGTCCCACAATCGATGTCCACAGTCCCACATCGAAACTCTAAACAAATTGCACACCTCCCAAGGCCTATATAAGAGGACAGCTACCACAGTTGGAGGTAATCAATCAGAACTCACGGCATACTGCCTATTGATTTGCAGTTCAAACTTACTAAATCCGTACTCATTTAAGCATCGAAGAGCCTTCGGCCGGTACCACACCGGTGCCCTAGGACTTACGGAGCGTTTACTATCTTACAGGTATAACGCCCTTCCGAGGCCATAGCATACCGAAGGAAAAACAAATCACTAAGTTGCGCGGGAAAGTGCCGAACCATTTTTCTGCGTCAACATATATGGTTTTGGAATTTTAAATATGGTGTATTGGATTTTATTATTGTTCTCTTTTGGGATTCTCGGAGGCTGTTATATTTCTTAAGTATATGAATATAGTATTTTGGATATTATTGAAATCAAATGGGTTTATTTTAGTTGTTGGTGTTTTTCTTGATTATGATTTTTTTATGGTTTTCATAAAGGAATTATGGGTGTTATTTATTATATATTTATTTATGTTATTTGGAAACATATTTTTGGAAATTGGAATTATGGATTGCACCATTACATGTACCTCCCCTTGGATACGATGGATACTTGGATACATTCGGCACACAGTAACTCTCGGAGGTGTGTTGAGACCCGAGCACCCTTGACGGGGTGTACCGTAAAGCCCTTAAAGGGGTTGTTTGTGCGCATAAGACTTATTTCAACCGCACGTGTATTGAGGATTTTGTCGTGCGTGTTTGGGGAGCAATAGTCCCCCGATTAGATTGGTCATCCCTAGTCACCTGAGTATAGAGGATTCTGCCATGTGGTCTTTTGATTGTTTTTTCGCAGTACATGACGATAGTGTGGTGAGTGTGTGTGTGTGTGTGTGTGTGTGTGTGTGTGGATATAGGTGTGGATTTATTTCCATGTTGAGGTTTCTTGAGTATGTGCATTGAGAGTTCTTTGCACAAGTATGAACATTTGAAATGAACTTCGAAATTGAGATTGGATATTTGGAAATTACTTGGCATATTGTATTTTTGCATTGGAATGATTGCGGGAAAAAGGATTTTTGGTTTTGATGATTATATTTTATATTAACGGGTTTACTTTGGTGGTCTTGAATTTACGGTTTTACAATAAGGATTAAATTCTTGAGAAGTATTAATTAAATGGTTTTCCTTATTGTATGTCATGATATGAAATTTTACTGAACTGAAATATTTTATAGTATTGGATGATATTTCTGTACATTTACCAAAGAAATCTATTGCATGGTGTTTTGGGCATTATTTTCTAAAACGGAGGGGGTTATTTATATTGAATATAAATTATGTTTAACGCTTTGTTTTCGTCCACTCACATTTTCTATTTTGTGCCCCCTAGATTCTAGGCATCCAAGGTTGAGACCACCATGTCGAGGCATCATCGTTGTCCACTCTGTAGGAATGCGCTACTATCACTCTCTTACCTTTTATTTTTCCCAGGTTGCAAACTAAATCTTTAGTTGCTCTTAGCTGCTTGTTTTTAAGTTCGAGTAAAGAGCCTAAGGCCCATTTAAACAGTTTTAACTGTTGTGCATGCCTTTACCTTGTTCATGCTAGAAGTTGGGTTTGTTCTGGCACTTGTTTGCAAGTATTGTAAATTGGAAAATGTTCCAATTAAAGAGGAGACTCTGCCGAAATTTCGGTAGAAGTTGAATTGTCTATAAGATTAAATAGGGTTAAAGGGCTTTTTAGTAAAGTGGGTCCAACATCAGCTAGATGTCGGACAAACAATAGGGTTCGTCATTAATTCTAAGGGGGAATTCAGGGCAGGTCCTGTCATTTGCCGCCTTGTGAATGATCTTTAAAATTGAGTTTTTGTTATGAAAATTTAAAGGCATGTGTATGAATCATTCTCTCTTTGGAAAATGCTTGGAAAGATTGTTTTGAGTCTTGTTTTAGTTTTAGTTTCGCTCGAGGACTAGCAAAAGATAAGTTTGGGAAGTTTGTTGGGTTCATTTTTATACATGATTTATCATGTCATTCACCCAATGTTTTGAGTTAATCCTTGACTTTTTATAGTCTTCTACTTCCTGTATTTTTGTATATTTGACCTTGGTTAGAATAAATGTGAGCTAAAATTGCATTATTGAATATAAAATCTGTTTTTGCTAATTTTCGTAGGTCAAATTCTTGGTCTTGGATCAGCATGTTTCGGTACTCGGATGTGGTGAAGTTCTTCATGAAACTTGTTCCAATGGATGTTGACTATAACATATCCGAATTTGAGCTTCATTGAATAAGTATGGACTATCCAACTGATCCACCATCGATCCAAACTTTGGAATTGTGGTTTCGACCATATTTACCTCTTTTGGATGTCACCCTCCATTTTCTACTTGTTACCACACCACTTGGTAATAATGTTTCATTAGATAAGCTGTAATCTCCCTCAAGATATTGAAAGTCATAGAAATGATGAAAGTGAAGACAAGTGGAGAGAAGGACCAAAGAACTTTGGGTGAAAGGTGAAGTATCCTATGGAGTAAGTAGGAAGAGAGAAAGATGAGAAGGTAGCTAAGGGGCAACAGCCAAGCAAGCTCATTCATTCTCTACACTTTACAATTTCTGATTTTAGAGAAGGAGGAGAGCAAGGAATAAACAAAGAGAAGGGAGAATGTCATGATAATTGGAGAAAGTCTTGGGGAGCCTCAATGCAAAGATCCAAGAGGTTGAAGATGCAATTCCCTTTCTCTTCCTTGTTTTTAGTTTATTTTATTTTATTTATTTCTTGTATTTTCTTAGTTTCAATGTAACTTCTTATTTTTCAAAGGATTAGGTTGAAGCCCTAAACATGATTACACTTTTGTTTTGACGCTTTGAGTTTATAGATTTCTAGATGTTGTTGATGAATTCCTTTTCACTAAATTAATCATATGCTATGTGTAACATCCCACATTGACCAACGAAAATGGGGTGATGTGCCTTATATGTGCATGCCCACCTCCATCTAGCACGAGGCCTTTTGGGAGCTCATTGGCTTCAGAGTCATGGGAACTCTGAAGTTAAGCGAGTTGGGGCTAGAGCAATCCTAGGATGGGTGACCCACTAGGAAGTTGATCGTGAGTTACCAAAACAAAACCGTGAGGGCAGAGAGGGGGGCTCAAAGCGGACAATATTGTGCTACAACAGAGCCGATCCTGGGATGTGACAACTTGGTATCAGAGCCACTCTGCCATATGGTGCCAGTGTGCTGACGAAGATGTCGGACCTCTAATGGGGGTGGATTGTAACATCCCACATCGACCAACGGAAATGGGGTGATGTGCCTTATATGTGCATGCCCACCTCCATCTAGCACGAGGCCTTTTGGGAGCTCATTGGCTTCAGAGTCATGGGAACTCCGAAGTTAAGTGAGTTGGGGCTAGAGCAATCACAGAATGGGTGACCTACTTGGAAGTTACTCGTAAGTTTCCAGAAACAAAACCTTAAGGGCAGAGAAGGGGGCCCAAAACGGAAAATATTGTGCTACGACGGAGTAGATCCTGGGATGTGACACTATGTGTTTGCTTCCTTTGATTAATCACCTTAGGTTGTATGCATCTAACTAAAGTTGAGAAGTTGTATAAGATACCCAAGAACATAATTTCTAATTAGTAACAAATGATTAAATCCTTTCTAAGTGAGCATCATGTGAATTGGTTTCTTGACGAAAAATGATGAATTCCTCTTCACTAAAATAATTTATCCTTGATGTATGTTTTGATTGATCACCTTTCAAAGCATGTTTCTTGAGATTATTGGGATTATATGTACCTTCATGTTTTCCTAAGCAATTAATGGATGAAGTAAGAATCATCCATATGAATTGGTTTCTTGAATGCCTAATGTAAACACCATGCTATTAGGGTTCTTGTGATGTGCATATTCTCTTCAAACTAAATGGGTTTTTCATATGATTAAATCGAAGTACTAAGCACACCTAGATTGATTTTATGGGAATCACGAGTATTGTAGCACTAAACATGCACATTACTTATTTTAGAGAGAATCATGCATCTTGAGCCACTAAACCTGTCTTAATTGCAAATATTTTCAGCAATGTGTCTCGAGTTTATTTGCTTTGAGTATTCAATAACTTGAGTAAAAGTTTAGGGATGACTTTCAAATATTATAGTTTTAGTTGTCTTAGATTACATTTTGTCACTTACGTTTGTTAATCTTCATAGCTAGCATTTCTTTTCATAGGTGTTTCTAGAATTAGTTTCTCATTCCAACAAACCCACTACCCCCCCCTGGTGGTGGTGTGTTAAAGTGTGATTTTAGCATTAGAGTTGTGTGACTTTGTAATTTTGTTTTTCTTTCTTTTTCTTTTCTTATTTTCACTAGGAAATCAAATGGAATTAGGTGATCCAATCCCTGTGGGATCGACCCTGCACATACATAGACTTTATTACTAACGGTTTATGCACTTGCGAGTATAATACGTGATTTATTTTGCAGGTTGTCTAAAACAATACAAGTCATGAATGTACTTGGTATAAAATTATTACAATTCTTATTGAGACTTGGCAATTGTTGGGACCTCCATCGCACCAAACTCCGTCCCCCTCTCTCTCATCTCTCCTCTCTATTTTCTCTTCTATCCATTGTAACGGCAAAGCCACATTGTAAAAAAAAATTTACAAACTGAGGGTACATGATTGTTAAAATTAAAACACGAGTACTAACATACCTTAAGAATACAACTACAAGATATCAAACTGAAACCTACCCAAAAAATAATATCTAAGAGTCATTCAAGCACAAGTGTGCAACTCGAGTGGGTTAGATAGTCAACGCAATCCAAACCCAACCTTCAGAATGCAGGCTAAGCTCAAGATGCGCAACTTTATCGGGTTGGGCTCAACCCTAGAACACCTTATCTTGCAAGATTTTGCTTGCCTATAAGAGCAAGTCCAACGAGCAGCCTAGCCCAAGGCTGGGGGGGAGGAAAAAAAAAGTTGTTCCAGCGGACAGCCCAGGCCCGGGGGAGGTGTGGGACCCACCAACTCGGGCTGGCCCGAAGGCAGCTTTAGCCCGAGGTCCAAAACGAGGATTGCTGACGTCACCACTACAGTACCGCCTGATTTATTTTTTTCCCTGTTGCCATGTGGGCTCTCCGATCTGATTTTTGTCCTCCAATCCAACGGCAGCCAATTTTTTTGCAATAAAATATTGGAAAAAATTCGGAAAATTTTTAAAAAATACCCAAAAATTAATGAATTTTTTTCTATAAATACCAGACAATTTTTTTTTTAATTTATCTGAAATTTGAAATTGAAAATTTTATCCGATTATGAGATATAAATAGTATTGACACGTAGGAACCCGAAAATATTATCCAAATTAATTATTGAGGTAAAAAAAGTTGTGAAAAAAATTTAAAAATGAATAGTAATTGCCATTTGTCATGGCAACAGATGGAAATGAAAAATACTATTTGCAAGGGCAACTACTATTCACGTGAATAGTGGTTGCCCTAGCTCCAACTTGATTTGCCATCACAGTTTTCAATCCTAGATTAATACAAACTCAAAACTCAATTCCACAAACCAACATCCACTCAAAAGTTAAAAATAAATTAGCATTAGTACTAGTTCCAAAGTTTCAACCATGCAAAATTGCAATTGAACTACGGAATAACATATAGAAAACAACTCTGGTTCTAAGTTTCAACCTAAAGAAACAGAAAAGCAACACCGTCATCTATTATCCAAATATACATGTAGTTCATATAATATGAAGTGCCCTGGATAATTAGTGTTGGAATGAATTTAGGTTATAAATTGGGTTAAGCATCCAAGGGCAAGCCTCAACCGAACCGAACTCAACAAATGATTGAGTTTAGGTTGTTTTAGGTTTCGATTCGGGTGACTTTTCGCCATATTTTAACCCACCCAATTGGGTTAAAAGTCGAGTTAGGCACCTTGAGTTTGGGTTGAACCAATCCAAATTGCACACATCGAAATTGTAAGCTCAACAACTTTTCCAAGGCTTATTTGATTACTCATTTAGTTTAATTTAACATTGTAGAAAGCAATCGACCGCATCATATAGTTATATGAATTTAATATTAAACAAGATCAATCGGCCATTAAGTCTCAATTATTTGAGGTAGTGGTAAGTTACTAAAAGAATATTTTCTTTAATAATGAAGATGTCAAATATAACCTGAAGCATCAACACGCTGGATGGACCCCACCACCCACCCCATATATCCAAATTCAAATTTTGTCATTTTGAGAATTCTCCGTCCGGATGATTTTACCTGTCGTGTTCATGGAAAAGATAAAGGAGATAGAGAAACGATAGAGCAGCAACTAAAGACAAAATTGGAAAGTATGTGATCTTTTGTGAGCATCTAAATCCTGAGTTTTGCCCAAAATTAAACACTTGGACTGGGAGGGACAAAAACCTGAAAGAGAACCGACTTTCGACTTCTTGTAATGTTCTGTTTCTAAGTAAAGAAACTTTTCTCGACCAAAGAGGGCCTTGTAATCTTTAGGGACACATCTACGCCTCCAATAATAAGGCGATTCGCTGACCACAGCAATCCAATCTAAATGCTCAACCTCATCAAACACCAGCATAACTTGATAAATATCAACAGGGGTGCATACTTGAGAAAGTATTAGCATCACATATATATATATATATATATATATGTCCCAAACATTGAGTTAGACTTCACAGCACCTGCTAATTCTGAATATTTGTTCAGTCATCTGCGCAATATCATGCGAGGTAGGGGAAACAGAGAGAGATCGTGTTACAATTGCTCGACAGCAAAGCATGGCATAAAACAACCATTAAAGTTTTCGAATGAGGTCACAAATATACAATAATCCTAGTATCTCTCAAACCATATATATGAGGACACCATAAGCCTTTATTCAATGCGTAATAAAACACACGCAATGATTGTCACCCAAATGGAAGATAGATAATATGCTGATTCTTTTACCCTGACCATCCCCTCTGAGGACCCCCAGATGAATGTACATTTGACAACCTGTCAATCACGGCATTAAAATCAATGGGTTCCCCCCTTTCCTCCATCCTCTGAATCACACTTAAAACATGATCACTCCTGAAGCCCATGGATGCCAATTTCTCAATCAACTCGCTGTAAGGGTGGTTACGAATGAATTGTGGATTCCGAGCCATAAGATTCGGTGCTGTTGTTGGCTGTGGAGTCTGATGAGAGGCACTTGTCGGAGGATATCCATAATGAGGCACTTGCGCAGAATAATGAGTTCTACCCCCTTCACCATCGTACATCATATATGTACTCCCTGGAGGAAGTGCAGGGTGAGGCCCAGCAGCAGCATATCCCTCACCTGATTGCGCTCCAAAAGCACCCTTCAATTGCTGAGGTGGAGGCTGCTGTTGTATTGGTCTACCAGCTCCACTGTATCCAAAAGGCATGGCATCAGAACGACCAGGTCCTTGCTGAGGAATACTGGAATATGGCACTTGCATTGACATGCTGCTTGGCACAGCCTCCGGAGGAGATGGGTTTGTCTGTTGACCTGGTGGATAGGAAGGGTATACATTTGTCGTCGATGGGGCCCTCATCTGGGGTTGCATAGAGGGCTGTTGGGGAAATTGCACCGGCTGAGGCTGTGGTAATTGCTGATACTGAGGGAAAGATTGGACTTGTGGTGTCTGATTTACTTGAGATTGTGTTGGCTGTGGTGCCACCCTAGGGATGTCTTGCACTTGGGGGGTTCGATACTGAGAATCAGAAGGCAAATATTGATTCTGAGAATGTTGTGGTGGAGGTGGGTTTTGTAACTGGGTTGGAGATAAATAATAAGATGATTGTTGGGTCACATTCTGAGTTGGGGCCTGTGGGGGAGGTGCCACCGGCTGTGGTTGTGGCGGCGCTACTTGATGGGGCAGGGCTAGAGCTAATTGCTGGTTATGTGTCTCAGGTGTGTTGTCAGTCTTCTGACCATCAGAGGTAGGTGGGGAAGCTCTCTCCTCATTGGGCTGGGAATGGGTTGATGAAGCAGATCCCTTCTGTGCAAGCTGAAGCTTGGCTAATTCTTTCTGAGTCTCAGCAAGTTCTTGCTTGTCCCTTAGGATCTGGACAGACCTATGAACCTGAAATGGGTCAATTACACAACAATGAAACAGAATTCTTTGCCATCAAACAATAATTTTCTGCTGTAACTGAGGCTCCAAATCAGTATACATTACACCAAAACTATTTATAAGATGCTAAAACCTTATGTACTGAAAAGCAAAATCAAGACATGATATATTGGGCAAGACAAACAAAGTTTATACTCATAAACCCACTTTGAAGACCTCGCATTCCAGATTTCACACTTTATACAAATGAAATCTATTGCCGAAAGTCATATTCCTAAAAGAACTAAGAAAAAGACAGTTCTATCCAAAAAAACTATATAGGGCTACAGGATCATCCTCATGTTCCTGCCAATACTTTTCTACCACAGAACCTTTAACACCCAAATAATATAGCATCACTACAGTTGAATACCCAAAGCATCATATCAACACAATTATGCAGGTGAATAAAAAGACCGATAAACAATGACAACAAGAAAGACATGTAAATCATATCCCAAACTGAACAATTTAACATAAATCTGAAGATTCTAAAACACTTAATTCAGAGTTGCAACTCACTTCTTGAAGATGTTTCTCAAGAGACTTGAGCTTTGAATCTGCTTCCCCGTGATCACGAACTAAATCAGAACGCATCTCACCAATTGACTTATCAAGATTGTAGCAATACAATTCCAATTGTGAAAGCCGTGAACTAATTCCTTCAAGAAAGCGCATGAGATTGTCAGCATATTTTTTCATGCTCTTTTCAACAGTAGCAATTACATCTTGGTGGAGAGAATCTTCCGGCTGGCTATAGGCAGCAGAAGAGAACATTGATTGTCTCGCCATCCTACTTTTATGAAAATCCTGCTGCTAGTAGAATATAACAGCCACTTGTTAGAAAAAAGAACAAGTTCTATTATACTTGTAATTTAGAGCCTTTTTTAGATTAGGTAACAATAAACAGTGTATTAGGGTCATATGCAAGATTTGATGAATGCAATAGATAAAAATGGAACTTTATAACAAGAGAAGTAGAAGGGTTCTTCAACTTCCAACATAGTGAGTGGTTAAACCAATAACCTTTTGAACTACAAAACTATAGTACTTACTTTGGGTGACAATTATTTTCACCAACAAAAGGAATAAAACAGTAATTTCCCCAAAAAATGAATAAAACAGTAATTTCCCCAACAAAAGGAATAAAAAACCGAACGCTTCTGGTTCATAAATACCATCTTTCTCAGTCCAAAAATACAAGCACACACAAAACCTATCCTCTCTCATCAGCAAGGCAGGTTTAATGTTCTCTACGTGCAATCTCAAGGTTACCCTTCATCTACTACACCAATCAGAACCAAAATTGGCCGTGAGTGACAAAATCAAGCTCGTGTCATTTTATTACCAATTTGCAACACTATCTTAAACCATTGTTCAATTTCATTTTTAGAAAAATAAAGGAAAATAAAGGATTTAAAAAATTATCTCCTTTCCTCGTCCTAAAAAATCAGAGCTTTACCAATCCATACCAAATATATATGCTAAATATGCCATAAAACAAATTATCCGCAATTATGCAAAAGATCGGAAATCCTAATCCAATAGGAAGAAAGCCCTTAAAATCCCACGAAATTACTGTGCAATCAGCCAAGCCCTAGATCCGGCAACCTCCAGAACCAAAGCCTCACGACAACATCCATAGATGAAAGCAGTAAAAGTACCTTGCTGGGATTATTTCCCATCACTGGGTCACTGTGGTTGCCATTGGAGGAGTCCTGGTTGCCGTAGTCCTCATACGAGCAGAGAATGTCGTCAGACGCGAAATCGAAGCCCTGTGTGCCTGGGTTGGCCCGACCCGATGATCCAGACGCCATGTTGGGAGTGATCGGAAGTGTAGAGAGAGAAAGTTAGGGTTTTCCAGAGAGAGAAAATCGTGGTGAAGAAGATAGAGATGCAGAGAATTATAAAGAGAGAGAGAAAGAGAGAGACTTTAATTTTTGGTTTTGGGTTTGCCTGCCAAAGCAAGTTTCGTAATAATAAAATGGGAACAGGAATTTTTTAATTTATTTTGCATATAAATAAGAAACACGAGGAAGATAGTGCTGGAGTTTGCGGTAAGATAAGGATGAGGCTCACCGACCATGCTTTTTGATTTTGCAGATATAGGCTTGTATAAAAGTCCACTTTTCAACTTCTCTAATTTCTCCCCATATTTCCTTTTATTTTCATAAAATACCCAAATCTCAAAGTGTTATATCACAATACATTGACTTTGTTTTTGCTCTTCTCTTTTCTCTTTTTTAATGAATTAATTACACTTTTGGTTATTGGAGTTTGGCTCAAAATTATGTTTGGTCACCATGATTTATTAATTTTCTCAATTTTGTCACCGTAATTGCAGTAGTTAACAAATTCAGTACAATGCCTCAATTCCATCAATTTATTTAATTAAAAAATATTTTATATTAAGTTAAAAATAATTAACCTCCATATAAAATTAACAGACAATTATGGCTCCATCTATAACGAAGTCAGAGATGATAGGTCTAGTAATGGCAAGCAAGGTGGGTGAAAAACTTACTTATACCCCCTTGTGGGAGAGATTAATACCAATTGTTCTTATCCATTATAATAGTGGATTATGTACGGTCTGATGAGAATTTAGTTGATCCTGTGACGAAATGACTAGCATGAGAAAATGTTTGGAAAACCTCAAAAGGAATGGAACTAAAACCCCTAGAAAGTTGAGTCAGTTGTGATGGTAACCCAACCTATAGACTAGAAATACCAAGAAATAGGTTCAATGGGTAATAACAAGTCATTTAGTGATATGAGTGGAGCCATGCTAGTATTGTTCCATATCCATCCTTAGAAGCATGAAATCCTGAAGCGATTTAAGGTTGAGTTATTTATACCTCTTGATGATCTCTATATTGAGTGGGATATCTAGCTACAGGAATATTCTTGATAGTCTCACCTCTGTGAATGTGGAAGTGAGGCTGCTTTCTATGAAAATTTGGGGGAAAAATTTTCTAGAGAATTCACTATACCGAGATATAAGCACATGGTCGTAACGTGCTGGCTTTTGAACTTCACCTTAGTAGGGTGTGTGTGTGGTGCTGTCAAAGAAAGAGTTCAAAACTATATGTTACTCTTGTATATTATGGAGCTTCATCACTAAGTAAAGGTTCTTGAAAAACACCTTCTTAATCTTATGCACAGTCTTATGATATGTTGCTCAATGAACTTATTTCTAAAATAAACAAGTAGGGGATTGTTCAAATTTGATATTTTTATTTTAAAAATAAATTTCGCAATAATTACATTAAATTATCTTTAAAAATGAGAGTTAAAATATCTTTAATAGCAGGAATTTAATATTAGCTGATCTTCCTCAATGGCTAGTTTCCTATTATTACCCCACAACGCTTCTGTTTTTTATGTTTGATTTTTACACATTCTATATGTAGCTATATAGCATGGTTGAGAAAAAACAAAGGATCCTTTCTTCCATTTTTCATTTTGATTTACATCCTCTTTTTCTTTCACTGCATGTACTGAGATTATGAGCAACATAGTCAAAAATGTGTTTGTATTCGGGTCCTTCCTCAGTGCAAGGAAAAATCTAGATAGAGGAGATTATGGGGCTGTTTTATCCTGGAGACGTAGTGGTCTTTTCTAAACTGCTTGCACAAATTGGGTAACCCCGAAACTTCTTAAAGAGTGCAACTTAGTCCGCGACTCATCCCAAAAGTCGTTCATAGCTACATATTGTATTTTTGGGATAATATTGTCCTCTTATTTTAATTTTTGCACCAACAATTCGCGTGGATGACAATACATCGGAGGAGAACAAGCTAGCAGTCCACCTAAAATGGAACCGTACACACATTTAAGAGCTAACCATCGTCGCAAAAACAGCTAAAAGAGAATTAAGTCCACACGAATAAAAACATAACAAAGCCCAAATTTGTCTTGTGAAAGGGCAGCCGTAAAGATGTGATCCATTCTCCCCCTCTTTTTAATGCAGATAAGCCAACTCTAGTGATGTAATTGTCTACATGAAAAAGATACAAGAGATCCAAATGAACTTCTGAGGACTTGAGGGACATTAGGTATTTATATCTTTCTCAGCAGGCAGCATTTTCATGGAAATTGTTTTAAAGCTAGTATAAGATAATGAAAGCTTTTAGCTAATGCAAGAATAAAGAAAGAAACATCTATATAGTGTAAGTCTGCAGTATTTCAAGGATTTTCTTTTCTTCTCTTTTGTTATGTAAAACACAAGCAGGCAGGCACAGACATTCACAAATGGATACATATGCCATCGTTATGTCGAGTATATTTTCCCAAGCTGATGCGTCATGTTGACCGACAATACAAACTTTCCAGCATTCCATAGTTTGTTAGTGAAGGCCTTGTTTGATGTCTCCATGAAAAATAGTTGTGTTGATTACTTTCATTGGTTTATGGCATAAATTAATTCATGGTAAATTGTGTTTTTTGGGTTTCGTATTAGATAATTAAATAATATTTAATTATCAAAAGATTGGGTATGGACTTTGAGGCTCTTTTAAACACTGAGAAAAAAATGAAATTACTAAGGTCATCCTCAATGGTTGGGGCTCTAAAAAGGGTTTATAGAACCCCATTTAGAGCTCTGATAGAATCTTTGAGGCTCTAAAGGAATCTCTCTCACAATGGGAGGCCCTATATTCATGGTGAGCTCTATTTTTTTTCTGATGTAATTTGATTTATTTTTTTTTTTTTTTTTTTTTTTTTTTTTTTTTTTTTAACTATAATGTTTGTTCATGTTATGTTTTTTTTTGTTTTTTTTGAACATTTCAACCAAAAAAATTCAAAATTTAGACAAGATTTGGAAATCAACATTTTATTTCACAGATACGATACAACATGGTTAAATTAAAACAAGATGCACAACATTAATTTAAGGAGAGTGGCTTAACAATATAGTTGGTTAAATTAAAATAAGATGCACAATATTTGTTGGCTTTGAAAAAAGTGGCTTAACAGTATAGCTGTTTACATAGCTTTTGAAAAATTGGTTTAGCATGCTGTTGACAAAACAAATAAACGGCAAGTGTGGCCTTGTACAATCGCAAGGCAAGTGAGAGACCAAAAAAAGTGGACTGTAGCTTTTTAATTTGTGGGACCCACTTGGTTTCAAGGGCTTCAACTAAACACATACATTTAGCTACTACTCAGGTGGGGCTTCAAGTTTTAGAGCCCCAAATTTGCACAATTGGGGATGCCTTTTTAAAGAGAGTTTGTATTTATGTGAGCCTTGTGGTGGTTGAGCCTCATTGGGGATGGCCTAACTTTAGAACATTGCATCTCGAATCCAAGTCAGTGAATATTACATCTTTATGTTGTTTCCAACAGCTTCAACCATATTTTAATTAATTGTAATATTTGGATTTTTTTTTATCAAAAGAAAAAATTCGAACTCGGACTTCTTTCAATAAAATTTGGCAATTGGAAGATAATTTTTCCAACCTTTATTGGCATGTTTACATATCGGGGAACTACTGAATCAGTATGGGAAGAATAATTCCCATTAAGCTGTTTACTAAACATATGAAATTAGCAAAGGAATGGGATTGATTCCCATTGTTATTGTTTACTAAAGAAAACTCACTTCACGCATGCAGAGGTTCAAACCCCTTCCCCATTCTAAGGTCTGGGGCCACTTAACCATCACGCCAGTTATCACTTTGTGATAATAAGCTATGGAATATGTATTTATAATACATGCGAGCTGTTTCTCAAAATAGAAATTAACATAATTACTTATTGTTTTATATTGTTGATCAGTTACTTAATTACTTAATATGATTTATTTCTTTTCTATTTAATCCATTTAATGTTATTGATTATTTTATTATTCATTATAAGTACTTACATTACTAAATTCCCCTTCAAATTGTTGCTTAATTACTTAAATCTCTATAACTATTTTCTTTGTTTACTACTTAATTCTTCCTTTGATAAATTTATTTATGTTCTTAGTTAATTTTCAATCTTCACTATTATTTTTTAAGTATGATAAAGTGCCTAATTTTCCTGAAAAGTCAAGTTGGTTTAATTATTTTTCAATTTTTGATAAATAATAAATATAAGAACGTATACCATGTCCAATGAATAATGTGAAATAAGGTTACACATGTATCTTACCATGCAATTTATAAAGTGTAAAATATTGTACTAAAAAATGATAAATAAATTACTATGGGGTGTTTAATTCTCTTCATTAATTACTCCATATTTTCTAAGTCACGGAGTTTGTCAGCTTGCAATATAATCAACTTAAATCACTCAAACCCACTATGCAATACATTTCCTTCCAATTTTTTGTGTCAAAATAATAGATGATTGACTAAATAAACTTCTTCTAAAGTTTCATTAAAAATTTCCATGTATTTATCACAATTTCCGTGGTTTTTATCCAATTTTTATCGATATCGATATTTTCCCGATATTTCCGTGTTTTTGAACCACCGATATTTCCGAAACTATCGATATTTAAGACCTTGGTCTTATGTAACTTGCTTTTATTTTCACTTGGTTTTGGCATTTGTCAACCCATGTATATTCCTTCCCGGGCTTTTTGACTTTTTTTGTGCCCCTATTCCTCTGTCCGATGTTACTTTTAGAAAAACCTAAAGATTAGGTACACCCAACATGACCAAGGTCATAGATCTAAAGTTGTAAAAATGCAACTATATACTCTCTACTCATTTTAATATAGTGAATTATTTGCTAAAAACTTCATCGCTTTTTTAAAAGTGATGTTTGAAATTACTTTAATTTACGGGAGGGGGATTCGGATTCGGAAACAAAGGGGGCAAACACACCATTCTGACGAACTGGCCTAACTCACAACTGCAATTTGCTAAAAACTTTTAATTTTGAAAGGTTCAGGAAAATACAATGGAGTTTTTCTTTTATGCGGAAAGTACAATGGAGTTAATCCAAAGGGAAATTATGATATTGTTCTGTCTAGATTAATATATGAGTAAATGAGTTAACTTATAGCCCAATAGTCAAAACATGTTCTACATGAAAAATGTGTATTTCAATCCTGATGCGTGCACATGATGATCAATTAGTAATGGTACAGGCTACTTATTTTGCTGTCTCTCTGTCTTCTATAACTCATTGAGAAAGGGGATACAATTGAGTGAGATCTTGACCCCTTGATCAGAACCTAAGTTTTATGCAACAAGAGAGGATCTAGGACATCGTGGATGGCATAAAGAAGCAGCACAGCATATATTAATAGGCCAACAAAGCTTGCGATCAGAGCTCCCTTCACTTGGTCACAGTATTTGGGGACTTGGCCACAAATGGGCAGCCAGCCTGCATATGAATTTCCATGCCTGCCCACACTGCCAATAGCCAAAGCTGCTGAAATGCCTGAGGTGAGTAACATGGTGAGCACCTGATGATTCAAACAAATTAACTGCAGCTTAGTTTATAAGTCCTTTGCCAACTCCTTTCACCAAAAAGATCATATAAATCAAAACAGAAACATTTCTAAAGAAATGTTATATATAAGATCATATTTACCATATCCAAGGCCACGACTAGTCTCCATAGCTGACTCTTAGAAGGAAGAAAAAGGACCAGAAACCCGTATACGGTTACGATAGCATTTGCAATTACAAAGTACCTATAAAAGATAAAGCTATCAGCAACAGGCATAGATACATATCTGAAGAAAATGTGCAATTATGCAAGTCTATAATCCCAGAAAAGAAAACAAAGAAGAGATAATTAGGAATAACTTATACCTGAAGGCTGGTGTATGGTTATACTTTGCTTCAAAAGATAATCCAAGGACGTTGGATCTCTCATGGCTTGTAGCCATGACAACGGCAGCCGAAAGGGTAGCAGCCACAGCCAGGAGCCTTAACACAAGGGTGCAGAGTCTCTTTGTATTGGCCATGGATTCTACAATGAGATTTTTGGGTGCACAAGGAAATATAGCTTGGCTTTGAAATACGCAAAGAGGTTGATGCTGCTTTGTATGGAAGCCTATGTGGGGTAGAGTGTTAGGAAGGAAAATGAGGGTGTGTACGGATTCATACTTTGTCTTTTGTTAGTTGAAATTCTCAACTGTCACCACCACAGTCCAGTAGAAGTTCATCTACTTATGCTTTAAGATTAGACTTTTCAAGTGTAAGCCAATGGTGATAATTTGTTGTCTATGAATGAATGGAGAAAAACTTATATATCACATGGTGAAACGTAATTAGTTGGGGATAACATACAAGTCCTTTTTTCTCATGTAGGTTAATCTATCTTGATGTGGGTAATCTGAAAAAGAGCTGTGCCGTAAAGTTGGGCAGATTTAGGAGTTCAACCATACAGAACTTAAGATATATTTAAAACTCAAAACTAAAGCGTCTAAGTTCTAGGTCCACATCCCAATTGATTAAATTATAAAAAGAAAAGAAAAAGTTTCTAGCTAGGTCCATCTATGTAAATATTAATGCAAAAATTCAAGACAAAAAAGTTTACTGTTGGTCTATGTAGTTTGTCAGTTTTACCACTTTGGTCTTCATAGTTTCAATTTTAGCATTGTAGTTTTCAATTCAGAGCAATTTGAGGACTCTTTAATTTTTGTCAAATTCCTCCAAATTTCGTTAAATTTTGATCACATGCCCTTCAATATAATTTTTCAATTTACGAAGCTAATATTTTAACTCGCCCCACCCCACTTGTTTGTCCAAGTCTATTCCTGTAAGTGTGATGTAGAAAAGAAAGACATGTCCGAAAGGGTGGTATTAATGAACAATAAAACCCATAAATTATGAACAAGATGGGAGCAGGGAGGAGAAAATTCGAAGAGATCACATGAGAGGAGAAGTTGAAAGATACAACTCCCATAAGCTTCGTTACCACTAACGGTGGTTGCATGAGAGTTTCTCTCACAATCAAAAGCATTTTCCTATATTTTAATGTTTGTTCCAGCTCCTGACCCTCAAGTCAAGGGGTTCAATATGAACAGTGCCACAGACATTTAAACAGAATCCACTTCAATATTCTTGAATGATAATGATGACGACAGGTGTTGGTAATTTCGCATCATAACCCATAATCTGCAAACTTTCTTGCCTGTGATAGCCACAGCTAATCAGTGGTAACGAAGCTTATGGGAGTTGTATCGTTGATGATAACTAATAACTTTGCTTTGGTGCTTGAGGATCAGGAATCAGCAACTTTGGTGATAATGTCAGTGGCGTAATTGGCGATTCTTGATTCTGGAGATTGCCGAAGCCGTCCAATCACTGAGAACAACTCTGATGAACGGAGGAATTGTCTGCAGGGCGGATGCGAACATATCTTTGCCAATGAAAGGAGAGCAATTTTTAGAGGTGACTCATTTACCGAATCTTTCCTACCTGGGTTCAGTGCTACCACTGAACAGTCCGCCACCAACTTCAGTAAAGACTGCAACGTATATAAACACCTCACAAGTGAATTTCATTGCAAAGTGATTCAATTTCCAAAATCATGGATACTTAAATTATCTAAAACAGAAAGGCATCAAGACCACAAACCTGCATGGCTCCCTTAGATACAATATCTTCACAGAGTTTGTCGGAGTTGCGAACAAGATTGCTTAGTGCAGCTGCAGCATTTGCTTTAGTCTTGTCTTCTTCAGTTGAAACTAGAAATTTGGCAAGATGGGGTATAGATCTTCGTAGCTCATCATATAACATGTCACTATGGTAGGCAGCATTCCCAATCTGCACAGAGAAAGAGATAAGTAGCTGCATATCTGCAAGGCCGCATATGTTTCTTTCTATTTCTTTGGGACTGACTCTACATATGTTTTCAGCCCAAAAACCAAAGTTACATAATTTTGTTTATTGTGGAAGAAACCAAGTTAAACAATTAAGGTCGACACATTTTCTTAATAGCATGGTGAAAAAGAATAGGCTTGCAACAGACAGCTGAAAGCAATATTGCATGGCAAGAGAACTTACAGCAAAGCAAGCAAATTTTCGTGTCCGTTTGTCTGGATCAGAGCATCGATCAATAAGGAGGCCAATAATTTGATGCCTTGCCTATATCATCATATTCTGTTGTAAGATACCAAAATAGCAATATAACCTCCTTCATATGTACAGATTGACAGAACCTTAAAACAATATATTGTTCACTACTTACTAGGGCACTATAAAAGTAGGAGCTGTGCCGGCACATATTCCCCAGAGCATTGCAAGCCCTTGACCGCACATTGGGATCTTCATGGGTAAGAAATTCCTTGAAGAACTCCAGTACAGAAGCTCCGTTAATACATCTGTAGAATCCCTAAACACCAAAAGTAAGAAATAATAAGAAAACAAGAACTGTTTTATGCATTACTCTTCTTCCATTTAATGGTTTGTTTATCAGACTGTCAAATACGGGACAAAACAAAATCAAGTGAATATTAGATACCCATTCACAAAAAGTATATGAAATTGGGTTTGGAGATGTCTAATCACAATACAGGTCCCCGAAATATGTCGTAAAATTTGAGAGAAATTAAAATGGTATTAATAAAAAAAATTTAAATTACTGAGGATGCAATACCACATAGACGAGAAAAAAAGACCACTGAAATCTGACTATTGTGCTTAAATATTTGAGGAATTAAGGGGAAATATCTGGAAGACAAGAATCCAACAAGATCTGACGTCAATATTGTTTGGTATTACCTAGAAGACAAGGATTCCCCTAAACAATATGATGTTCCTTCCATAGCTCGGACATTTTATAGTAAAATGGAAAGGAGAACATATGTTGACCCAGGATGTTTCATGCAGCAACAATTATTCAATCAAAACCAAATCTGACCTCATCCTTTCGAGCCAAATCAGAAACAATCATCAGAACATCCAGCACCACTTCTCTTGGGCTTGAACAATCGAGCAATCTTCTCATTCTAGTAGGCTCCAACAAGCCTTCTTTACGCACAAGTTGAAGTGCCAATGGTTGGTGACCAATCATTTTAGCAAGAAAGGCCACAGGCCTTCCTATATCCTTTAACTCCAGATGCTCTAAACATCGAAGAACGATGCCTGGCACTCTTACCTGAAAACTTCAGAAGCAATTGAATGAGAAACATATAATCACCTGAGTACATGATGGTATCAAGATTCAGCAAATTAACTCAATCTGCATATCTAATAAAATAATGAGCTATATGCTGTGTATCCTCCAAACGATAATGTCAAGTATCTCACAATACCATCCTGGGAAAAGAATCTAAACAAACCCAGCCACTGGGCCCACAAAGAGGAAAACAAAGGAAAGAAGACCTAACCTCCAAAAGGTTTTTAATATACTTTCCCAGGTCTTCCTCAATTACTTTCACCATGTCTTTGTCTTCCATGCCAACTCTCACACCTGGTGAACCCATGTTGAGAAGGGCCCCGCTGTTCACTGAAGCTGTGGCTGATGGAAATCCTGGAGCATTCTGTATGGCCACAAAAGGAAATGCCAAGAGATCAATTACTGTATTTATTATATCTCTCACACCATCCTTCCCTCCACCAGGCCCAACCCAGGACTTTACAAGCTTGAGATGCATATCAGATATCAAGTCAGAGATGTTCTTGATGTGATCACTTCTGAGCAGAACCTGACGAAAAGTTAAGGCTCCACCTGAGAGACAGTGACATATTGACGATATTGTCCACACAACTCCTATAGGGGAAAGCCCAACTTGATCATTTGTGCTGTCAACTTCTTGTCGAGATACATTTTGTTGGTTTTTGGCTAACAAACTGACTAGAAGCAGAGGTATATTGCTTGCACACAGCTGTTTTATGGATAAGGGTCCTCCCCACCTCAGTCTGGACTCCAGCAAGCCAACACATCCATCCCTAAGACCATGCCAGTATGAGAGACCACCATTGGTGTCATTAGGACCCAATTCAATTCCATTGTCTGATGAAAGTTTGAGGTATTCACATAGTGTGGTACTTCGAGGAATCAAAGGCACTGCTACCTTGGAGACAGATGAGCCAACAGAAGCTCCAGATTCAAGCGACAATATGGAAGCCAGTGCCAGCATGGCTGATGCAGTATGAGTTTGAAAGGAAGTGTTTGTGGTCTCATCAGAAGAAAAATGATGAGCAAGGACTGAAAGTCGAGAAAGCTGCTTCTTTGGGGAGGTTGTCAACATAAATAATGCAGAATTTCTACCAGTGGCCTTCAAACATTGTGCAATTATTGCAAGGATGAGGCATGAATGCAGAACGAAGGTAGTGGGATTGGTTAATTTGCACTTGAAGTTGGTTGTCTCCATTGCTTGTGGATCTTTATTTTGAGATGAAATGCACAAAGACAACAAAGAGAATATCTCTGAAATAATGGTTCCATCACCCCCACCACTGACAACAGTAGTTACAGGTAGGGAACTAGGCAGGCCACAGAGCATACCGGGAACACTTCCATTATGCAAGCAGCACCTCAACAACAGCTGAAACATGGAAGAAAAATTGCAGTCCTTTATGTCAAATTAAGAAAGCTAGATGTAGGCACAAATGGTAATAGAAAACTTAGGGTAAAATTTTCCAAGATAATTGACATCTCATTATTTACAATTTGAAAGACTACACATAAATGGCTGTTTACATGGGCAGAGGAATTTTCTTAACATGGTTAGGATGAGAGAAACACCTGAATGCTAGCATACAGTGAAGCCTCAAGTCGTTGATGAAGGCAATAATGGATAGCAACCTGTACTGCTTCTGATCTAAGGAATGCTCTAGTCACTGCAGCAACAAGTTTTGCGGATTCTGCCCCAATTAATGAACTTTGACCTTGATCCCTAATGTCAAATTTGAGTGAAGGACGCGCAAAGTGCTTAGGGGAAATGAATAGGCATTTCTTTTTGTAGAAATCTTTTCGGATGCATCTATCAGCAACCAAATAGCCCTACACGCTTCACAAGCTGCACGCAGCATATTTGAAGAACCTGAAATAAGACTTGACCCTGCAGTAACTAAGCAGAGACAAAGTTGATCCACTAGACCAGATGTTTTAGCGCAATCCAAAATACGTTTCAACGTTCCATTAAGATCAGAAACCTCCTCAGGAGCTGAAGTTGAAGAACATGCTTTAAGGCCCTGAGTGACTCTTGTTAACACTACAGTAATGCAAGCAACTGACGCATACAGAACTCTTCCAGATGCATCTTCACTGCAACCAACAACCTACGCATTCAACAAGATGAGAACAGGACCTTTGAATTGTATCCATAAAGCAATATGTACCATATTAAAAAGAACCATACCAGTGAAAAAATATCAGTTAAAGCAACCCAGTGCCTGAAATATGAGTCTCCAGTGCCACTTCCGGCATTGTCTACCAAAAGTTTAATTACTGAGAAGCTCTGCAAAAGTAAATTAAAAGTTGCAAAAGATATAGAAAACACATTTCAGAAGTTAAAGTAGACATGGCAGGGGATGGAGGACATGATAGCCTAGAATCCTTTTTTTTTCTTTTTCGAAATGTTAATGGATATTGAGAGGTGCAGTGTGCAGATGCAAGGATTAGAACAGATAAGCCTGATAAAGGTACAATTCGAAGTCTGCAAAAAGCACAGTAATTTATTGACAGCCAATGGAAAAACCAATTTCAAGCATAAGGCCATTGGGATGTGCAGACAAAGATTAGAAGTAAGAAATTTCTAATACCTTTGCTTTTAACTCATTCACTTCAGAAGTTTCCATGCTCACAATGACGCCAGTGTAAACAAGAAGTTCATGTATAATTTCATCAAGCAGCGCACTGGAATGGATGGCACCAGCTGCAACTAAATTTGAAAGGATTCTCAAAGACTGGTTAGAATTAAGAATATCTTGATCCCTGTATAAATATGACAACAACCAAGTCTTTCAGATAAAAATTTGGTAGGTATCTGGTCATATCATTGTCCAAAAAATAAAGAACCAGCATTGACCAAAAAAAAATTCCAAGAGCTGTATATAACAATACTAATATTCTATTATTATGTTGAACTTGGTAGCAGCTGTGAAGCAAGAGTGTGCTTCTCTATTCTGTGCTGCTTCCTCCTCTCTCTGTTCGGTTTAGTTTTTTGTTTTCTTCTTCCTGTTTTTTTCTTGTCTTGTTTGGCTGTGGATGCCTTATCCCACTCTCTGTGTTTTGTTCTTCTTTTAATACAACTGTTTCACTTCTATAAAAAAAACAACCCCAAATGGAGCAGTACTATGTAGAATTGTTATGCCTATATATACACTAATCTGCCATAGTTCTTGTTGGTAACAGTACACATAAGAATAACTTTACACTTGTTTTCTTGCCCATCATTTGACTAGCTACTAGGAGATCTGTTAATTTAAAAATAAGAATAAAACATGTTATGGACCATTTAAAACAAATAAAAGAGCTTAAGCTATCATCATTTACAGAAGCAGTCAAAGCATTCTGCACGGAGTGTGTAGAGCATGGTTCCAAAATAACTTGACAAGAGAATAAGAAACAAAATTTTACACTGTATTTAGTAGAAGAGTGCAATTCAGCTTTACCAGGAAGAATCTAGGGATCCTTGGGAACATCTTTTTAGTGGTAGCAAAACCTGTGCTAATGCTTCATTGTCTTGACCAATTACTTGTGCACCTTTGACTGTACCAGAGTTATTTTCCAATCTGTCCAAAATTTGGCAACCTGAAGCAAAACATTACTTAAGCTCACCTCATAATAGCAACATCATGTATAAACTTATGAAGTAATAACTGCAATGCTTATGCTTTTCCATTAATGAACACAGATCCAGGGCCTCAAGCATGATATACAAATTAATTTAATCAAATTCTTAATCTTGACATATGCAAACACACAGACAATCAAGAGAGGGTCAGGAACATCAACTTTGTAGCTCCATCAAAAGGTTTCCACTTCCTTTTCAAAATAGAATCAGAAGATCTTCCTTGTTATGAAAGCTTCACATACCTGACTGTTTAACTTCCTTAAGATTTGCAAATCCTGGGAACTCATTTGGGGAAGAATTGACTGTCGTGCAGTCATAAATGTCTGATTGAGCATCATTCTGAAAACTTATTCTACTGTTGTTCTCTGAAGAAGCTGTAGAGTTGACTTTACGTATGACATGGTAAGTAGTTAATGACAGACGAAAGAAAAGAAATCATTTGAAGTAAGGAAAAAAGTAACTACCAGAAGAAGAAACAGCCAAACCAACTGATGTTTGAACTGTGTCTCCTTCACACCTCCATGCAGCAACCAGCCTCTTTCTGCAGCAGTTGCAGAACGCATTTCCTGAAAAAGGTTTAATAATTGCACAGTTAGAACTAGATATCTAGACAAATGTCTCTGTGAATACAAGACAAAGAACTGGTATTGTCTTGATGTCATGTTATATTAAAACACTGAAACAATATATAAGGTTTTTACTATTTTAAACTTTATAAAAGCAAACATGGAAAATGTAGATGCATTGAGATATCACTACCCTAGCCTCCAGTTCATGAGACGTCTCTTTAACAAATGGGTGTTCAAGAAGAGCTGGCCAAGTCAATCGATTTTGAGGTACCTGCTCTCAAGAATAAAAACACCAGTTAGCATGGAAGTTGGCAGAGATAAACATTGAAAATTTTCAACTGAAAAGCCATGCATTTCAAATTACAACAACCTTATTGAGCAATCCCTTCAGAAAGCTTTTAAAACTTGGACTCATGTTGTCAGGGTATTTAACCGGATCCTGAAACATTTCAAAGTAGCATTAGATTATGCCTTAACTGACATACCTAACAAAACTCATACAAAAATTTGATTACATGTACCTTAACAATGTGCCTGATGAGTGCATATACAGAATTTGTATAGAAAGGAGGCTGGCCAACAAATAATTCATATCTGTTGTTGAGTACACCCCAAAAACAAAATATAACAAATATGGGGAAATAGAAAAGAAAAAATATGCGACCAAAATAAAAGAAAAGAAAAAAATAAGGGAGAAAAAGGAGCAAACCCAAATAGGCTGCGGAATTTGCAATCAAAACTATATTTATATTTTGATTATGATATATGGAAAATTGCAAAGAGTTCCTTTATGAACCTTACACGTCAGCCAGACTAAAAAAGAAATAAGGAAAGAAAGCACATAACATGAATGAATGGATTAAATTAGAAATCCTCTTGAACTAAGTTATTGAAGTGCAGAAATATATTATAACAAGAGTCAAAATCTAACAAACCAGAAGTAGAACAGTAGAATAGAAACTCAAAGAAATATTGTTCTTTGAAAGATAAAAGTAGGGATGCAACATACAATATTACTCCAAGAGACCATAAATCTGCGGTGTGATTGTAGGGTTGTTCCTGTACTAGTTCAGGTGCCATGTATAGAGGAGTACCTAATGAACATTAATGAAAACTTCACTGAATGGGCAATCAAAGTACCATAATTCCTCCAGGATCTTCGGGGAGTTTCCTAACAGGTAATCTAGAATTGTAAGCTAACCTTTAATGGATCGCAAAACAACAGTATTTGTCGACATTGCACGTGCAAACCCAAAATCACAGAGCTGTGACAAACAAAATAATTTAAAAGTTATCTGATACCAAATATGCACTTATGCACTTACATAAAAATACTTGTATAAGCTCTACCAGGAACACAAGGAACTACTTAAATATCTCACCATGAGAACTTAACAACATAAATAGATAGTAATATAAATGATAACATAATAATAACTGTAAAGAAAATATTACAATAGTCATTTTCCGCTATGAGAGTAATTTACATACTTCCATAGTTCATACGATGGACATGAAAAAGACATGGGTACTCAACTTTGAGAAGTTACTCCAAATACCAACCACATTGAACTAATGATCATAAGGCAAAAGCAAACCTCTATTTTTCATAAAGTGGGTAAACTGAAAGTTCTAAACAGGCAAATCATTATACATGTTTTAAACATAGATGAAGTTTATTTTAAACCACCTTATCTATCTCTTCTAAACAGCACACCACATGTATAAAGTATAAAGAGCAGACAAAACAGCAACAACGATAAGATTACTTAAGAAAATCAATTAATTTGCTTCAATTGTTCATAAATTTAACATATTGAGATTATCAGTAGAATTAACCTTAACAATAGAACCAGCACCAATGAGAATGTTTTGTGGTTTCATGTCACGATGGATGATACGGTTGGAATGCAAATAATGCAATGCTCTCACCTGTGAAATTCAATAACAAAGAAAGCTTACTATATTTGTCATTCACAACGTGAAAGACCAAACAGTCAAACATGATAAAGAATTGAGATGGAACCCAAATTCGTGATAAAGATTTTACCAACTGCTTTGCAATTGCTTGAACTTGTTCTTCATGAAGGCACTTATCATCCTCAACAATTTCAAATAATTCACCCTGCATATCAAGGAATTCGTTAATAGTTAATGTGTCTCGACATATCAAGGAATTCGTTGATATCCCTATGCATATGCTAGAGTTTCCAAAATAACAAGATAGTATAGATAAATTAATGCAGTCATAGTGAAGAAAAAATGGATCCGTACTTGTGCAAATTCTGTGACAACACAAAACTCTTGTGGGCTTTCAAAGGAATCAAGCATTTCAATTATATTCTCATGCTTCAACTTTCTTAGGATCTGTACATTTAGGAACGGTGAATATCAGACAACTGAAAACCCCCCGAGAAATATCAATCATAGATGATAAATGAGTCCATTACCTCAATTTCTTGTCTTAAATTGTGAATATCTTTGTCGGTTTTCCCATGTTTCATGATGAATTTCATTGCAACTGTCTGAAGCAGTGATAAAAACAATGAACCGCCGCATAAACGAAAGGAAGAACAATTGAGAAGGAAAAATTAGATGTGCAAAAGGGTTTCCTACCTGACCAGTGTACTTCCGCCTTCCCTTGTATACCTTCCCAAATGAACCTTCGCCTACAAGCTCAATCACATGGTAGCCCTCGACACCCATCTTTTTAATCTAGGTTTAGTAAAAAATTGATGCAAATCTAGGTTTCAACAACCGTAACATTTAATCTAAAATCTGAACCTGAAACAGAGATTAGAGAGAGAGGGCGAGCGAAGAGAGTTTTGAAAATTGGTACTGAGAGAGTGGAACTGAGAGAGAGGTTGGGTGTTTTGGATTTTTCCCGCCCACTTTATTTTCACCCTAATCGAACTTACCTAAACTAAATTTTCAGCCAATTTGGCATCTGAACTAATGTTATATTAACTCGATACCACATGCACATTCAAGTTTTGTGAACGAATGTTACAAAAAAAAATTCTTCATAATAACAGTTCCTAATTTATAGCATATCCGTAATGCTATTTTTTGATTTAAACGTTGAATAATTATATCCTCAATTTTAGGGATTATGTTTCTAACAATTCAAGTCCTAATCAATTTCAATTCTCTCCCATGCATGTGACTTGTAAACCACGTATCCTTCTCGTATAGGAGACTTGGGCCCAGGGCTAGAACCTAAGCTTGTGTTTACCCACGTAGATGAGTAATCTCCTAAGGAAGATCTGCGCACTTGGAACAATATCAGAATAAGGGCAGACTGGGGTTGTTCCCAGTTCAAACCCCTCCGATGGTTAAGTCAGAAACTAACTTGAACTAGAGAGAAATTGATATAGGATTTCCACAGTGAGAATATTTATTACCTTTGTCCAGAGATAGGTGAGGGGTATTTATAAGGGGCAAAGGAGAGATCCAGATATTTTATGGGATAGATCTTTTCTTTATTTTCCTCAATTTGAATCACATTTAATGCTCTGTTTTCTGATCACCTTACTTTATGACAGGGGTCAGGTGGCGAAGTGATAGGTAAACAAGGATGGGAGGTGTATTAAATGTTCTCTTTCTATCACCAACTTGTTTTCTCAAAGATCGAAGGGTAAAGCGACACCTGCTTGAGGATGGGATGTGCATTAATTGATCCTTCTTGGTTGTTAGGTCTATCCATCTCAAGGGCGATAGTGATCAATTTGACAAGGGTTAGGTCAGGCTTGCCAATCATCCATGCACTTCTAGTTGGAATAAAGCACCCTGGTGATCGGGTAAGTACCCAAAACACCCAACCATTGGTCCAATCTCTTTTTTTTTCCAAAACGATGAGAGAAATTTATTAAAGACGAATAGAAAGGTTTACATCACTAGCAAGAGTATCAAAGATCCACTCATGCCATAAATCATCCCAAGTATGGATGCCGCCAACTTTGAACACAAAGGCCGCAATTTTATGCGCTGCCTTGTTACAAAGACGAGGAGTAAACAGAAAAACACAATGCTGACATTACACCACCAGGCGCTTTATGTCAAAAATAATGGATTCCACAGCAAAATCAACTTTCCACTTTCCACAAAGCATTCGGATAATTTTTAAGGAGTCAGATTCAACCTCAAGTTTAGAGAATCCTCCTTGTACACAGACCAGCAATGCCTCCCGAATGGCCTCAGCCTCCATCGCTAACGCCGAACCCCCCCCGCAAATCTCCCTTGCCACCAACCAGAACCATCCAACCATATGAATCCCGTACCACCCAACCCACACTACCCATTCCTGTCTGTGCCATCCAAGTAGCATCACAGTTAACCTTGAACACCCCAGATGGCGGTTTTTGCCACGAAGTCACCGGCTCCACTTGAACTTCAGGCGAACGAGGTAGCTCATTAATAAGCGGCTTCACACACATCCGAGCTATTCTAAATTCTTGAACCTAGTTTTTGAAGCATTCCACCGCATCTCGAGGATCAGTCACCTGTCCTTCGAAAACCATGCCATTCCTAGTTTTCCATATCCTCCACAAGCCAAATGCACAAGCCTGCAAAATCTCGCTATAGTGTTCCACCTGCTCAGATTTGCTAAGCAAATTTGCCCAACAACCAATAAAATCCTCTCCCACAACAAGACTTGGATCCAATTGCAAAGGAGAAGCAAACCAAAATAACCACGCAAACTCACATGTAAAAAATAAATGTACCTGAGATTCCCCCTCCCGTCCACACAAGGTACATGTAGTATCAACATCAATTCCCCAATGCAACAAGTTTTCCTTCACCGCTAAAACATTGCGACAGCATTTCCATAGGAAAGTTCGAATTTTAGGAGGCACCGGCAGACCCCAAATACTTTTCCAAATACATTGTTGTTGATTCCCTTGACTGGTTTCTCCTTCAGCTTTCTTGCCCAGCTCTCCGTTCCGCCGTAAATTTAACGCCACTTCATACCCCGATCTAACAGTATAGCCTCCATGAGAAGTAAAATGCCAAACCTACTTATCTGGACACCCCCATATGCTAATAGGTGTGGTAGAAATGCATTTTGCTTCAAGAAGATTAAAGCAACGATCCACCAGCTCCATATTCCAGGACCTCAGAGTCATATCAATGAGCTCAGACACCATCAAAGGCATGTCAGGATGTCGGGAATGCACCATGGAAATATACGGGGTGGCCAACCAACGGTCCGGAAGAATTCGAATGCACTCCCCATTTTCGACACGCCACCGTAGACCAGCCTCCAAAATCCTGCGGCCTTGCAAAATACCTTTCCAACCCCACGAGACCTTCCGACCACATACAACATGCATAAAATCATATTCGAAGTAATATTTCTCATGTAAGAGCCGGGCTAGCAAGGACTCCGGATTCTGAAGGATCCTCCAGCCAATCTTCGCCAGCATAGCAAGATAAAAGCAGAGGAGGTCTCGAAAGCCCAACCCCCCTGCCTTCTTAAATTGACATAATCTCTGCCAACTCACCCAATGAATCCCTCTATGATCCTTCTGCCCCTTCCACAAAAAATTAGCAATATCTCTTTCTATCTCCTTGCACAAACTGACTGGGAGTTTAAAACATGACATAGAGTAATTCGGCATAGCCATAGCCACCGCCTTAATGAGAACCTCTTTGCCAGCAGGAGATAAATATTGCTCCGACCATCCCAAAAGTTTAGAAGCAATCCTACTACGCACCGTTTCAAACACCGCTCGTTTAGAAGCACCAAAATCTGCATTTAACCCTAAGTATTTTCCAAACTTCTCATTTTGCCAGACCCCCAAAATATGTACCAGTTTACCTTTCAACCTTGCCGGGCACTTCTGACCAAAGAAGATAGAGCTCTTCTCAAAGTTAATACACTGACCAGAACCCTTCGCATAGCATTCCAAAATATGCTTTAAGCCAGAAACCTCGTGTTCGTCAGTGCGACAAAAAATGACAGAATCATCTGCAAAAAATAAATGTGAGATGCTAAGCCCATGGGGACGGAGCTGGAAGCCATGAAGGCCTCCCCTTTCTTCCTGACGATGAAGCAGAGCAGACAACCCTTCAGCGCAAATTAGAAATAAAAAAGGGGATAAGGGGTCCCCTTGCCTAAGTCCCCTGGAAGGTAAGATTGGGGTCGTCGCCTCCCCATTAATCAGTATACTATATGTAATTGTGGATATACACTCCATAATCCACTGACAGAAGGTGGGGTCAAAGCCCAATTGTCGCATCATTGCATCAAGAAATACCCATTCCACCCGATCATAGGCCTTGGCCATGTCTAGTTTGATCGCCAAGCTAGCGCTTCCGGCACGAATCTCAGACTTCAAAGAATGCAGAATCTCATGCACGATAAGAATATTATCTGTTATTAAACGGTCCTCAATAAAAGCCGACTGATTGGAACTCACCACCGATGGTAAGACCTTCTTTAGGCGAAGTGTTAAAATCTTCGAAATGATCTTATAGACAGTGTTGCAAAGCGCAATAGGCCTCCATTGTGTCATCTTTCTTGGATTACCAACCTTTGGGATCAACACTATATGAGTGTGATTGATTTTTTTGTATAACCGCCCAGAGTGAAAGAAGCTTTTCACCATTCCATTAATATCAGGTCCAATAACATCCCAGAACTGATGAATAAAACTCCCAGTATAACCATCTGGACCAGGGGATTTAGTAGGATGTAGAGATTGTACAGCCACCCAAATTTCCTCCGTAGACACCTCCCGTAATAAGGCTTCATTATGCTGCGTCGTAACCTTTCGATGAACACAACCCATAATTTCAGAGATGTTGGTAGGGTTACAAGAGGTAAAAATATTCTCAAAGTAGTCCACCGCAACACGATGAATATCCAATGGATTATCACACCACTTCCCGTGGGTGTCCTCCACACCCATTATTCTATTAGCCCTTCTTCTAGATACCACTTTAGAATGGAAAAATTTAGAATTTTTGTCCCCTTCATTGAGCCAATGTACATCATAGAAACTATATTCAACATGTCTCAAATATATATATATATATATATATACAGTTTTGCTCACATCAGGATGACTGGATTTTAATTAAAATGCGGATATTAAAGGTGAAACGTCATATCAATCCAATGGTATTGCAGCATTGATATGTATTAATTGACAAAACTTAAAGCCACGCGCATCAGCTCTTTGGTGTTTTTTTTCACCTGCAAGTGGCAGCCACAACTTTAATGATTATTAAACTAATTTAATATTATATCAAATTATCATATTCTCTCTCCTTCTTTCTCTCGATTACCTCACGCTCTCCCTTCTCTCTGTCTCTCTCCCTCTCTTTCTTTTTCTAATTTTCTCTCTCTCTCTCTCTCTCTCTCTCTCTCTCTCTGCTTCTTATCCTTCTTAACAAAGAGGGCTTGAGTCCCGAGAACAATGGTTTCATTAAGCCTGTTGTTTTTTCTTCGAGTCAAAAAGTTTGTGGAAAATGCATCACATGCCTCTTTAATTTCTAGATTTCCAGACATTTCATTAAGCCTATTATTTTTCCTTTAGTCAAAAAGCTATGAGAACAATGACTTGTAAAAATTTATCTAAATCAAATGGACAATGGATTTTGATAATTTGTGGATTGTGATGGGTGTTTCTTTGTTTTTCTCTACAAGTCAACAACCATCCGGAATACACACCCCTTAATGGCAGTACATATGCAATCATAACCTAGAAATGAGTTGAAAATTTTAATTGGGGCTTGTGAACCTTTGGGGGTTTCTATAATCCCTCCCTCCCAAATCTCTCCCTCCAGTATCTGGCATCTGGCAAAATCTCTGCCTCCAGTATTTGGCATCTGGCATTTAACCAAATTTATAGAGAGAGAGATATGGAGACTGAGAAAAAGAAGAAGAAGAAAAGAGAGAGAAATAGAAGAAAGAGAAAGAAGATTAAAAAAACAGAAAGGGGGGGGAGAGAAAGATATCTGGCATCTCAATTTTCTCTGTTCTTTTTTTTTCGTCATTTTTCTCTCTTTGAAACCAATTCTCACTGTTTGTCTAGCAAAATTAAAATGAGTTGAACTTGGACTTACTTGAACTTGGAAGTTGGAAAGATAAGTTGAGTTGTAAGGTTATGTTCTGATGTGATGGGGATGTCAACGTCAAAAAGATGTTGAGAAGATCTTTCTGATAAGATGGAGGCATTGAACAATTAATTAAAGCAAACCTTTGGGCTGCCCTAAGCTGCCCACCTTTTCAATTTGATATAATATTAATTAGTTCAATAATCATTAAAGTTGTGGCTGCCACTTGCGCATGAAAAAATACACCAAAGAGCTTAAGCACGTGGCTTTAAGTTTTGTCAATTAATACATATCAAGGTTGCAATACCATTGGATTGATCTGACGTTTCACCTTTAATATCCGCATTTTAATTAAAATCCAGTCATCCTTATGTGAGCAAAATTGTATATATATATATATATATATATTCAATATGAATATATGTTGGTGGTATTTTGTATCAATATGGCATGTACTGTCTACAAAGTTGTCTAGATCCCGAGCCTTTACATACTCCCTTGGAGATGCTCAGGACTTAGGTGTATTTATATGAATATGAAAGTTATCTATATTTCACAAAATTTGCAATTCAAATTTGCAACTCAACGTGTCTTTTATGGCTAAAAACTTACCTACAATTCGTTCTTTTTTTGGCTAAGATAATGTACCTACAAAATTTGCAACTCAATTTAACATTTAAAAAATATATATACTTTATTTATTGTTGAATAATTATTCCTTTAATTTTAGGGATTATGTTTCCAACGGATTATATATATGTGTGTGTGTGTGTGTGTGTGTGTGTGTGAAACAAGTTGAAATTTAAAACAATTAGGAGGATTAATATGTGAGTAGACAAATTTGCAATAAATTCCATCAAATAAGAACATTTTAGGAGGGAAGAAAATCAACACAATAATACACCCCACATAACACGGTAAATTTTGTTAGAAAATGTTAGGGACACCAAATTTAGAGTGCTGCTATTTCCACCCCCAAAGTCCTATTTCCTAACCCACCTTATCTTTCCACCCACCATTATTCCTAAAATACACTTGAAAAAACACAGTTCTACCGTTGAACGTTCTTCTTACTATCAATTTTCTTAAAATCAGAAGAATTTCAATTAGACTTAGGTTTTGATATGGATTTGGATTGGTTGATTTTGCTATTGTTGTTGGTGTAGTGGTAGTGTTGTTCTTCAAGGAAGAAGAAGAAGAAGGCTCCAGAACGACGAAGCCATTGTCGGCCACGTCGACCGAGTAATCAAAACGAGGAGATGCCGAGGTAGTCGCCCACTTCATGCTAATGCAACCCATTCACCAACGCCAAATCTTGCCAGCATGGATCAATCGGAAAAATGTGGGGTGGCGGAAGATCGGCGGCCGAAATCAAGAGATGGTCGAGAAAGGGGAGGTCACCCCTACAACATTACGAGCTCAAAAATGGGTTTCAATACGAAGCCAAAATTTGGGGAAAGACAACAACATTGATTTCTACATATACACATTCATGGGTCCTAACCTGGTTCCGAGGAAACTACCTTGCAACCCCATACTACTGACCCACAACTGTGTCATCCTGCTCCTACAAGTGTTGGGACTGAAAAACTCTGCTAAACTAGCATGAAGAATCATGAAAAACATCAAAGCAAAGTAATAGACGAAGGAAAATCTTGGGTGACATCTCTAATAAAGGAAAGGGACGATAGGACAACTCTACTTCGGGTCTAATAAAAACAAATAATCTCGCTACCCCTGCTGGTCTATACATTAAAAAGCCTATTACTAAGCCACAACCCCCAAGAAAACTCACCTATCAAATGGTTATCAAGTTCGCAATTTGGATATTCAGGAGGAAAATTCGGGTGGTCTTTCTAGTTTTGTCAACAAGTACCTAAGTGCTGCTATGACAGATGGCTCTAGCTTCTTCAAACCTGCTGCTATCTCAGGGCACGACCCCCCAAAATTTATCAATCCACTGCTCCCACGCAAGGTCGAGACCACCCTTCAACAAACTCTAGCAACCAGGTTGATATGGTTATTCCAAATGAAACTAAGGTTAGTCACCTACCCTACACCGTTACCATTGAGACTGGCAAGCTGCAAAAAGCCATGATAGATGGAAAATCTTGTGTTGTTGGCTCTACTTCTGCCTTGGTGGAGGATATGAGCTCTACTCTTTAAATTTGGAGTTTTCCCTGTTACCTCATTTTATTATTTACCAATGATACTGGTCTAGAATGTTAGAGGTGATACAAGTCTCTTACACAATTACATTGTATTGAGATCTTTGCTATCCTTGAACCAAGAATTAGTGGTGATTGTGCATTACATGTTGTTAATAGTCTGGGATTTACTAATCACTACATTGTCAATGCTAATGGCTTCTCAGGAGGTCTTTGGCTTTTGTGGAATTGCAACAATGTTCAACTAAATATTGTGGCTTGTTCCAACCAATCAATTACATCTTTGATTACGAATGACAATATTCCATAGCTCTTAACTGTGGTTTACGCTCACCCCTGCCCTGGAATTAGGAAGTTTATTTGGACCTATTTGGACGGTGTTTCTGATGTTGCTAAACTGCCTTGGCTTGTGGCTGGGGATTTCAATGAGATTATTGTTGACTCTAAGAAAAAGGGAGGCATACCCACTCGTAGTCAAACTAGTTTTGCTGATTGGACTAGTAGGAACCATTTAATGGATCTTGGATTCTCTGGAGCTGAGTTTACTTGGTGCAAGAAAAATATTCATGGTGAAACTATTTGGGAAAGACTGGACAGAGGTCTTTGTAGCATTGATTGGAGACAAACATTCCTTGGAGCATATGTTAGACATTTACCTAGAACAAAGTCTAACCATTATCCTCTGCTGATATCCATGAACTCTGCTTAGTGCCCAATACCTGAATTTAAAATTTTTAGATTTCAAGCAATGTGGATGCTTCATGAAGACTTTAAGGGCTTTATCACTACTACCTGGAATAATACCCATGGTAATATTGTTTGTAAAACTACTTCTCTGGCCAAGGCCCTCACTGGCTAGAACAATAAGGTGTTTGGCAATGTCTTTCAAAAAAAAAAAAAAAAAAAAAAAATAATGGCTAGGATTGATGGTATTCAGATAAATCTTTGCCACAGGGATAATCTTTTTCTTATTGAGTTGGAAAAAAAGCTTCATGGTGATCTTAATGTGATTATAGAGCAAGAAGAACTTCTTTGGCTCCAAAAATCGAGAAACACATGGCTTAAGGAAGGTGACAAAAACACTAAATTTTTCCATCTATCTACTATTGTTAGACGAAGAAGAAACAAAATTGAGAGACTAAAGAACACCAACGACGTCTGGGTCATTGATAAATCTGACATGCATGCTCTGTTGGTTTCCCATTTCAATGAGCTATTCTCTCTAAAACCCAGAACTTATGAGATGTATAACCATCCAAATTTCTTTCCTACTTTGAACTCTGAGAACTTGAACAACCTGAACCGAGAGGTAACTGACGATGATATAAAAATGAGCATGTTTTCATTGGCAGCCTTAAAGCTCTTGGGCCTAATGGATTCTCAGCTAAATTCTACCATGACAATTAGTCCCTATGCAGCTCCGAAATATATTCTATGGTCAAAGATTGTTTTACCATTGCTTGCCTCCCTGATAGCCTCAACAACAAGCTTATTGCTTTGGTCCCGAAGGTAACAAATGCTACTATTATGTCTCAATTTAGACCAATTAGCTTCTGCAACACCTTATTATGAGCAAGATTGTGAGTCTAACTCAAGTCAGTTATGTTCCTAGTAAGCAAATTGTGGATAATATCATTATTGCACAGGAGGTGTTGCATAAATTCAGAGTCAACAATCTAAGAAGAAGAGGAAGCAGCAGACTGTGGATTAGCATAGTAGCCAGTAAATGGTCCATAAGATAAACTGCAAGAAGCATTGAGCAGACAACCCAATTTGCGACAAGTGTTAGCGGCATGACCTTTTTTGTTGCAGAACTGACATGCAAGAATAAGGCCAAAAGAAAAACCAGCATAATTGAATGAAGAAGAACCTCCTGGATTGGAATTACCACCCCCATGTCTCGAATTTCGAGAAAAATTGAGGCTGTGAAACCCTTGCACACCAAATTGTGGAGGAGAAGAAAAATTTGGGGCAAAATTAGAAGGCAATGACAGAAGCAGACCACTAGTGGGAGGAAAAACTCGATGCTGAGAGTTAGAGTTGTTGGAACCACGCAAGCGAGAAAAGTGCTGTGAAGAACGAGGAGTGGCGGCATAAGCATGAAACGATTCTATAGGTCCAAAGGAATTGGATCGAAGTTTGCGCTTCAGAATAGCAGCTTCACAACCGAGAAGGTAACCGTGAAGTTCATCAAAGGAAACTTTCTTCCGAAGAGTTTCAATAAAAGTGACAAAGGAATTGTACTCTTCAAAGAGACCGGCAAGAATGTAAGCCACCAAATCATCATCAGTTAGTGGATAACCAACATCGCCCAAGCCATCAGCAATTTCCTTCATCTGTTGCAGATAGGAAACCATAGACAGATCCCCTTTGACAAGATTCTGAAGACACTGACGAAGATGATGAACATTTGCACGAGAGACTCCAACAAAATGTTTTTACAACATCTCCCAGAGATCACGAGAATACTCAATGCCGACCGTATGAGATAACAAATCCGTCAAGATAGTGGAGATGATCCAGATCATGAGTGATTGATCCTTATCATACCATAGATCTAAGGCAAGATTATCAATAGTGCAACCAACAGCATTAACAATTGTCCTCGACAACCGCGGATCAGCACTAGTGAGAAGGCCAAGGAGCTTGTATTTGCGAAGAACATGAAGAAAAAGATTCTTCCACAATAAATAATTGCCAGCTTGAAGCTTGATCGAAACCATGTCTGCGATGTTTTGAACAGTAACAGTCGCAAAAGCAGGGATTGAAGACGATGTGTGTGTGTGTGTGTGAGAGAGAGAGAGAGAGAGAGAGAGAGAGAGAGAGAGAGAGAAGGCGCAGAAGAAGAAGAATTGGTCTTAGAAGCCATGGAAATCAGAGAACCGGAGCCGAAGAAACTGTTTGGTTGATGAGAAAAGCACTGTTTGGTTGGTGAGAAAATCACGGGTTGGAAGAAAAGGTAGAGAGGATCGAATAGGCATATGATACCATAAAAGAAATTGTGATTCTCATTAATTAATGGAGAAAAGATTACAAAAGAGTATTTAACACCTGTCTACTCTATACAATAGATAAAGCCACTTGTATAGGCTGTTACAATAGCTCTAACTAATTACTTACAAGAGTAACTAATAAGCTAACTACACAAAAGCAAAACACACAAATTTTTTCAATAACAAACTCAACACAAAAACCTTAGCTCTTTCATAAAAGGAGATGCCCTAAGTTGTTGCCCTCGAGGACTAGGCCCAGGGCTGACTTGTTGAAGAGACGTTCATGTTTCTTCTTTTGAACGTAGTTAAATCTCTCAATTAAAATTGCGGTTTTGTTTATGATTTTCACCATTTTTGTTATGAGAAATAAAATTTTAAAAAGCAAAATTGGCTAAATAGCCCCTTTGTAAAACACTTGTTAAAAAAATGACCCTGAACTCTAGGGACGGAAAAATGTAGGATTCGGGCTTTTCTTCCTTAGGCCATCTCCAACCCTTGGACTCAAACCCAAAATATCCCCTCAAACCTCTCCCAACCCAAGAAAATGAAGGACCCAAAATTTGGGGAAACCCAAATATGGGCCCAAGTATTGCCTGGACCCAATACTATTCACTGGAGCCCACGCTGAGGTGGCAGAGCCCATGTGCTTCTAAAAAATGGTGGGACCCGCACTGGTTACTTGTTCTGATAGGCTTGTCTGTGACATGGGCCACGTGTCGGCATTAGGTGAGAGAGCCGTTGGGCTTTGGCTGTCTCATTTTTTATATATAAAAAAAAATTCAAATAGTATCAATTGGGCCCACATGATGGCTATTTCCAACTCAAAGAGACGTTGGAAAATAAGTATTTTTTTTTTTTTTTTTTTTTTTTTTTATTAACTTAATAAATTAACGATCTAAGATTAAATCTAAGCTATTTTAACGGTAAAAAAAAAGATCAAACGGCTGAAATTTAAATCCAACGGTCAAAATAATATTTTAAATTAATCCAAATCAGATCCAACCCCAAAACTCACTCCAAACTCTATAAATACTCACTCATTTCTCAATTAATCTGCCAAAAACATTTGTTCTATTTCTCAATTTATTTTTCCTTTATCAATTTCATCAATCTCTTTCATTCTCATACTTTTGATATCATTTCAAGCAGATCATCTTCTTCATTCTCATACTTTTCATATCATTTGAAGTTTTTAGTGGATAATCGTGGCAAGGCCATCTTTTCCTTTATGTTTGATGATGATTCAGATGATGAAGAACATCATTAGAGAGTGATAGAAGTCATTGTCCACCATACTTCACAGGAGAATGAAGCCCCCAAACATGGTGGGTTGGTAGTCGGTCGTGTGTACAAGAACCGTAAAAGGGAAGATCGCCATCGCAATCTCATGTCCGACTACTTCATTGAAAGGCCACATTTTAATACTACCAACTTTCATAGGCGGTTTCGAATGCGAAAAGAGTTGTTTTACCGCATCTTGAATGATGTTGTCAACCACGAGCCATACTTTCGCCAAACAAAAAAAAAGACGGGCTCAGCCAACAAGGGCTATCCCCTGTGGCCTCGTACGACACATGGATATGGCATGCCTTTTTTGGAGCCGCTGGATCCAACAATGATATCAACATTTTAGCTCGTTCTCCATTGTTCAATGATGTGGTACATGGAGTGGCTCCTCATGTTGAATATATTGTCAATGGAAGTCAATACCATTTGGGGTACTATTTGGCAGATGGGATCTACCCCCATTGGGCTACTTTAGTGAAGACCATATCTTCTCCTGATAATCCAAAGAAGAGGTTTTTTGCACAAATGTAAGAAGCGTACAGGAAGGATGTTGAAATAGCATTTGGAATACTACAGGCTCGTTGGGCTATTGTTCGGGGCCCTGCATGTATGTTGTGCAAGGATAACCTCCACTCAATCATGACGTATCTAATTTTGCACAACATGATTGTGGAAGATGAGTACGAATATGTTGAAGAGGAATCTGATGATGATGATATGTGTCCACAACGATCTAGGAGGGCTAGAGCAAGACAATATGAGCTAGATCCAAGCATTACATATGAGTACCACTAAGATAGGCAAACTCTCTCTGATTACATGATTCGTCATAATAGAGTTCGATCTCCACATATGCATCAGAATCTCCGAAATGATTTGATCAATCACCTTTGGAGGAGCTTTGGAGATGGTGAATGAGGTCGACAATTGTTTCAATCCTCATTTTGTGTTTCAATTATGTTGTGTGTTTACTTTTGGAATAAAATTAAATAAAATTTATGGAATTTCAAATTTTTTTAGGTTAAATTGTTCAAAAAATTAAATTATGATATTATTTAAAAAGATTAAATGAAGAAAAGTTATCCATTTAAAAAAATAGACTTAAATAATTCTTAAACAATTTAATAAAGTTACGAACTTAAAATTTGAGTCCAGAGAGTTGGGAGAAAAAATGATTTGAGTCCGGACAAAACTCAAATAGTTACTTTTTAAAGGTCTCATGGATTGGAGAAGGCCTTAGAGCATTTCCAGCAGTGGGGTTTGGGGGAGGGCTGGGGGGGTTTGGGGTAAAAACCCGTTTCCAGCAGTGAAGGCAGGCCCGGGCAAGATGGTGGGACCCAGCAAAACGGGCTGGCCCGAGGGCAAGGCTGGCCCTTGCTGACGTCGTCGTGACGTCAGCGCTACAGTATCCGCCAGCAATTATGTGCCATGTGTCGTGTCCTGGGTTCTCCGATCATAATTTTTGCTCCAATCCAACGGCAGCCAATATTTTTGTAATAAAAATTGAAAAAAAAATCCGAAAAATTTGAAAAAATTACCAAAAAATTATTATTTTTCTTCTCTCTATACCTTATTTCCATTTTCAACATTTAAGTAAATGTCTTTGTCCTTTTACTTTTATTTATTTTTATATTACTCCATTTACTTAAGTTTACAATGTAAATAAGGAAGTACCCCCCATTTGGATTCAAATAAAAATACTAGAAAATCAAATTCCCACCAAATCAAAATATGAAAAATCGGTTTTAGTGAAAAATACGATTTAGGCTAAAAATGATGGCTCATTAAGTCATATATACTTCATATTAAAATCTCATAAAATCAAGTTTTCTTATTTGATGTGTAAGGAATAAAAGCCGCCAAAAATTATCTTGAGAAAATGATTATTCCGAAAAAACCATTTTTCATACTTAGTTAATATTGCACCTCCGCTAAAAAAATTCCGAGTTCGCCAATGTCTATAAATATCAACCAATACTCTTCACTTTTAACACCAAATCCTCATACTTTTTTTTTTTTCTATAAATACCAATCAATACAACTAATAAAATAAAATCTTATCCAAAAATATTATCCGATAAAATAAAATCTTGCCTTTCATTTCTTAGTTTGCTTGCCTTTCATTTCATTGTGTTTTTTGTTTTGTTTTAATAATTAGTGGTCATTCATGTATTTTATTTTATTAGTTGTATTGATTTATCTGAATTTTGAATTTTGAAATTTATATGAAATTTGAAACAAAAAATCTTATCCGATATGAATAGTATTGACACGTAGGAACCCAAAAATCTTATCTAAAAATATTATCCAAATCAAATGTTTAAGTAAACAAAGTTGTGAAAAAAAACAAAAAAATGAATAGTATTTGCCATGGCAAGCCTTGCACTGCTAGAAACACACTTTTTTTTTTGTGCTAGGGCAGGCACTATTCACGTGAATAGTAGCTGCCCTAGGGCTCCCCTTGCCATGGCAAGGGGCTAACTGATGGAAGTGCTCTTACGAGTCAATGAAGCTTTTTTTCAATCGTTCAGGAATATGAGTCAATGAGCTAATTGTGAGCTATTTGGGTTTTTGGGTTTTACTAGCCTTTTCACCGAATATTCAAAATTTAAAAACTCAGAGATCCCAACTTTCCTCAGAAACAAACAGGAATGGCAGCAGTTTCATCCTCTCTCAGCTACCCTCAAGAACCCCTGAACCCTCTGTTCGGAAAATGTCAATCCTGAATAAGTTCCACAGTGTCGCTTCCAGAACCCACTGCAATTTCAACGCCATTTTCAAACCATCCACTCTAACCCTCTTCATCTCCACCCAAAGACCCCATGCACATATCAAATCTCCACCTCGCAACACAATCCGATGCCTGTTCACTGGAATTGTCGAGGAAATGGGTCAAATCAAGCAACTGGGTACCGCTGAAAACGGCGGTTTCGACATGAAAATCGGCGCCAAAACCGTCCTCGAGGGCGTCCACCTCGGCGATAGCATTGCCGTCAACGGGACGTGCCTCACGGTGACTGAATTCGACACCCAATTGTCCGATTTCACCGTCGGTTTGTCGCCCGAGACGCTTAGGAAGACGTCTCTGATCGAGCTCGAACCAGGGTCACTTGTGAATCTGGAGCGGGCGGTCCAGCCCACGAGCCGAATGGGTGGGCACTTTGTGCAGGGTCATGTGGATGGCACAGGGGAGATAGTGTCAATGGATCCTGAGGGGGATTCTCTATGGATCAAGGTGAAGGCATCAAAGGAGCTGTTGAAGTATGTGGTGCCGAAAGGGTTTATTGCAGTGGATGGGACTAGTTTGACTGTGGTGGATGTGTTTGATAAAGAAGACAGCTTTAATTTCATGTTGGTGGCTTATACTCAGCAGAACGTGGTGATTCCCTTGAAGAAGGTTGGGCAAAAGGTGAATTTGGAAGTTGATATACTCGGCAAGTATGTGGAGAGGCTTCTCAGCAGTGGATTTGTTGAGTCAATCAAATCTTCATGACCCTTAAGGTACTCAATTTATAGGTAATTTGTTTATTTTCTGCTATCCTGATTTGAGCCCATGTATTATTACCTCTTGTAATGCATGCTCTTTCTTGTCTTTTAATGTTTAAATTAAACAATAATTGTTTACGATATGCAGATTTGTGTGGTTTTCTGTTATTCGGATTGATTTTTAGTTCTGTTTTTAGTAAGCAGCTGTGAGTTTCTTTGGGCATGTCCTTTTCTATCAAATAAAGAATAATAGAGTTGCAGGAATGATACGTGTATTGAGTAGGATGATCCTTAGAGAAAACTTTGAAGGGGTGACGTAATGCTTGAAAACAGGAGCGTCTAAATGTGGTGTTCTGGTATGGAACTGATCATGGTGAAATGGATTGATAGCTTACCCTAAGCAGTGACTGTCATAGTTTTCTGAGTAGAGTTTGATTGAAGGATTTTCTAAGTTAGTTAACTTATCTTTAGTAAGTTAGATACTTAAGGCTTGACTACAAGAACAAAAACAAACGAAAGCAAATAAGCAAAACGGAACAAAATAATCTTGTTTTATCTCAATTTCAGTTAATGTTTATATGAATCGTATTTCAGATAATGAATGGCCTACCTTTTAAAAATAGAGATTTTCTTGGCCCTCGATATAGTTTCTAAATGTGAAATCATCATGTTGAACATTTTATTGTAGAAACTCTAATGGAATTTTGTTAATTCTTTCTTGTGCTTAACTAATAAGTGAAAATTAAGAATGCATTAGATTACTAAGTTTCTCAGTTTCTGCCAAATCCAGCCAATGGTTTACCAAGTGACACGTAAAAATGAAATTTTTTGCACTAATATGAGCTTAGGAGAAAGAAAAATGAAAAAAAATATGCAGCAAGTAATTTCTATTACAAAGATCTAGGGGTATTAACTGTCTTTCAACGGATTAATCATAAAGAGTATTTATTTTAGCAATATAAAGTTCTATAATGCTGTCAAGTTTCTTACTGTTCTTTTTCTCATTTTCTTTGCAAGGTCATCACTGGTGCAGTTTTGTACACAACCACACTTGTTGTTTGGATAGTAACTGTCATGACTGGCGACTCTAAGAGAGCTGTTTAGTTTTTTGTTGTATGATAGTTAGAGCTTTATTGTATTGGCGTTCTGTGCACCTTCTCCATAAGGACTTAATGGTTTTGGTTTTAATAGAAGGTCCACATTCAATAAAAGTTCAGCATTTGATTCATGTAAAAATGTGTGGTTTCTGAAGATAAAAAAGAAATAAATTTGGCATTTGGTTGTAACCACCATATTGTGAAGGACTACTTCAGCAACAGACTCTAGCTGAAATCTTTGTTTTGCAGACTAATTCAGCAATAACACACACACATGCACGTGCACACGCAAACAGACGTTTATGGCTCCCCTGTTTACGCACGCACGCACACACAGTGTAACCCTCCTCAAGTATCTTTGCCCCTAAAATGCACTTTAAGAAAACCATTCTGCATTGGCTCTGATGAAGATTCCTTTCATATTCTTCTCACTATGGTTAACTGAGCTATGTTTATTATGAGTGATTAATAGTTTCAGTCAATTCCTTCTCTGCACCAGAATGTCTTATACTTTGTGTCGATTCGTGCTTTTATGATTTCGAGCTCCCTTTCTTATATTGCGCCTGCTTTGCATTTTTCTGTGTTAAATCTTTTTCCATAACCCTTTTGATGTACGCATTAGACTCTCATTTTCCTGATGTAGAAATCTAAGTATATTACTATTTACCCAAAGAAAAAAAAAGGTTAAATAGATTATTCCTTAATATCCTATTTATAATTGGAGAACAAATCATGTGGTTCCATGCCATCAAAAGCTTGCATCTGTTTGTTGGAAGCTCAATGGGCAATATAGCTCGCCTCTCTGTTAAAAGTGTAGGGCTCAGGTTAGTTTCTCACTTTCGTAATCTATCTAGTTTTTAGGCACCTTCTTTTTACACACTGATAATACCCACCTTTAGGCTAGGGCTTGGCTCCATGGGCCAGTAAATCTCAAATCTCAAAGCCAATCCAAAGGCAGATGGTTGGTTTGTAGGCGAGTTTGGTGAACCACCTAATCTTGTACCAGTTATGTTGGATGTATTAATTTTTGGTGCAAGTAACGATATCAAATGTGTTGCCAGAATCATTAAATTAACCAGAGAAAATCTATTGGTTTAGGTTAGATAAATTTAGCCTTAAATAAATTAGGGGTAAAATATCAAAAGACAAAAAAGAGCAAAATATTGCCAATTATTTGTTTTTATGAAGTCCCCTTCAACCCCCTGTCGGACAATTTCAATTTTGGTGTACCAGTAATGGTTCTTTTATGATCCTTCTGACTGTTTTTAGATGTCATTCGGTGTAGAAAAACTTGTGTGAAACCGGAATAGCACTGTAATTGGCTGGGAAAGCAATACATTGATATTCCCATTTCAAACAAGTGTTTCTCCATTCGGGGGGATTAGCCTGATATTGGGCATCCAATTATGCTTCATTACAACTTTACTAGTGATGTGGGCTACAATGTTGTCAACATAATCATGTCCTTGTAGACACAGTTTGCTCAACATCAATTGCCAGCCACAATTTGTTTTATGGGAGGATTCTACTTCAACTACTCCATTTGCACAATTTGCCAAACCCAACCACTCAATTTGCACAATCCAGTGTTTTTAGAGCAGAATTGACAAGAAAACGCCAACACAACCTACCCTTCTTTTGTAAAATAGAAACTCTATGTTATCTTCTTCCTTTAACCGCAGGTCTTCTACCGTCCAACTACTTTGATAGACAACCCTGCTCCCTTCTCTTCTCCTTACTGTATTGTTTGTTAGCTATATGGCCTTTTGTTTTTGTCGATCTGCTTTTCGGCTTGACTTGCTGTTATTTTAGATAAAGAAAGAAAAGAGCTTTTCCTACTTCCAAGATTACATTTGTCTCCATCTGAACCGAAAGGTAAGAAAGGTAAGACACGGACAAGTTCATCGTGCCTTCACCGAAATTTACTTCTGATACTATAAAATAAACGTCAAGTACATAAAGCACCCCCAATAGATAGACACAAGTGAACTGACTGATCCAATTCTAGTTAACCACGGAGATAGTGTCTACTTAATTAATAGTAATTGGTTGGTATGGGGGTTTTATCATTAAATCATTTGTTTACAAATGAGGTGTATCGTATATTTCAATATCTTACTTGTTAAGCATAAATCAGCTCACACGAGTGGATTTAGCGTTGAAATAAAATACTAATATATCATCTGAGAATGACCTTATTTATAGAAACTCGAACTTCCGTATTTAGCATTTATGACTTAAATGGGTATGATATTTTTATTTTATATTTTATACAAAGGTTTTGACTTGCAGATCAGTGGTCTCAAGTTTGAAAATTCATAACATTTTGGTAGTGTGTGAGAGAGAAAACTCTCCCTCATCCTTCCTAATTTTGATAAAATAAATAAATCAATCAATCAAACCTATATCTCGATTGTAATGGTAAATTCTTTTAATCACTTGATCTACAAACTCCTTATATCAACATGATTTTTCGATTAAAGAATATCTTGGAGAATCGCATGCTTTCTTCCTTCAATTTATTTTATTATTATTATTTTGTTTTTCTTTGCTTCCTTTGGGTGTTTAGGAGGATCAATCATCATCATGACGACCAAAAACAAATTTGAGGATCAATGATGTGTCGTGTCTGACAAAAGTACACCAACAACGTGAAGATGCAGCCGCCCAATAAAATCATTTAAAAGATTGCATGCGCGTGCTGCTTGAGCTTTGGAGAATAGATTGATTTGGCATGGCATTCTCAATCTCAACCATGTATGATAATTTTGTCACTCTAGACGTGACTTGGGCATTGGGCAATCTAATGAACGAGTTTGACTTCATACACTAGTAGATCTGGCAATCTCTCTAGTATCCATGTCTTGTCGGCAAGGATAGGGACTTTAATTTTGATTCCCTGCAGGCTGAGTCATGCGTGGTATGAATAATTTATCAATCTCATCTCTCTCTTTAGAATTTTAAAATAATTCAATATGATTTAGGATTTTACGAGTTTCTACATGTCGAATATATCAGTTTATTTGAGCTGTTTTGATCATTCTGATTTGAATTCTTACGTATAGGGAGTCAAGTATTTTTCAGATGTTGAATTCTGGATACAAAATTTGCTAGATTAACGGTTTCAATTTTCAAAAACCAACGCGAAGTTAGGATATTATTTTAGCTGTTTGGAAATTTAATTTCTGAATTTTACTAATTGTCGGCTGCTTCTGTGCAATAAAATGGAGGATTATTCTTCTAGATTTCAAGTGATGATGGATAAAACGAAAATGTTATTGGGGTACATTGAAACAATGACATCTTATAAAATATTTTAGTTGTTGCTATGCAGATAAATGTTTAACCAAATATACTCTTATCAATGAAGACCTTTCAAAAGGAGAATTGTTGCGTTCTACAAATTAATGTATTAAATGATGATGATTCTCGCCTTCATAGAACAACTTACAAACACCGAGTTTCATATCTAATCTCTGTGTGTTTGCGACAGCCGAGTGTTGAATTTTATAGACATATGGGTATGAAATCCGTTATAAGTAAGTTATTGATGTATAACAGATGGCGGAAGCAATTAAAGAGGAGTTGAAGCGACGCGCGCGTAAAGACAAATCGGGTAAACTGCATATGTGAGCTCATAATTGGGCCCATGACCCGTCAATTCGAAGAGAATGGCTCATGGCTTTGCCATGATGTATGTGCTTTTCGGGCATCCGAGATCGTTTATTAGCCCGAAATTCAGTTTTAAAGTTTTTGGAAACTTTGTTATTTTCCTATTTTAATTCCTTTGTAATACCCAGGATTTCTAGGAGTATTCAAAATAAACCTTGAGATTTTCTCTTCCTGATGCATTCTAGAGTTACATGTTTTAAGATTTTAGCCGATCAATTGTCACGTTGCGTCAGTTATGCTCCTAAAAATTGAACATTATTTGAGTTCTATTATTGTATAAACCACACATTATGAGGCAATTTGGGTGCCAAATAATAGCTCTTCGGCTTAGAGGACAGCGCCTACGAAGCTCTTCGCCTGATGCTTTAATACATGTTATGCATGGTGTGTCTTGTTAAATTGCATCATGGTTCTCCAACATTAGGCTAGGCCATATATGGAAGTATTTCGTTCCATCATCCCACTTTGGTATCCTGAAAGTGAAATTTCTTTAGATAATACTTGTGTGAGTAACATATTTAAATTATTCTCATAAAGCCCATTGGTTGGAAATTCTAGCTGACTGAAACATTTGTACCCCAAAAAACAAGCTCCAAAAATCTCACGAAGAAAAACAGAGAATGATAAAAGACTTAAAATGAGTAATGATGTTGAATATAAGTGAACTTGGATTCCATTTAATTCTTTAAAATGTTATATTTATATGAGAATCACTATTATGTCTCATCTATTTCTATTATATGTATAGAACCCTTTGAAGCAATTGTAGTATTATACACAATTAGAAGCTCTTATTAATTTCATCTTTTTATTATAGAATGATAATTATATAGATTTTCATGTTTTGGCTCATTTTTTCAGAAAGAGTCATGCTTCTTGTTTGCGTGTTTTCTTTATATTACTGTATTACTCTTGACTATGTACTCAAAACGCAGACTTTACTCTTTTAGCGTTTTAAGCCATCATATTTTCAAATATTTAATAGCAGTACTGTGTGTATAGAATATATATTATAAAAAATTAGAAGCTCTTTTTAGTTTTTGGCATATGCAACTTTTTTATTTTTCTTTTGCCTCTTGCCATATGTATGAATTATGATTTGTTATAAAATCTATATTAGTCCAAGTTTTGACCAACTCTTCCTAGAAATATTCAAACTTGTTGTATATACTATCTGCACACATAATAAATTAAATTTTATAATATTCTTTTTAAAGCTACAAAATTAAACTTTTGTGATTTTATGTATAGTTAACGAAGTTCTATAAAATAAAAAAAACGAAGTAAAAAATCGCATTAGTCCCTTCAAGAAAAGATTTTACCTATGAGTATATTGTATAGTTATGGGATTCACTTAAATAGCTCGTTTCAATTTAACTATTTAGCTTAGCTACTTTCCGGTCATTTTCAAGTTTTAAAAAAATATATACAAAAGTTGATACATTAGGATGATTATGGTAAACAATATACAAAAGTTGTACACTTATCGCGCATGGATGAATTATTGAATGGTAATGTAATACGATGATGTGGTATAACTTGTTTACGTGTTACGAGATGAATAGATGACATGATTCATAGTTCCCACTTTTGGGGTATAATATTGATAAATATCCACTTATATTATAACATATAAACAAATTATACCATGTAATTATACTCTAATACCACAATATAATTATTCACGCATGAGGTTTCCTAAGGCAATTGCAAGATATGCTCTCTCCTTTGCTATGTTTCCTAGAACCTAACTTAACATTACTTATTGCGTATGGTTATAATGAATTGCTTTGTGAATACTTGAAAAGGTTGAAGGTAACCAAGATAAAGCAAAATGAATTGCTTCGTGAGCGTGGCCAATTTGGGAGTGAAATATCTAATGAAGATGAATGATTAGGAAAAATCCATGGGTTCTGGATATGGTAGGAGGAGTGGGAGGGAATAGGAGTGAACTGATGTGATTAATTGCAAATAGACAATATCGCTTAAATTAGTATAGTAGTAAATAGAATATCGTTCCAATATGGATCAAATTAATCTATTAAATACTAAAGTGATTAATTTCTAAATATATTTAAATTAAACAATAAGAGAATTATTATGATTTAAAATCTAAATAAGAATAGGTAAACAATGTAAAAGATGAAACCAAGAATGATAAATCACTAGGATACCAGTTTCACCTAGTTAATCCCACTCAAATTCTTCTAGCTTGTTAAGTTGAGGACTTGAATCATTAAACAAGAAATTTAATATATTCAAGCATTCATCATCTATATATATAAAGCAAAAGGCAGAGAATTGTGAAACATTCAAAATACCAGAAAATGACATTGGTTAATTCAAACATTAATAATTGAAATTATTAATTCAATAAGGATAATATGGTAAATTCACATTTTTCAAATTAAAAAAATTAAAATTAAAAACAAAATCAGATAATAGATCATACTTTTATGGAACATAACTACCCATGTTATCTTTTCTTAATTCTATAAAAATTAAAAAATTAAAAAAAATCAATTGGCACATGCGTGAGGGCTAGTCAAACATTAAAAAAAAACAATAATAATTGACGTGGCCGGTCTCCAACAATAAAAAATGTGCTGATGGGATGAAAACGAAGTGTATGGTAATAATGTCATTCAGAAGGTGGCTAAAATAGTAATTTCAATTAGTATTACTTCCAAACTGTCAACCCCACTCCGCGCACTCCACACATCCTCGTTCCAAAGATATCGGCCATTAAGTTGCGAAACTGGTGGTGCTGGCGCGGTACAATCTGGATCATTCACGTGGCAGGAGATAATTGAGAGTGACTATAAAAGATCAGCCTATCAGGGCCAACTTCATCTCGAAAAAATCAACATCGACGTGCCGCAGAAACACCTAAAACTGATTGCCACATTACCAAATTGCCCCTCCAATATTCTAGCCTTTCTAGATCGACTTTTTCCCTATTACAAAACTAACCTCAATCTTTCTTATTTTCGGTCAATAATCTAACCTCACTCTTGTCCTCTTTTTTCCTTTCCTTTGGTGGATACTTGGAAGGTGAGGTTAGCAAGATAAATTGGTTCGAAGAAGAAAAGAAGAAAAGATACTATCACAATTGAATGAACAAAAAAAATTCTCAAATAACAAGTTGGACCAAATGAAAGAAGATACAATTACTAGACTTGGCCAGTTTGGCATTGTTGTGCTATGAAAATAATCACTGTCAGATTTGCTGTGAGAAAAAAACAGCTGTGAGATAAAGTAGTTTGGCGTTTGGTAAACTTTTTGTTAAAAGTGTTGTTAGTATTAATTCCCGCATAATCAGAAAATGATTGCCGTATAATCATTAAACCCAGCAAATCTTTGGAACTAATTCCTGCATAATCAGAAAATGAAAGCAACTTATTAACTATTTTCCCTTATAATTTTCTCTCACAACAATTTTTAACAATAAGTGATTTTCTCATAGTTTATCAAACAGCTGGGCTTCCCAAATTTTTTAAAAAATCACTTATCACTTAAAATAAGAAATGCCAAACGGGCACATAAATATTTGTTTGATATAGACTTAATCTCAAGAACAGAGCTAGATAATGGGTTGTATGGACTACAGTCTATACCATCCCATTTTTTTAGATTAAATATAATCAAATATAAGCAATCAATGAGATTGGTTGAAATAATTAATGGGTTAACTAACAAAAATAAAGAACAAATACAAGTGTTTTATATCCACATAATATAATGATCCATTTGTTGAAATTATTGAAAAGAAAGTATTTCAATTTTGAAAACAATGCTAGATTAATGTGGGTTTTTTTTTGGTGAGTATAAACAATTGAGGTAAGGAGTTTATACAAATATTCTTTTTATTTTTATTTTTATCAATACACAAATATTAATTAGGTGCCATAACCTCTACCCACTTAGGTGGAGGTGGAAGATATCAATAAACTAAGCTATACCCTACTAACAAATTAATTTGGTTTAAAATAAACACTTAGATGCAATGTGTTTGAAATAGTTAAGTTCAATGTAATATTTGTCTTTGAAATAATTAGATTTAATGAATCATTTGAATTCAATATATTTCTCTTTTTTTTCTTTAATGCAAATATCAATACTTTTGTACTGCAATGGTCCAATCAAGTAATTTAATTATATAATTTTAATCATGCTCAATTTATGCATTTGTATATTTATTTTACAAGGAAATATTCTAAATGCTCTAATATATGGGAATAAGAGGACTCAAACTCAATTCCAAAGAGACGGTTACACTACCCTAACCAACTAACAAAACACACATATGTTGCATTTGCTTTCTCTTAGGTAAACTTTTGAGAAAATAAGGTTGTGATTCCAATTCCTTAGGCTTGAATTAGATGAGCTTGGTTGACACTTTTCACTCACAATTGCACTCAGGCTATATTGGTTGGACTCAACTTAAGCTCATATAAGTACGTTGTATACATGAACACTAGAAATTGAAAGATGGTAATTATAATTTTTTTTTCTTTAGAAAACTATTATTTACAAGGCAAAAAGTGATTATATATTTATTTAAGTACAATTTTCTTCTCGTGTTTTTATAAAAGATGAGTGTATGATAACTTTTTTGAAGTGCCAATAATAGTTCGTATTGAAAGAAATCCTAAGTCTAATCCCTCCCCCAATGAAACAATAAAATTCGTTAGTCTTTGCATTCAGTAATCAAATCTGGACCCCATAACATACAGGATTCCGATCCATAAAGGATTCAATTATACAAAAAGATACAGTCACACTAGCCTTTCACTGTTGTTCTCAAATGCAAGAGTTTGAATACTATTTTCAAAATACGAGGGCCTTTAAGACAATTGCAAATATGAGAAAAAAGACTGCAAAGGGCAATTTTGGAATGTCGAAACCCAAGTTGGGCATAGTTGCCGCGTAAACGTTCGAAATTACCACTGACCACGGTCGACCACAATATAATATATATATATGCCGCCAAACCCCCTCCAACTGCCCACAGTTTTGCTTTCTCTCACTTTCTCATTCATTATCCTCCGGAACAAACAGTCTCCCAAGTTCTAGGCTGTCCAGAGATCCCGGTAGCTTATACCATCTTCAGCCGTCATGAAGAAGCCTGGTGTTTTAGCAGCCTCAGTCGCCGCCGCTTCTGCTACTGCTCTCTCTGCTTCTTCTTCTTCTTCTTCTTCTTCCTCTTCTTCTTCAAGCTTTGTGTCTAATTCAACCATGCGATTTTCTAATCAGGTAATTAAAAAAACCTCAATTCGAATTCTGGGTTTTCTTGAGACGTTTGATTTTGTTCACACAGTGTTTAGCCTATATTGGCTGCTCCTATTTTTCTTGGGTTCTGCTCTGTTTGGTTGCTGAGAAAAAAAATAAGAAAAGAAAATCATTGAAATCTGGAATTTTGAGCAAAAAGAGAAACTCTCTAGCACCCAACTTCTACTTTTTTTTTCTTTTTTTCCCCATGAAGTAAGAAACTGATCTGTTATGTTTGATTTTGTAGGAGGCTGTCTCTTCTAAGAGAAATCAAGAAAATCCATCACCTTCCACAGAAAAATTTGCGCCGAGGTTCGATGGCTTGAGATTTATTGAAACCTTAGTCACTGCTCATAGATAATAAGATCTGGTCTCAACTCATCAAGCCTCACAGCTCCATCTTCTTCAAATCTAAATATATTTTTGCCTTTGATGATTTGATTTTGATCCATCTTCAGGAAACAACTTGAAGATAGGACTTTTAATTGTTTGCTTGATGAAATTTGTACTAGAAAGAGAGGAATTGTAAGTTTAAGTTAAGGGCTAGCTTTCATGTGCAATTAATTTCTCTTCCCCTGTTTTCTGGTCTCCTTTCTTTCTTTTACTAAATGTTGCCAGTGGACTCATGACTGGATTGAATGCCAAAGTCATCTGGTATGGTGATTTGTTTCTTTCATAAAATCACATGTGTGAGAGGAAGTATGTAAATGAATTTATGGTTTTTTTTTTCCTTTTTCTAATTGTAACCGAGGAGAAAATTTTGTAAATCATGACAATCAAGTTTCGGTACGAGTGATAAGAATTTCATATGGCGGTGTGTGATTAGACGTGAAGAGCAAAATAATGCTATCCGACAGCCCTATTGCTCGAACCAAGTTCCATCCCGAAAGTAATGGGCTTCTTTGCTTAAGATATTATTGCCTATACTATAATAATATTCTCTTGACCACATAGATGTTACGTTATGATATATCCATATATGTTTATATTGTCAGTTAGGACCACATATTCAAAATGGTTTAACTTTATCAAAGAAAATGATTCGATTAAATAAGGATTCACACACAGACGTGTCATCGTTTACATACCTCGGGTGTGAAATTTGGCCATTAATTCACATAAAAATCAACTTAATATACACAGTCTAGATTTAGTCTAAGAATCAACTTATCTTGTCAGCCTCTTTGATAGGATAATATATTTTTTTAATTTCATAGAATTGATTATTTAGAAGTGAATTCATTAACAATTACAGAAAGAAAGAATATTCTTAGTTTCACATTTGAAACTTTTGTGCTATGACATGCCTAGCACCAAAGATATGTCACTTCTCAAAAGCAAAGCTATAAAAACCCCTTTAAGATATTGGAGCTCAAGTTTGACTAGTGCATCACCAAAATTAAGCTTTATAGGTGAGGAATTTGGCCTTTCACGTGCCTCATGGAAATATTCCACACCCAACCACATCCCTCAACAACAACGATGCGTGGTCACCAAAGAAGATGTCAGAAAGTTATAGCACTCGTTTTCTTCCATGATTGTGATATTTATTGGTTTTCTTTTGTGCTTCTTTGAGGAAGATAGTTTTCTCAAATGCCTAGCGTATGCCTAGCGTACTTTTATTGACTGCACCAAACTTTACTCTCTTTTTTAATCACCATTAAATTAACATTGTTAGAACATGATGATCTTGTCAACTTATCATTTATGTATCCTTTTAAAATGGAGGTGGAACCCCTTTGAATAGCAGTGCTCATTTTAGAATATTCTTCTTGGGTCGAGTTTGGGCAAGTTTTGGGTTGTACCCTTCAAGTTGCATCTTTGCTCTCCACCCACAACATTATAGGCAAAGCCTAACATTCTCAATTTGAATTAAAGACCGCTTCAAGTAAAGTGGAGACTGCATGTCGCATTCCAAATAGTCATTCTCTATATGTTTGAGTACCGAGCTTCGATTTGGGCCCATGCTGTTTCAAAGAGAACGATAATCAAATAAGACTCATCACCTGTTGTGACATATGGGTTTTTTTAGGCCATATAATGAAGTTTACTAGGTCAAAATAGTTGAGGTAGTATTTATTCCAACTTTAGTTTAGTGATTAGGGTGGTTATTCTTATTTTCATTATCAATGGACTTTGAGATTTTCTCAATTCTCTGGTGGATTTTAATTATATATTTCTTACTCGGGTACCGTTGGATTACCTTTATATTGTCACGTTGTGTCGGGTGACATTATAAACTGTTAACTTAGGCAGTTGGAGTACCAGGCCATCTGATTGGAGGTTTGCAGCTACCACCATTTCAGAGTACATAGGCTTAGGTGCTAGAGTATGGATTATAAGTACGTTGGTAAAACTAAAAGAAAATCTGAGATCTTAATTGGGTGTTTCATATACTATGAAGGCTATGCATCCCAGGAGAACAACAGATTGTACATCGGATGGAAACGAAGTCGTTTCATTTTGGCAGTGTGTGTGGTCCAGTAATGAACACACACTAACAAGCATATAATAAAGTTATACTATTTGGGCAGTTTTATATTTAGAGTACAACTTCAAGCATACAAATTGGTGGGAGAAAGCAGGGAAAGTTAATTGAATTAATGGTTATAAGTTGGGTGGTGTTTTCCACACTTCACACCAGCTCAGAACATATTGAATGATAATACTAGGACTGCAGTGAGTGCTAGTATGATGGAGTGAGTAGCTGCTATCTGACCTCTACTATTCTGAGGTTTTGGTGCCTCAGCGGGGCATGCGAGACCTTCTTTCCCTTCGCGGCATTGAGACGCAAACAGGCCAGGAGGGTACTTCCCATAAATGTTTATGTAGCTGAACATGGTTGTAGCACAATCATTTTTCAAGTCATTAATAGCATCTGCAAAAGGGCAGGCAAAGTCCTTCAAGGCGTCGCAGCAGCTCTTGGCTGGGTAGTTGGGTCCTTTGCACTTGCTTGTGATGATCGTGTAGTTCTGATTCTCAAAGTTCACAGGACAATCTGCAGATAACCCAAAAAGACAAGAGAAACAAGCAGGTGAGAGAATCTCAGAGCTAAGAGAATGCCGGTAAAACATAGCATGCTAGCTAGAGACACCAAATCAAAATCTAAAAAATATCAGGTTTTGGTTTCAACAAAGAACTATAGTCCTCTAGCAGTAATAATCCCTTTTTATCGTTCGACATTCCGAGGATTGTGGACATAGTAAGAAATTTGGTATCCTCTAGCAGTACAATACATTATTTATGTAATAAAATGCAACTTCACAGGTTTGTATTGCCTAGTGGTGGCAATTATGAGAGGCAATACCCTCTCCATATCATCTGAGACATACTGGAACTTCTTCCCTAAACAATTGTCACAAAACCGATTCATAAGTTCGATATTCAAACTCGTTATTAATTTCAGTGAGATTTCCAAAATGATTGAAATGATACAGAAAAGAAAGCAATTCCTGTCCAACTAGGGCAGATAAAAGCTAGGATTCTGTCAGGTTGAGTCAATATACAACAATGAAGCAAGTCTCTTTACTGCAATTGTATTCAACTCTTTTATGTTTTATTTGTCTAGATGAATTATGTGTCATTATTTTGACTGCAAATCATTAAAAAGTACAAACAAGGCCACAAAACAGGAAGATTTACTCAGAGTTTGCTGCATATAGAAGACAACGTTTTGCTTTCTTTCTTGTCAGCCTAAAAATCTGTCAACTTTTCTTGGTGTGGGAGACCAACAATACCATTTTATACATACAAAACTGAATGTTTGGTGGTGTACAGATTCTCAAAGAGTAATGCACAAACACATTTTCAGCCATGGAATTTATGGGCATTGACAATTAATTATTTCAAAAATGAAAAATATGGAAACGGAAAATGCATAATTTAAAGGAGAAAGCAATGTGAAGAATTACTTTGTTTGGCCTGAAGAAGGGAACGTCCAATGGATCCACCAGACTGGAAAATATCATCTGCAACATTCATACGTAGATACAATCAACGACCCAAGAAATTAAATTTCCAACAAAAAAGAAAAGAAAAAGAACATAAACAAATTAAATGGGAATTTAATGAATTACTGGAAAGGAAGGTGGCGGAGGAGGCGAAGCCCAAGAAGAGGAAGAAGAAGAAGAAGAGATGAAGACCGTGATTCGAAGCAGACGACATTGTATTGCTAAGGTTGTTTGGGGTTTAATTTGTGCAGAGACCGAACCACTTGTGTGATGTCGTCGATCTCTGTCTTCCAAGAGTTTGAGCTCAGCCCCTGTTTTTTGATGGCTTTGGTTACCTCTCTCTGTTTGTTGGGAGACAGAGAGGAGAGAGAGAGAATTGGAGGGAGGAGAGCGAAATGCTGCATGAAATTTGGAGAAACGAAACGTTTTAGGTCCCTCCAAATTGCAAATTTTGCAATTGCTAAAAATGGCAACTGTCGGTTTGATCTATGTTGTCCCAAAAAAGGTTATTTAACTTCTGTTTTGGTTTGGTTCGTTGTCAACCTGTCTTTGTGTTCGAGCATAAATGGCAGTTTAATACTTTGGGGTATGGAAGGAAAATGGCAGTTTAAGTTCAGTCAGGTGTTCGATTGATACAATAATGACACGTTTATCTTTAAACATCAGTTGTTATTTTGAAAACACGTTACATGGGTAATGACACGTTATTTTTGTTTTTCTATCTTTAGTCCCAATTATTTATATATTTGAACACAATAAGGTAACAAATTGGATTCAATAGAATAATCTCGCATAGCACATACTAGGACTGTGCTCGGTTTGGGTTGGTTCGGTTTTGGGCTCAACCCGAAACTGAACCGTAGGCTTCAGTTTGACTATTTTGAAAACTGAAACCAAACCATAATTGATGAAAACCGACTACTTCAGTTAACCAGACTTGGTGGTTTGGTTTGGTTTCGGTTTTTTGGCTTTCTTAGAGAGAGAGAGAGAGAGAGGATGAAATAAAAGCAATGGAGAGGAGAAGAAGAAAAAAAAAGGGAGAGATGGAGAAGAAGAAGAAGAAGAGGAGAAAAAGAAAGGAGAGAGAAGAAAAGAATGGGGAGACGGGGAGAGGGCGTGAAGAAGACATATATAAGAAGAATGAGAAAATAAAAATAGAGAGAGAGGGACTGATAAAGACAAGACAAACAGAGAGATTGAGAGAGAATAAAAAGAAAAGATTGAAACTATGTATTATATATATATATATATTTCTTATAATAATATTATATATAATATTTTTTAATATCTTTGGTTTGGTTTGGTTAAATCGTGATTTTGAATATTGCAAACCATACACCAAACCATATATTTCGGTTTGGTTTGGGTTCAAACCGATGACCAAAAAAAATTTGAAAAAAAACCAAACCAACCCAACCCATCGGTTTGGTTTAGGCGGGTTAGCCGGGTTTCGGGTCCAAATGCCCAGCCCTAGCACATACACGATAAAATGCTGAAGTGTGAGATAAGTACATTCTAAGGTCAAACATCATTGTAGAAGAAAAAAAATATTTTATCAGCTAAAAGCATATCCCTCATTCCCAACTCACCGATCTTCCCAAATGACCCTAACCTTAGTGCCTCAATTATACCAAAAATTACATTTTCATTTTTTATCTCCAAAAAATAGCTACAACCGTCCTTCAATTTGATATTGTGTTGAATCATGGATCCTTTCTGTTAAAATCAGAGGTAAATAAGACTTTTATGCAGCCGCCACTCTCACCAACTCAGAGCTCCTCCCCTTCCACCCAAGTCGCGGCAACCTCCCACATTTCTCTATCTATCCTGGCCAGCCCAACACTATCTTCCCCTCGTCACCCCATGTTATACAACCTGAAAATTGTCCCATGGGGGATGCCATTTTGGGTTTGTAATTCAAGATCAGTCTTTGGGTTATCATGAACTTTCTGAATTACCCAGATCTTAGCACGCTTTGATATATGAAAGAATAGTGAGAGGGATTATGTTTCGGACACAAATTGGTTGAAAGAATCTTAGCTATCATGCAATTAGAGAGACACACAAGAGGATATAAAACCGGTAACAAGGCAGATTCTCTCGCATTGGTGGGGCCCTCTAAGCTTAGCTGGCATGCCCTTTTAACTAAATAAATATTGTAAGAATTCTACCTGTCAAGATGTAGGGTAAGCAATGTATTGTCATTCTAGCTTCTAAGAGCATCTCCAACCGATATGTCAAACGTACCACATATACATTTAACAGCTATAAATAACATCTCATATCACTCCAACTGATGTTTCAAAGCTGATGTGGAATGAAGGCTGGAGGTTTAGATGTTATTTTTGACATCCCAAAAGCAAAATGTCAAATGAATATTTTATTATTTTTTTCTTTTCTTTTCTTTTTAACTAAAAATAAATCAACACTAAAATGTAATAAAATAATAATTTAATTTGACATATCGAGTGGAGTGTAAAGTTGTATAAGATGTCAAATTGCCACATCAGCCATCAAATTTAAATTTGATGTTTGGTATTTGATATCTCCCTTGGAGATGCTCTAAGAGCACCTCACCGCAAGAGGCTAGCCCAGGCAGGAGGGGGGGCCTTAGGCCTAGGGAGCAGCTCCAGTGCAGCCCGTGTTGTTGCCTTCGCGCAAGGACATCAAATTTTTTTTTATTCGCGCAAGAAAATCAATTTGTTATTTATTGTTAATGTGTGGAATTAGAGGTGTCAAACGGGACGAGCTAGCCAAAAACGGCACGAGCTCAGCCTGTTTAAATGAGGCATGACACAACACGAGCATGAATAGTAATGGGCCGTGCTCGGCACGGTACGAAATCTTGGGCTGGGCCGAGATAAAAAATGAGGTCCAATGGATCAGGCCAGGCTTGGCCCGAGCCCGCTTCAAGCACGGCACGAGCCCAAGCACGACCCACTTAACTTTTTTTTGCTTTCTCAAATGTCAAAATGCAAAAATTTGACATCTAATATCATTGTTTATATGGTTTTTTTATTTTTTATAATCATAAACATATATTTGATGTCTTTCATTTTAAGGAAATTTCTTGGATCCTTAATTAATTAAACATATCAACTATAAATTAATTTAACAACATTGGACTTGATATGTACACGCTTCTATTATAATCAAAGCAAGACATTTCTTCACATATAAAATAATAAGTTGTTTAAAGATGAAAAGTTGAAGTGGACTTTGTATAGTCGTACACTTTTTGCCCTCCGGCCTTTATATTGTTTGGATGTTTGATTGATTAATGTTTTCAAATAATTCATCATTTCTTGCCCCTAATTATATTTTTAATGTTTATAATTTGAATTATCAAGTGGAAAAAAAAATCAAGTGAAAAAACTTCAAATTAAATGGGTTGGTTCTTGGGCCCAAGTATGGCACGAGCACGAGCACGGCCTGGCCGGTTTCAATGTGGACATGGGCTTTGGGCCGGGTTGTGATAAATGATTTTACTAAATGGGCTGGCACGGCGCAGCATGATAAATTAAATAGGCCGGCCCGGCACAGCACGAAAACGTTAAAAGCACGAGTTTAAATGGGACGGGCAGGCCCAACACGGCCCGTTTGACACCTCTACGTGGAATGCACACGACAAAGTTTAAAACAAAAAAAATTTGATTTTCTGATCCACAACTGCCATAAACCAATGGCTACAAGCCACGTCCTGGAGCCTCCAATCCAAAAATCTTATCCAATCCAACGGCTGTCCATTTTTTGGCTTAAAAAAATTGAAAAATTTTTGTAAAGAATATCAAAAAATTATGGAGGTTTTTTTCCCCCTATAAATACCTACCAATATTATTCATTTTCCACACCAAATCTTCATATAAATTCATCTCCTTCCAATATTTTTCACTTTTAACACCAAATTTTCTACTACAAAATTCCATTTGTGTAAAAATACAAATGGTCTCTTCCATCGAAGCTGGAGGGTCATGGAAAAATGTTTAAAGCGGTCAAAATCTTGGCGACGATGTATAAAAATAAAATAAATAAATAAATAACCGTTTTATTCAATTTAATGTCTTTTTTTATTTATAATTTTTATAATTTATATTTCTTGCATTTCCAATTTCAATTTTTTAATAGATTATTCAAGGCAAAACAAAAAAGATGAAAACCATTACACTTGACTCCTCAAGTGAACAATGCCAGCAGTCGGTTCCAGTGATGTGTTTCATGTAAAAAATAATGACATTTTCACGTCCTCCGGAGGAAAATACTCCCCCCCCTCGTGATCCGGTGGAACCACCTCCTCTAATGATTGAGTCATCCTTGTACTCGATTGTGTCGGACTATGAAGACCAAGAGTTTTTCAATTGTATGATGAGTGAGTAGATATTTCAATTGTTTGATGAGTGAGATGTGAATTTTATAATAAATATGGACACACGGAAACTGAAAATCTTACCCGAAAATTGTATCTGAAATTTGAGATGTGAATTTTATAATAAATATGGACACATGACAATCGAAAATCTTATCCTAAAATTTTATCTGAAAATCTTATCATAAAATTTTATCTGAAATTTGAGATGAGAATTTTATAATAAATAGTGACACGTGACAACTAAAAATCTTATCAAAATTAATAAGTATAAAAAAAATAGAAAATAAATTAAAGTGAATAGTACTTGCCCTTGCCCTTTGGGTAGAAACAAAAAAGGCAAGGGCTGCCACTATTCACATAAATAGTGACAAATCTTGCCTTGCCCTTGCCCTTTGGGGTGGAGGTGCTCTAAGCTGCACTTCAATCGGCCACTCGAGTCATTTTAACTAGGGGTGACATTTTAGACCGAAAAATCGCAAAAACCAACTAACAATTTACCGCAATTGCGGGAAACCGAACCGCATTTGCGGTATGAAGAATCGAACCACATTTGCGGTTGCGGTTGCGGTAGCGGTATTTGATTTTCAAAACTTGTGATTATCGCAAATCGCGACTATATTTATAAATAAATAAAAAATTGCATTTTGTAGATAACATTGGTGCTCAAACATTACAACGGGATCCTTGAAATCCACTCACCACCACCAATACTTGAGTTTGTAACTTTAATTAACTTTGCATTGGATTTTTCCTTTGAGTTGTAACTTTAATTAATTTTGCATTGCATTTTCTTTTTGGTTTGTAACTTTAAAGGATTTGGAATTAGAATGCTTGAGAAGTTGAGGTTGTAAATGCTTGAGAAGTTGAGGTTGTAAATGCTTGAGAAGTTTAACTTTAATTAGAATGCTTGGTATTATAACTTTAATTTTCTTTAGGTTGTGAATGCTTGAGAAGTTGAGGAGGTTGTGAATTTATATATGCTTGAGAAATTGAGGTTGTGAATTTATATTTTTGGATTAAAGTATGTTTGAAATCAAAAGGCTTCAAAAGAAGCATCAAAATTAGGCCTAAAATGTGAAAGATTGGATTTTTATGACACAAAAAGAACTTGCGGTTTTAAACCGCTATTCACGATAACTAACTGCTTTTTGCGGTTTCAAAAATTACCATACCGCAAATAGTCGGTCGGTTTGCGGTTTGGGCAAAAATTCGCGGTTACCGAACCGCAACCACCCCTAATTTTAACCCCCAAGGATACCCAAAAAGAAATGGATACCGAAAGGGCAAGAAAAAAAATGTCGATAGTAATGACTCATTAAAATGTGACACAATCCACAAATTCCATTTCATCAGTTCACCATTAATCCATAATTGGAGTATCGACTATTATGATGCTAATTATAATCAAGTGAACCTGTATTGATTAATGGCATCCATGTGAACCAATCATTCATGGGAAGCAAATTCAACAGAATATAAACTAACAGAAGAGAAATATAGTGCATTCAGAAATGAGGTATTAAAGAATTCAGTGGAATTACCTCAACATTTAGAAATCTCTCCTGGTATCAGGTCAAACATTAAGTTTTCTTGGTTGGCTGCTAACAGATGCCGCTCATGTGTCTTACTTTACGAGTGATGGACCTGCCCATCCGAACTCTTCTAGTTGTCAGTGCTTCTAATAATATAACTAAAGTATCCTCTAGAGCCTCAGCCTGTTTATCGAATCCAAAGGAGCTGAACTCCGGAAGAAGTTGCAGCTCAGAGAGGAGGCCAATAGCCGCTCCTGCTGTACAGGTACGATCCCATGATGGTTGAGGCCTGCCCTTAACAAAACACAATAAGTTAAAAACCAGATTAACAAAAGCCTCTGTATTAAACAAAACAAAAAAATTATAGTTCTTACCTAAGTTTATGCATCGCAGATACACCAGTGGCCAGGGAAATACAAGGAAAGTCCGCCTCTCCCCAAACTGACATTGCTTGATCCTGCACATAGAATCATGTGAAAAACTCCCAAAGAGAACTATAGGTTCTTTCATTAAAATTTAATTTAATTGATTTGTTGTCAACTAGGTTATCCCTAATTCATCTGATAGTTTCATACAAGTAATGCAAATTATCAGCATATATCATAGGCATCAAAGGTCTGAGCCGTTGACTCTATTGTCATGAATAGAAGAGAGACTATTAGGGAATAATTTATTGGTAGAGGTCCATGGTTGATGGTCAAATATATCACACGAATTTATGTAAGAAATCTGCATTATGCATTTTGTAGGCAATAATCAAAACATGTAAGTAAGAAAAAACACAGAAACAAAGATAAGCCTGACAGTATTACCTTCAGACGACTGAATATCGAAACTGAATTGTTCCATGTTCCATCAATCAAAATGAAATTCAGGGTTCCATCTTCATTTGTCTGCGCATAGCCAAATTGAAATTTACCGCCATGTGCACTTGAAGAAGATATAAGAGATTTGTCATTAAGAAACCTGAAGCCTAAATATTACCTTTTCTAGTGTGATGATCTATCGGCAAGGTTACTAAGAGACAACCAATATTTCTAATTAAACCACGGGTGAGTTTGGTAATGCTTTTGGGAATGCAAAAGCAATTTCAGATAACCACAAAAACAGCTTTTATAGTGTTTGACTGAAGTAGATAAAATTTCTTGACCACGAAAAAGAAGTAGATAAAAGTTTTTTTGGGGTTAGAGAACACTTCATAGGTGCTTTTGCAGGCAATGCTGTTGGATGAATAATGTAGGAAGCATATCATTGAATTTTTTTACTAACAAAAACAACACTAAGAAGAGCACTACCAGACATGGCGTAAAACAATAATACCTTAGTATCTGTGCATTCCAGATATGGCGACGGTTCTTGGCCAAAGACATCCTCAACCGATTTTAACGCTGCATTTTTGTTGGGATAAAGGCACCAAACATTGTTTTTTCCTGTATTTAATGTAAAATCCCAAACAGAAGTTAATGAGTCAAAAGGTTTAATATCCGAAAACATAAACTAGGGAATGCCATACGAAACTGCCAAATCTAACTGCTCAAAATAACACTGACAACTTGAGTTCATCAATTTAGCTGGGTAGTAATTCTAATAGTTAAGTTTCAACATGCAAATACAGTACCTACTGCAAAAGCCAGTAGCTACAAACTACAAAAAAATAAATAAATAAATAAAGCACCCATTTTATCGGAGTCAAAACTCACCCTGGAACCAAAGTATGTTTTTTAACAGTAAGGAAAGAGTATCATGTTTCCCAAATAATAGTTTAATAATTCAAAGTAGCACTACAGTAATTACATTAAGCTGGTCAACTTGATATTTATAGGCACCATCAGTTTTGAAATTCTTTGAAAGAGGAAGAAAATTCAAATAGACCTGCTAGCTTCAACGCATTCCACATTATTTCTTCATGTTCGGAAATGCCAAAGAGGCACAAAGTTGCAGCCTCAGTGCCAAATACTTGCCATAGCAACTTTCCAGTGTTGTTCTGTCGCAAGAAATCCTGCAAAAATGATGAATGCTAATTTAGATATTTTTTTGAAAACTGTTTTCAAGTATCAAACTGATTCATAAAATGAGCAGCAACAAACCTTTGGATGCATATATAACCAGAACCTCATTCTATGCCAAAGAGTGGATTGTGTGACGTTTGAACACATACAATCTTCCAAAGGAAGCCAGCACTGCAAAGTGATAATAAGCATTATATTATATATAATGGTGACACGATATGAAGATATGAAATGGTAAAAAGGCATAAACGTCCCTTCTAGGATGCATCAATATTGCCTCACTGAGAGGAAGAAGGTAAAACCTGATAAATGTGAAATTTTTTTACAGAATAAATAAATACCTTTTGACAAAGGTAGCCCCTACTTCCCAGCAAACGACATGCTATTTGTCGAGCTGCAAAGAACTGGAGTTTTTGTTCAGAATCACCTAAAGCCTGATAGGTTTTCCGGTGCTTTTTATCCTCTTGCACTTTAAAATCTCCCTGAAAAGTAAGATGTCCACAACCTACTTCAGAGCCAATTATCAACCACTCCTTGAGCATAATCAGAAAATAATAAAGGAAACCTGCATCCAAACTAAACCTTTAATAGAATAAGTCTAGAAAGGTATAAATTTGTTACATCTGAAGCACCCTGACCACTGAACCAACTAAGTTATCTATATTACAATGGTATTGAGAGATGCTGATAAACATCCATTGATATATACACCACCATTCTCTTGTTTTTTTTTCACAAATCATCTCAAACTCTCAGTCAATAAATACCAAGCTTCATTTCTTTTCAGAGAAAAATAAGAAACGGCTAAAAAAGAAGGAAATCAAAACTTTAACCTCTTAAGACTTCATCAGTTGTAACCCAAGAAAGCAAAAACCTTAGCCTTTATGGCAACATTTTGAATTTCCAAACACCATCAATAGAGTCAAAAGACAAACAAATGAAAGAATATATAAAACATATAAGATGATGTGTGTATTATTCTCTTCTTTTAAAAAAAATGTGTGTATTATCATGCAAGTTATATGTTATGTCAGGCAGATTCTCAATCTAGACCATATATTCAAACAAAAATCATTTGATCAAAGATCTAGAATGACAAATGCGGCTGCAGTGGCAAGAAAACCTAGACCTACATATATAATCTAACATAAACCGCAACAGTTTGTTCCCCTCTAGCACCAAACAAAGCTAAGAGGGCTGATTTCCTCCAATACCCATATCAACTTTTCAGTTGCTTCTTTTCTTCTGGAAAGAACTTCAGTTTCTTCATTTTATAGCAACCAAGACATATGCTAAACACCTATATTCCACAAAACCATGTTTGATATATAGGGAAGGCCATGAGTTTTGCTTTGGTATCATTGTGTGGGATGGGCAAACTGATGGATAGTGCTAGGTTAATCTGAAAAAAATAACGTATAAAAAAAAAAAAAAAAAAAAAAAAAAAAAACAAAAAACAACAACATATCAATAACTAATTTTCATTTCCTCCTTGGCTTTCTTCGAATTTAACATAGCATTAAAACAAAAATTACTCCAAAGATTCCCAGAAGACAAAAGAGAAAACAATTTGTTCAAATGTTATACCTGAAGTTTGCCACCACTACCACCAAAGCTCATCTGGGCATCGATATCTTTTTCCAAAGCCTTCAAATCCTCAACAATTTTCGTAACCATGGCGGGCAGAGGGGACGTGGTGCCCCAACCCTGCCATTCCTGCAATGTGATGGCGCCTTCAACAGCGTCGCTTAAACGAGCTTCTCTTTGAGGGGAGCCAGAAGTTGAACATGAAAATGGGCTGCGGAGGGTTCTGGGTTTTGAGTCCATGAGTGTCTTGGTGGAAAAGGCGAGAGAAGGAGAGCATTTGAATGTGAAGGCCCTAGGCGAGGCCATGGTGGAATTGCTGCTTGTGTGCAATGTTACTATAGCCTAAACTTGCCGTTTTGCACATGGACTAAATTTGCAATTGTCTTCTTTTATTTATTTATTTATTTTTATAATTAATTATTATTTTATAATTATTATTTTTAAAGAATAAGTTATGGTTTTTATTAGGAGTGGACAATCAAACCGAAAATCCGAGAAATTGGGCAAAAATCAGTTTGGTTTGGTCTAGATTTTTGTTTTTGTTTTTGTTTTTGGTTGGAATTTTGGGTTGAAAGTCGAATCAAACTAACCCACTGATTATTTATTACCAAACTGGCCGCCTCACAATACTAAACTTTTGCAAAATTTTGACATTATAGAGTTTCAAACCATCACCTCCTGCTTAAAAGAAAGTCCGTCCACATGGTAGTAGCAATTGTTGTTGTATTTTATTTGTGTAATGATGGTATTTAATGGTTTTTAAGTGGAATTAAAAAATAAAATAGGGTTTGTTCACTCTAAAACTAAACAGATAGAGATAGATGCAACTTACAGGTAACGTAGGCAGTCTAAGGACCGAGTGAGCCCTTGGTGCGAGCACGTTCTTCCTTGGGATGTGATGAGTCAATTTTATATTATATATTTAACCCCATTCTTAGTATATTTTTGTTAATATTTTGGAAGAATTTTGATACTTTAAATTATATTTCCAATATAGGACTTTCGACTCCCTCTGGAGCAAAACATAATCAAATGAACAAATTTTGGAGTAATTCTAATTGGAGGACGTTCGTTAGTCACTTAGCTTGATCGTGTCAGAATTTCAGACTTTTCCACCAAGCGATGATTTCCTGGCGAATAAATAAAGGAACAGTGCGCCGTGCTGGAACAGTGACGTTTTGGGCTTTTATTGCGTTTTTGGAGCCCAAGATTGCTTTCTGGAGAAGTGTTCGGAATATTTTTATCTTTAAAACGAGCTATCTTGGGCCAGATTTGGAGGAGATTTGAGGCCAAAACGTGGCTGGGCAGATTCTCCTAATCCAATTTGGATTTTATATCCTAGTATTATCTTATTTTAACCTAGTTTCCTTGTGGGGATTGGGCAGCTAGGTTTTAGGAGGTATTTAAGCTCCTTTTCACAGCAATTTAAGGGACTCCCTTTTTACTTCTTTTTGGCTTTTGGAGCAATTGCTAGGGTTTTGGATTTTCGCGACTTTCAGGTGTTTTCATTCTTATTCTTCTTAATGATATTTTCTTGGATTTCAATTGTGAACATGCGTAACTAACTCTCTTTTGCTAGGGTGAGGCCACAAGCCTTAGCAAGAATATGTAGTTTCTGTCCAATTTGCTTATGATTATATGCATGCAAGTTTTCGAATTATTCATCACTGGGTTAAAACTATCTAAGTGTCTTGATGCTTGATCACCATTAGGATGTTTAGAAAAGTAATTTGATGCAGTTTTGGTCGGAGGTCGGTCCCTGAAATTGACGAAGGCTTCTTGTGATTAATATGTGCAAGTTCACTTAGGATGAATACCACGTCTTAAGGGTTGCATGGTTTTTCAAAAGGTTTCACAGAACTTAATGAGTCATGTATGTTTAGATTTGATTTGAATACCACAGACGGATTGCATGTGTGATATACGCTCTATGTTGGGGGTCCAAGTAGACATATATAGGAATACCTAACCTTCGAAATATGCATGTATAGGTCATAAGTAATTGGGGGAACTATATAGAATTGTTAAGGTGACGGCGGATCCCTAGTGCTTTCTTAATTTGATTTCTAAAAACACAACTGTTTCTCTTGCTCTTAGCTTTAATTTTGCATATTGCCTTATTTTTCTTAGTTAAATTCCTTTTAATTTATTGTCTTCAAATCAAACATCTCAACTTTCTCTTTTGCAATAATTAATTAGAATTTGGTTGCTACGAGTTATTTAATAATCCATGCGGAGAACTAACTTGCAAGAATGACAAGGTTATTGTAGTATAAATGATTCTCGCAAGGTCGTTCTCCGCAGGGATTATTAAATAACTCGTAGCAACCAAATTCTAATTAATTATTGCAAAAGAGAAAGTTGAGATGTTTGATTTGAAGACCTTAAATTAAAAGGAATTTAACTAATAAAAATAAGGCAATATGCAAAATTAAAGCTAAGAGCAAGAGAAACAGTTGTGTTTTTAGAAATCAAATTAAGAAAGCACTAGGGATCCGCCGTCACCTTAACAATTCTATATAGTTCCCCCAATTACTTATGACCTATACATGCATATTTCGAAGGTTAGGTATTCCTAATATATGCCTACTTGGACCCCCAACATAGAGCGTATATCACACATGCAATCCGTCTGTGGTATTCAAATCAAATCTAAACATACATGACTCATTAAGTTCTGTGAAACCTTTTGAAAAACCATGCAACCCTTAAGACGTGGTATTCATCCTAAGTGAACTTGCACATATTAATCACAAGAAGCCTTCGTCAATTTCAGGGACCGACCTCCGACCAAAACTGCATCAAATTACTTTTCTAAACATCCTAATGGTGATCAAGCATCAAGACACTTAGATAGTTTAACCCAATGATGAATAATTCGAAAACCTGCATGCATATAATCATAAGCAAATTGGACAGAAACTACATATTCTTGCTAAGGCTCGTGGCCTCACCCTAGCAAAAGAGAGTTAGTTACGCATGTTCACAATTGAAATCCAAGAAAATATCATTAAGAAGAATAAGAATGAAAACACCTGAAAGTCGCAAAAATCCAAAACCCTAGCAATTGCTCCAAAAGCCAAAAAGAAGTAAAAAGGGAGTCCCTTAAATTGCTGTGAAAAGGAGCTTAAATACCTCCTAAAACCTAGCTGCCCAATCCCCACAAGGAAACTAGGTTAAAATAAGATAATACTAGGATATAAAATCCAAATTGGATTAGGAGAATCTGCCCAGCCACGTTTTGGCCTCAAATCTCCTCCAAATCTGGCCCAAGATAGCTCGTTTTAAAGATAAAAATATTCCGAACACTTCTCCAGAAAGCAATCTTGGGCTCCAAAACGTCACTGTTCCAGCACGGCGCACTGTTCCTTTATTTATTCACCAGGAAATCATCGCTTGGTGGAAAAGTCTGAAATTCTGACACGATCAAGCTAAGTGACTAACGAACGTCCTCCAATTAGAATTACTCCAAAATTCGTTCATTTGATTATGTTTTGCTCCAGAGGGAGTCGAAAGTCCTATATTGGAAATATAATTTAAAGTATCAAAATTCTTCCAAAATATTAACCAAAATATACTAAGAATGGGGTTAAATATATAATATAAAATTGACTCATCAGGATGCGATGCTTAGACCTGGGCTAAGAAGAGAAACAACGGATGAGGTCTAGAGCACCGGTGTGGTACCAGCCAAAGACCTTCATATGCTAAAGTAAGTTTGAGGAAGAGCTTTGTTGTTTCACAAATGCTAGGGCATGAGAATCAAGCTGAAAGTCTTACCCTTTGTTTAGGGCAATGAGCCCTATTTATATAGAGTACTTAAGAGAGTACTTGGTATGCTCTTAGTACTTAATTTCGATGTGGGACTCGTGGGAGTGCCCTCTGAGGTAGACACGAGTCTCTGCAAAATATCAAAGTAGGGAAGGGGTTTCGAGTTTGTTCCGCATAATCGGCACAGCGCACTGATCGTATGTCCGATGAGCTTCCTGGAGCGCTTGCCAATCGGTTGTTTTTTTTTGGGGGGGGGGGGGGGGGGGGGGGGGCTAGGCTTTGTGTGATGATTAGTCGCATACGGTGATTCATACTTAACTGGTCTGTCAGTGAGCCACAGTGTTTCCTAGCTTCGTACTCTTTCCACGTGTCATGATGTGAGTGGAAGGGTCAACTACGGTACAAATAGGGTTTAGTCGTCGAGCCCAGATCGCTGCCTTTTTGTTGTAGTCCTTTGTGCACCTCAAAAAATGCAACCGAGCCAACCTAAATCATTCGATTGATTAACTGAGAACTCCAGTTAACCAAAGGTGGTGGTTTGGCGTCGGTGCCAGAAAACCCTTCACCAAGGGCTATGGTTCGCTGAGTGGTTTGGAGTGAAACTTGAACCAAATCACATTGAGCCCACCCCTAGTTTTTATTGATAAGTAAACCAAAAAACAAAGCAACTATGTGACGGATACAGGTAAATATTCTCCAGTGATCAAACGCAACAATATGTTGACTTGATATGTACATAATCACCCACTATGTAGTATTCCCACGTGAGGGAGGGTGTTGAAGAATATAAAGTCCCATATCAGAAATTTGACTAAATAAACTACAACTTATAATAAGTGGTTTCACTCCTAATAATACCGAGGCCTTTTGTGATAAATCCCAACACCTATTGGGCTTTATAGGTGTTTAAGTTGGGGACAATATCAGTGTTGACAGGAGAGAGAGAGAGAGAGAGAGAGAGAGAGAGAGAGAGAGAGAGAGAGAGAGAGAGAGAGAGAGGGAAAGAGGGAAGAGAGAGTTGTTTATTCTTTTTTTTTTCTAACTATTTTATTTTTTTTTAATAATAATAATTATAAAAAAATTCAAATAGTAGGTCACATGGTGATTTACGGTGCATTTGGATGAGGGAAATAAACTTAGGATTTTGACAAAACTCAGAATTTCTAAATTGACATGAACCAATTTCAGTGTTTTGATTAAAAAAACATAGAAATTTAGAAATTCCGTGAGGAAAGAAACATGGAATTTGGAGATCATAAATTCCAAATTTAAATTCTATCTAAAAGTAGTCATTTCTAAAATCCCAAGAGAGATTGAGTTTTAAAAAAAGATAACTTTACAAATAAAGGTTAAATTCCGTGTTTTAAATCAGTCACCCAAACAAGAAACTTTACAAATTCTAGAACATTAATTTCCGTCATTTTAAATTCCGTCATTTATGAAATCCTTTTTACTTTTAAATTTCCTTATCCAAACGCACTGTAAAAGTCGTCATTTCTAAAATCCCAAGAGATATTGAGTTTTAAAAAAAGATAACTTTACAAATAAAGGTTTCTGTGTTTTAAATCCATCACCTAAACAAGAAACTTTACAAATTCTAAAACATTAATTTCATTCATTTTAAATTTCGTCAGTTATGAAATCCTTTGTACTTTTAAATTTCCTCATTCAAACATGACTTTTTGAAGGAAAAATGGGTGAAATTCAAAAAAAGTAATGGTAAGGGCTAAATATTTCAATTAATTTGGGGGCTAAATTGGCTTATCTTTTAATTCAATGTCTTAATTTCAACAATGGTCATAGTTCAAGGATAAACAGCTGGAAAGAAAGAAAGAAAGAAAAAACAATGTTTCTCCTCCGAAATCCAAACCTCAGCTGTTAGAGCAAGTCCAGCGCTGCTGGTTTGTCCGGGCAGTAGGGTGCCTAGGCTCATCTTTTGGCTCCAACGCACAAAGGCAATACCAAGCAATTGATGGGGGCCACAAGCCTGGGTAGGCCCAAAGGCAAATCTTGCATGGGTTTGCTGATGTCATTGACGACGTCAGCAACTAAAAAAAATCGAAAAAAAATACCAAAATTTTCATAATTTTTTATATATATAAAGACCTAGTCTTATTTTTCACTTATCATGCCAAAATTAATGATTTGAGTATAAAAAATATAAAATAAATTAAAATAAATAGTAACTGTCTTGCCCTAACCTTTTGGTGTGGAACCAAAAAATGTAAGGCTGCCAATAGTGGCAGCCCCTGCCATGCCTTTGCCTTTTGGGGTGGACTTGCTCTTAGGTAACTGTTGATCGCTATAGCTACACTCCAAGCTCCTCGTCTCCATCATCCAACACTTTTCTTTCATACCTTCACTCAGAGTCCCACATCTGACTTTCATTTCTCTCAATTCTCACTATATATTGAAGCAATAGTCTCCATCCCGAATCTCTCTCCCGTACATTTCTCTCTTCAATGGCGACGATAACTGACTCCATCGCTCTCTATTCTTCTGCTCAAAATTCATATCTCCGGCCGGCGATATCGTCAAGGCCGGCTCTTTCCATCTCTGTTCGCCGGAGACTGGGTGCGTTGCCGGAATTCAGGGGCTTGAGAGTTCACTCGCTTCCCAAACCGTCGCCCGCTTCCTCCAATTTTCCAAAAGCCAGGCCTTTTCCATCAACTGCCGGCATTGTCTCTCAAGCTCAGGATACCACTCTCGATGGTACGTTTTTTCTTTTGTCTTCTAATTTTAAATTTTCGCATAAAAATTGATTCTTTTTCTCGTTATTTGGTTCTTGTAGTTTGGTTTCTCTTACCCCCTTTTTTTAATCTAAGAATTTAGTTTTGTTGATGTTCTATTTTGGTGTTGAGGAAGTAATGTAGCACAATAGAAACAAGAAAGAAAAGTTTTGTTTGATTTTGAACCAAGTTTTGATCATTTACCAGTGGATATCTCGTTAACTCTGTAGCTGGGTGTATTCAATTTTTTGCCTAAATGGCTATGCGAATTTAGATTGTTTTTATAATTTCGTATTAGCTTGATGGGCTGCATCTTTGCTCCATTGATGAGTACTGGTACATGGGATTGTGTTTCATTAACAGTTTAATTAAGTATCCCCGACAACAAGTATGAACTGCTTTTTTTGGTGTTATTGTTGGTTAGAGATGCCGAAACAAGACTAGCCCCCTTATTTCATATCATAAATTCTAATCATCTTCAATATTATCACCCTTATTTATTTCTGACTATAAAGAGGAGCAAGCCTTCATCACGCTAGAAATTTGATGGGCAAGTGTTGTCTAAAACAAAGATTGTGACTGAAGGATTTCGTTAGTTCGAGAGTCATAAGTTTTATTGCTGTTTGTAGAGGAACGCAGAGTATAGATAGGAAATTTGCACATAACCATACGTGTTCTAGTGTACTATGCAACTCCCATGCAATTCTTGAACCCAAACTTCATGTTCATCCTCGGATATTTGTGTCTCTGTCTTAATTCATAATGGAAATAACGTTAAATTTGTTACAATGCTTGGTAATAGGCTGAGGCAGGGACAACCTTGTGATGTTAATGCTTCAAAGACCAGCCCGAGTCGATCATTCAGGGTTCGGCGGGCTGGCTACAGACCAAACCAACTTACCTTGCCTTGGGTTTGTATAAGATGAGGGTTGGGAAGGTTGAATGGTTAGGGTGGGGTGGAGTGGTCACTTTTCTAGAAAATGTAGTGCTCTAGTTGTCCATGACAGAAATATAGGTGTGTTGGTAGAATGCCCTATGGAACTTTGGAGGCCCACTTCGCTTCATGGAACCATTCTTCATCATTAAGATGACCATGATTTGATTAATGATGAAGAGGTGAATGCACGTATTTTTCATCACTACGATAACCATATTAATATGATGATGACGTTTGTGATAAAGTATGGATCTAAATTATATTAATCCTGTTTGCTTTACAAAATAATCCGTAATGGGGATGATCCTTCGTGCAGGTATTGAATTAGGAACATAGAGAGCATTAGAACTCTGGGAACCATAATGATTGAGAGTTTGAAGCATTTGAATGTGCTGCTTACGACTCCCAAGAATTGAAAGTATTGGCAGATAGACTGTCCCTAAAATACGTAGTAGTGAGTGCAAACCCACATTCACATTAAAAATAAAAAAATTGACTGTTTCCATTATACAGTCTATAAATTTCCTTCATGGCCAGTTTCAAGGAAGCATTAGTAGTAACTTTTTTAGGTTAGAATCTATGTAACCCATCAATCTAACCCTCAAATTATGCTACATTCCTAATTGAGAATTTTTATAAAAAAAAATCTTTTATATGCATAAAGAAAATTATAAACATATATTGTATGTGTGTGAAAATGAAAATCTAATTGAATCACCAAAGAAAATTTCTTAAAAAAGATTTTAACATGGGAAAAGAATTAATGTACACATCAATTTGGTAAACATATATTGTGTGGGTGTGTGTAATATTGGATGCAATTGTTTTTGAGTTTCCAGATGAAATCTACTTCTAATTTGTGTTGCCATTGTCGTATCAAATTGGAAGCTTCCTTTGTCAAACAATTTTTCTCTTTTGAAATCAATGACTTCCAATTAATTTCAACACTGCAATCTGACAACAAGTTATCCACCGCAATGCCTAAACTCCAAATTTAGCATGCCATCTGGAAGTTGTGGTGAAAAATCATACTTTTCAGGTTTGAAGAGACATATCAAAGGAAATGAAATAGGCATGAGGTAAGAATACAATGTTTTGTGGTTATCATACCTGTATGAGTTCGAAGCCATTTGGTTACATATCCAATTTTGTGATGACCCTTTCTCCATCAAATTTCATTTCCTCATTTCGTAACATCTCACATCTCTTATGTCACAGTACCACTAGATGTGGGAATTGGATGTGTACTTCAATATCAGCTTCACCTTATCCATGGTAGAAAGTCAGAGAACTCAAATTAACTTTTTCAGGTCTTTATTTTCTCCCACAATGGCTTCAGATAAAATATATCAATGTCTGGTTTGTCACAGATGATTTCTTGATGTTTGTATAAAGTAAAAAAGATGAAGTGAAAGAAAGGCCTCAAGTTTATTCTCATCTGCCTGCAAATGAAATTTTGTTCTTATTCAGTATAGTCAACTATAATGGACATGAAATGTCAAATCTATATATTATGCATACACTGTAATTCAGTAAAAGTTTTGGAATCAATTGTTTTTCTTGGTGCATACACTGTTATTGTCAATTCGATAGATAAGCACACTTCACTGTAATATCTTCACCTGGTGTTGTTTGGCAGTTCCATTTGTGTGCCATCAAACGATTGGACCTACCATTCACCATCTCCCATTATTGCATGTTACAAGTTTTTAAATGGAGCTGTATTTTGCATTTGTTCTGCATGTATACTTGATCATATATAAGAGTGCTGGCTCAGATAGTGCTCCAGTATTTTAGTGCATAAGACCAGGTTGATAGAGAGTACTGATTGAGTAAAAGTTGGACATTTTCTGAAACTTAGAAAAAAGAACATTGTCTGATTGTTTGCTTGTATCAGGTTACCAGCATATCATCTTTTTGTATTAAGATCACATTTTAGCATTGATTCTTTTTGTTAAATGCAGGCGAATGTACTTACCCTTTTGCTTTCTAACTACAGTTCCCACAGTTACGGATAGAACATGGAACTCACTGGTCCTCAAAGCTGATGGCCCTGTATTGGTTGAGTTTTGGGCTCCATGGTGTGGGCCTTGTCGCACGATCCATCCAGTAGTAGGTGAACTAGCAAAGGAGTATGCTGGGAAGCTTAAGTGCTTTAAGTTAAGCACGGATGATACTCCGTCAATTGCAACCCAATATGGAATTCGAAGTGTCCCAACCATCATGATTTTCATCAACGGTGAGAAAAAGGACGCAATAATTGGTGCTGTGCCTAAAACCACATTGACTGCTACCATTGAGAAATTTTTGTAGGTGGGTATGGAAGTCTTTTGCAAAATTTCTATTTGTATTTTTCTTTTCTTTCATGTTCTCTTTGCTGTTAGGTAATAAATTCATTAGTCTATCAAATTTGGAAGCTTCTTTTATCTTGTCTTTGGATGGTCATCTATGTTGATTTTCTACATGAAACGCCTCTCGACTTCTCCAATAATATTGGCCTTGCTGAAAATTTCTTGCCCTAAAGAAGTACTAGAGATTTTGGAGGGTCAACTTTTGCAACTTTGAAAGGCTTCTACGTGAGACCCTACAATGACCTGGGTCCTGCCTTCTTACCCACTCACATTTTTTCATATTTTCTACCATTCTAGAACTTTGAAACTTGACTAGTCCTTCATTTTGATTTGATGTTGTTGGATCTTACTGGAAAATATGTTGTTACTTTCTTTTGAATTGCAATCACCAATTAAGACAAATAAATCAAGGGCTGCAGCCTGCGTACAAGTTACATCTAGAATCTCACAAGAGTTCTGACTCTTCTTCTAAGCCATTTCTGATTATGATGTTGATGTCTTTGATTCAAAAACTATGACTGTTTCTGTTGTTTATATGACTTGAATCAAACTGTGGACTTCATTCCTATTGGCAGCTGAATAAGAAAATAGGGTCGAAGTTAGAAGTTGCCTTGTTTAGAAATATAAAAAAACAGGAGGAAAGTCTATATTATGATATAAACTACATTTTATTGGTCTCTGTTCTTGAATTTCCATGCCAGAAGTATGTTTAGGGAACCATTTATTCTTTTGTTTCTCAAAGAAAAGTCTCATTAAACTTGAAAGCTAGACTGACGACAAAAAAAAAAAAACAGGAATAAAATACTTCATTCCATTTTAGTCCTTCTGTCAAAACTAGTTCACTTTACCAAGTTAATAAAATCGGTTTAACACTTGGTTACAAAAGAGAAGAAGCTTTTCTTGTTAAACAAATTAGGAGCTCTCTTTTTCTTTATCCCTAACGTAGGGTGCCTGGTTCAAATTTCTAATGGAAACATGAGGAACTCTATTTGATCTGGGCACATTGTCTCTAGCCCACAACCTTCTAAAATTGGATGGTCCACAAAACTTAAGCAGTAATTCAATTAAACTCTTCTCTATTTCTTAGCTAAAATTTAGCTAAAAATATAATAAAGCTATTTTAGGAGCTCTCAAAAAAATTTCAACTCCAACCATACTCCATAATTTGGAGAGTCATAAATGCTATAACTCTTTTTTATTGGTCCATCTCTATAAAAAAAAAAAAAAAAAAAAAAAAAAAAAAATAAATTAAAAATTAATTAAATAAAAATTTATTAAATAATTAACAAAATTAAACATTAAAATTATTTAAGTAACTATAAGGAGTCACTTGAGTCCTTTCTCTCTCTCAGATTTAGGAGCTCCTAAAGAACTCTCTATTTTAGGAGATGGATGAGCGTAGTTGTAGTTACATTTTTACTATTCCTCCCTAAAATTTGTCTAATGAGGTGGTTTAGAGAGCCCATTATGGATGCTCTAAGATGTGAGAGCATCCACAATGATGCTCTCTATTTCTTAGCTAAAAATATAATAAAGCTATTTTATGAGCTCTCTAAAAAATTTCAACTCCAACCATACTCCATAATTTGGAGAGTCATAAATGTTATAACTATTTTTTGATTGGTCAATCTTTATTAAAAAATAAAATAAAAAATAGTTAGCATTAAATAAAAGTTTGAAATACTCATTAAATAAAGCAGCATTAAATTATAGGGAGTCATTAGGAGTCCTTTCTCTCTCCTTAGATTTAGGAGCTCCTAAAAGGACTCCCTATTTTAAGAGGTGGATAGGTAGCGTGGTTGAAGTTGCATTTTTACTATTCCTCCCTAAAATTTGTCTAATGAGGTGGTTTAGAGAGCCCATTATGGATGCTCTAAGATGTGAGAGCGTCCACAATGATGCTAAATGCTATAACTCTTTTTTGATTGGTCAATCTCTATTAAAAAATAAAATAAAAAATAGTTAGCATTAAATAAAGGTTTAAAATATTCATTAAATAAAGTAGCATTAAATTATAGGGAATCACTAGGAGTCATTTCTCTCTCCTCAGATTTAGGAGCTCCTAGAGAACTCTTTATTTTAGGAGGTAGATAGGGAGCGTGGTTGGAGTCGCATTTTTACTATTCCTCCCTAAAATTTGTCTTATGAGATGGTTTAGGGCCCATTATGGATGCTCTAAGATGTGAGCATGCCAAAAGAAAACATTGAAATGAAAAAAGTTGACGATTGGACTAACGGTGTAAACGGAATGAAGCTACAAGGACGAAATTGGAAAAAACAAAAACAAAACAACAACCTGCAAGTTGGCCTATTTAAAATTTGTAGACCATATATCACAGTCGCAGTCACAGTCACAGCCAGTCAGACCCTTATCTGAATTGTTGTGAATATTGTGTAAACTCAATTTGTCATATAGGAAACCGTCTGACATTTACCAATTCCAATTTTAATTGACATGCCGACCTGTATTCTCTAATTTTCTTTTCTCTAATGTTCTATTGTATATTTGGTCAGTTGATTTTGTTGCTTAGTATTGAATCGGTATATTACTCTACGAACCACTTGGCCTTGTATGTCTGGTTTATTCTGCATAAACAATGACTGTTGGTGAAGCTCAGGCTAGCCGGCATTTCACTAGAAACATCCGCAGGTTATTATTTTCTATTACGTCTCATTGTTTTCCTTACTTTACAATGACGTCCACACGGTAATAACGTGCGAACATCTATATAGGAAAAGAACTGTATATATCATCAATATGCAGGTCAACTCCCAAAGCAATTATGCAACGCTAATTTTTAATCAGTGGTTATGTGTCTGTCTGGAAACTGGTGTTGCTTATTACATACATTCTAATTAGCCACTTGGATGCCAGAAAGCTAGGTTAGGTTAGAAACAAATGATAACAAATAGGAGATTAGCAATACTTGGATATTATAAAACCAAGGAGGCCATGTTTAAAGAGGAGGCCAGCTAGCTAGAAGCATCTTATTGTTGTTATCCTTTTGGAAACATATTGGCAACAAACAAGCCATGCAAAACCCAAAACCCAATGCAAATTTAGTTTAACGTCAAGTTGTGAAGTTGGTGATTGGTCCATTCGGTTAACTAGTAGCTTTGACTGATGATTGAAGTTGATCACATGGAGTATCTATAGATCCTGCATGTGTATTTCTAAGCCTAAGGATAACCTAATATTTCAAATATATATATATAGGGGACCATCATTTTTATAAGATATCTAATATGAATGAATATTCTCTCTATTCATATTTTTCGTGTTAAGCAGGATTAATACAAGATATACTACTTGTTAGAAAAATGAAATGACAATAGTTTCATATACCTAATAGTAGGGGTGGGATCAATTCGGCCGAAACTTAATCAGACTGTAATGATTCAGTTATACATAAAAAGTCAAATAGTTTAAAACTGAACGAGACTGTAATGGTTTTGTTTAATTGTGATTTTGAGCTATTGTAAATCACCCTAAACCAAACCAGAGAGGTTATGAATTTGATTAGATTTCATCAACGTTTTTTTTATTATACAACCGAACTGAATCAAATCATTTTATTCTAATAAGTTTGGTCGGTATTTTAGAGTAAAATTGATTCAATCTTGATATTGCCAGACCGTAGCCGGCAGTTTTTTTATAAGGTGACTGTCATGAGTGTAAAATCTAGGCATACGCAACTAGTAGTTTTGCTCCTGCCTGGTGAGTGGACGAATAGATTTAAGCCATGTTGTCCCCTTTTTTCTCTCTACTATTTTAAAGCTAATCAAAGTAAGTTGCTGCCAATTGCAAATTGGCTTTTGAGGTTTGCAGACATGGTCAACAGCCCTGTGTTACGCATGTCAAAATTCTCTATCTAGAAAACAGTGACAATACAATGTACAAAGATGAGCCATCATGCACCACCTCATCTTTATCTGGCGCGCAGAACACCTGTCTTCTGAGCAAGAAGAAGATAGGCACGACGTCATTAACAAGAAGGAAAATGATCACCTGAATATTATATTCTTTAACGATGAAAGGGATATTGCCATTCAATGATTTTTTTTTTTATTCTTCTTCCCATGCCCCTCCTTATTTGGATGTTAATTAATGTGTTATAACATTACACCCACATCAGATATTTCAACTCTGTAGATGTGGATTAGGCCAGTTAATTAGGACAGTGAGTTCGCCGGCTGACACCCAAGTTTGGAAGCCAATTTGGTAGGGACGACAACTACATGAAAATTAATTGTGAACGTTCAAAAGCCAGCTGATCAGATCAGGGCAGGCAGAACTCTGTGAAATGTTGATGTTGTTATGCATCTTTCCCAGCTTAACATGTACGATGAATTGGGTCTTTATTTAACACACAAGTTAACTGCAAAGTCGTGCCTTCCAAAGCACTAAATTACCTCTTCTAATTAATTTTCAAACAAGAAAGTTTAACCCCTAGTGATCTATAAAAAGAGAATTCAATCTCGTCCCAAAGGTTTGGTCCAAGGTTGACAAATAGGTTTTATTGAGAAACTTTCCACGCATTGATCAAGTATAATCATGTTTTAAGGTGGAATTCTGATCAGCTTATACATGGGAATAGTTAGCCTCATATCATATCTATGGCATGGATTGGAGCAGACTTCATTTTCACCACGCCATGAACTTATCTGCTCTCAACTTAATATATCTAATGCTTATCGTAATTGATTTGTCTTTCTTGTACAAAAGTAGCTTTCTTCTCATCTATGGAGTCATGACAAGATGTCCCTTGTTCAACGAAATTAAGACTTAGTTTCCCGTTTTAGTTATATATTAATTGTGAAGATGTTTGTTTAAAGAGTAATTTCCATTCACACTTAAAACACTGCTCATCATACTCGATTATGCTCCAACAAATCCAAATAAAATACAACTTATACAAATAATAGATGGGCAATATAGGAGGGTGGTGGGAACGGGCCGGG